CATAAAACTTTAACCAGTGATTTTTGTTCCATAAAGCTGTGTCTATATAAGGTTATTTGTTGTTAAATTAAATGATCAGTGCTCTTCTGACAAGGGCTTAGTAGCAGGCATCTCAGCAAGTGATCGTATCATCGTAGAAAATTGTGTTCAGTATTCACTAACCATACCTGGTTTATCATCATTAGTAGGGGAAACCTGGTTCATTCATCCATACAGTTACATTATACTGACAAGCACTAATTGATATATTGTACAGATTAGGCTACAAAAAGTTGATTAGATTCAGTGTCTCAAAACAAAACCATCTGAAACGAATTCTGTTTTTGTTTCTTCCTATTAAGTATTGACCATTGATATCAATAATTCATGGTTGATGCTTAGGTCTATGATACAAAAATTCTAGACTAGGCTATTTTAATTTTCTTGCAGACTCAATTAAGATTTTCAGAATGTTGAGGTCGAGTTGGTATATAAACAGCCACTTTAACTGAGTAATTTTTAACTATCTAATGAGTGATTTGGTTAGTGAAGTGAATAGTTTTAAAAATATATCATCCCAATTTTATTTTTCAGTATGTTGATTATTGATTAAGTTGATAACTAGGCTAATTATTGAGTTTATAAGCTTTAAGACGATTCTGCAATTATTAAAGAATAAATTTCTATTTCACCCTTGTCATATTTGCCTGAGCAGTGATTGAGCACAAAATTGAAGACTATATTAGGTAATTTCTGTTTGTGGCAGACTTGGAATTTGTCTTCAGTTTTCAACTCAAATCACCTTTTAAATAAATTTCTGAACAAGTTTTGTTATTACCGAATCATAAGTTTATTATATAAGTTATTTTGTTTTCAAAATTTAACATTTCAGTTGAGAAGAGGAAATGATATATTGAACCTACCTGTGAATTATAGTAGACGAAAATGTTCAATCCATCCAAACTTTACCGGATATCTATTACATTAGAAAAGATTCTCCAATTTAAAAAAATAAATAAGAGTATTAGATGTTTTCCAAACCTGACAACAATAAGAGGCTATGTTAGACCCTCGTGTGAACTGTGTCAATCAGATCCCAACGAAAAACAACTCAAGCAGAATACATATTATGAGAAATATAAAGGCAAACTACAAAAACTAGCTAAGTAAGTGTAGTGAATAGAAATTTATTGAATGTTGAATAGACAAGAGTGTGATTCATGGTTTCTAAATGGGATTAGACCCTCCATTAAATTTAATAAATAAAATCGTGTGGCTTGACTAGATTTGATTATAGATTAACCTTGAACGCTTTTTAGTGAAATTCAATTTTGTCATTTCTGAAGTAGGATTTGCATATATTATATCAGTTGCAATGCATACTATTATAATAGATGTATGCATAAGATAGGGCAATACAAGTATATATCAACTCAAAGCTTGGGCGCCTAAATAGCTAAATCTTATAATCTATGCGTTTTGACCGTCTGTCTTTTGGGAAGCTTTGTATAATATATAAAACTATACATTTGTTTAATTTCTTAAATGTCTTCTTTTAGATAAAATAATGTGTTTAGTGCTTACCTAAATTTTAGTTGGTTTTATTTAAAGATGTGAACCATGCTTCATTCATGATTCAATAAGAAAAACTAGTCATTCATTTTCAATCAATATCTAAGGTAACACCCAAGTCATTGTAGTCAGAAGACAGGGAAGATTATGGACAACCATCTATGACAAACCTGTCACTATTCTGTAAATATTGTATGTTTAGTTAATATCAAATTTGATTATTTTGTCAATATGTCCTTACAATAGACTTTGAATTTATGATTGATTGCAAAATATTGGGATTTATGTCTTTGTGAGTTCATCCCTTGCTTAGACTGTTTCTGCAGAACTTCAAACTTGGGAATAATAATTTTGAATGTTGTTTCTCAAGCACTGCTCTCATTTCATTTTCCATTCCAATTTGTGATCTTCAATTATTTTTATTTCTTGATGAAATGTTTGGGATGAGTTTGAATAAGAGGATTTTTTGTCAAGTTTTGGCCAAGTTTGTGAATGGAATAGAATTTAGTTAAAAGGATCATTATGAATTTGTTAAATGAGTGATGAGATAGAAAACTCTTTTTTTTACCGTAAATTTGATGATTTTTGAGATAGTTTTGTGAAATTTAAGAAGATATTTAGACAAACATTGGGTTGAAAGTGGTTGATTGTGTTCAGACAACAAGATTGAAACTGTAATGCAGTAATAATTTACCATGGCCAATTTGAAATCAAACCAATTTAAAAGTTTTTTTTTTATTTTATTTTAAGAGATGCTCCAGAAGTCTACAATGCCAAATTAAATGAGTTAAAAGAAGAACAAGAACAAGTTATTAGAGAACATAAAAAAGATCTTAGCACTCCACCTACTGAGAAAAAATCATCTTCTGGTTCTGGTACACTGTCATGGCCACCAAAGGTAAAAACTTTTAACAAACAAGTTTACTTACAGGGGCTATATCTATTGTCACTGCCCTGCTCAAAGCCAATACAGCCATATGGAATTGTAGCAATTCAGACCATGTCAATTTCTGAACTAGCTGGAACTAGACAACAGATTAGGCAAATAAGATTCCCATCATGCTAACAAATCTTTCTTCCTTCCAAGCTGCATTTCAATGTCTGCCTTCAAATAAGACAATCAGATGTCCTAAGAAATTGAAAGTTTTCTGTTTCAGGAATTAAATGATTTAATGAAGGTTGAGTTATTAGCTGATAAATTTTCTACAGAAATAGAACAGGTGAGATTGAGAAGTAGTTTTTGAATAGAGTGGTCTGATGAAAAGTCACTGGTTTTCTTGAAGAATTCTGTGCAGCTAAGAGTGCTTTCAACTGCTTTTTTTTGTTTTTTTGGACAGTTTATTTTCAAATTGTAGCGAAATTGTAGCAAATTAATTGCTGGATAGCATAAATGACTGAATTTTTTTCAATTGCTTGAACCTAATATATTCCAATCAAATCAAATTTTCCTCTGGTAAATAATATTCTGTCTATATTTCAGATTTGGGTAGAACATTTTGTGAAGAAAGATTGTGTGTTTGCCGTTTTAAAAGTAGGACTGACGATAAATCATATACTAATATTCCTTTCAAAATTAACTTAATTTGACCAATGAACATTTGTATTGTATTAGTTTCAAGGTATCTTATTGGTCACAAACATAATCTTCAACCAATCAAACTAATTGTGTGAATGTAGTGCAACACACCCATACACTGTCAATATGCAGTAGATTGACAAGGGTATGTTTCTGTTCATGAAGTACTGTCTTAAGTTCTTCTGAAGGCTTTTTTGGCCTTGTAATATTGAACTATAATTCACTGTGTTCAATTTCAGGAACCACATGTACAGTTTGATCAGTTCTTAAAACGCTCTCAAGAATGTCCTTTGGTAAGATATGTTCATTGCTCATAAGTCTTAGATTTATATATACACAAGGAAAAGAACCATCTTAGCATAGCAAGTATTTCGTAGTAGGAAGCATATCAAATTTATTTTTCCATATATATATTTTCTGTGACTTCATTTAGTATTCTGATCTGATAAATTTATCTTAAGTCGATCTACTAACTTTTAAATTTTACGCTTACTTTATCTTAAGTCCTTTATCGAACCCTGGCTTTTGTATTTAACTTTCTGTTATGTATGGATGCAACTTGACCAAACTGAATTTAATGTGATATTGCTGATTCTTTTTAGTTTATATATCCACTACCAAGACAAGATGGCTACGAGTTTTATTTATCTCAATTTAAAGAAAAAGAAGTTTATTTTACTCCACTCATACATTATCAGGTAAATTCTGTTTACTTTTTTCCTTATCATGACTTGACAATAGCAAGGAATTGGGCTAACTCTTATGACCAGGCATTCTGTTCAAACATGTATGTGACTGATTTCTTCATAGACTTGGAATAAGTCTCAAATTGGCCACCTGGTTTTGTTAATAATTTGAACTTACATTTAATAGTTTACCTTTTTGCAGAAACATCAAGAAAATGCACCACCATGTCTTTCAATAGCTCATTTTACAGATTTTCAACAAAGTAAAGGTGAGTGAAAATGATTATCAATTTGCACATAAACCTAGTTCTGTAAACTATGAACATTTAGTTTGATATGTATCTTTTTACCTGACATTCATGGTTAAATGATAAGTTAGAATGAGAATTATAAATAATTAAATCAATCTGTATATTTAGGTATAGTTTTAATGGCAGGGATGTATGATGATCAGATATTGGTAAGTATACAACATATAATAATCACTTGTTTCTGAGAGATAGCTATACAATATTGGCTCACTGTCTGTACTCATTATTTTACATGGGGCATTTATACTAGGGTGACATGGTCTTGTTTCTCAGATATTTGAAACAAGCCCAGGGGTAGTTGCACAGATATTATAGTCAATTGGTCATATTTGATTTATCATCAAAGAATGTAATCAGATCAAGACTAGAAATACATTAAAGAATTTATTGATTTTTGAGTTCATATTAAACAAAATCGGCATATTTTTCATTTCAGACAAAACAAGAGGCTTTGAATCTGGTTCGTCAAATGAGTCAATATTATGGAAACAGAACTCCTGAAAACTTTCAATATGTTAAATTATTTAATCATCAGCCAGACAAGTTTGACTATTCTAAATTGATTAGTCAGTATAAGATGATGCAAGATATAGTAGAATCAGAGTTACCAATTTAGTTTTTATTAAAGCATGATAAATTTGTTTCTGTTTTTTTCATAAATTTATTGAACATAATTGAAAGTTATTTGTGTTTAGCAATAGATGTTAATAAACCAAGTGTAACAATATACAATGTTTTCACACTGTATGCAAAGATAGCAACCTGTGACTACTGATAAAGAGTTTTATCAGATCCACTTACTCTTGTTTCCATTGTCAGTGCAAGCCACAGTTCAAAGTGTTTTTAATTTCAATATTTCACCAAGGAATACTATTTAAACAAACCTTATTCCTCTTGCATACTTGGTCACATAAAACAAGATGAAATTAAATAACATAAGTTGCTGAACACATAAACAGAAAACAAAACATAACATCATAAGATAACAAGCTTCCATAAATGCACAAGATATCACAATTAGCGCCATGTGTACTGTTTTTACCTATCACATTTAAAGGCCTGTTATTATTGAATTAAACTATTGACTGAGTCCAATGCATTTGTTTTATGATCACTCGGGTTAGCTCGAGCTTCATATGTACAAATTGTAACCTCATGTCTTCTTGCCTGAAAGAAAAAAAGGTCTTAAATAAGAATTGCCCAATAACATTGAGAGGGATGTTAAATCGGAAACCCAGTGGCAGATTTACCACAAACAAATTGAAGTTTGCAACATTGGCGACTGACAGTTTTAGAAGTGAAACAATGACTGACTTGGCTACAAGTATTAGCAGAGTAGCAATGGCTGACTTGGCTACAAGTATTAGCAGAGTAGCAATGGCTGACTTGGCTACAAGTAATAGCAGAGTAACAAAGGCTGATTTGGCTATAAGTATTAGAGAGTAGCAATGGCTGACTTGGCTACAAGTTATAAAAGTGAAACAATGACTGACATGGCTACAAGTAATAGCAGAGTAACAATGGCTGATTTGGCTATAAGTATTAAAGAGTAGCAATGGCTGACTTGGCTACAAGTTATAGAAGTGAAACAATGACTGACATGGCTACAAGTATTAGCAGAGTAGCAATGGCTGACTTGGCTACAAGTATTAGCAGAGTAGCAATGGCTGACTTGGCTACAAGTATTAGCAGTGTAGCAATGGCTGACATGGCTACAAGTATTAGCACAGAAGCAATTGTTATGATGACACCTACCTCTGTAAAATCGCCTTTTAAACCAATATAGTAAACACAAGTAGTTTCTGCCCCATAATTACTAGGAAAATGTATTGAAAGATGTTCTACACTATTAAATCTAGCTACTCTGAAATGATGAAAAGCATACTGGTAGCTATGGATATTTGAAGTACCCTTAGCAACTATAATTAGAGATATAACCACCAATTGGCAATTAATATTCAGCAGAATTCCATATTGTAAATTGTTACATTTTAATATCTTCAAAATAATTACTGAACTTACTTTGTTGAGTATTCTAAAACGCCTTCAGGATCGGGATGTAATTCAAACTCTTGATCAGCCTCTGCACTTGAATCATCAAATGTCATCTTAGGCCGATTTTTAAACCTATCAAAAACACAAAAAGTTAAAAATGTCTCAGTGTTTTATTTCAAAATTAATGCAATGAAAAAATTTGTTTCAAAGGCCTTGAAAATTACAATATATGTGATTTATTAAGTATTTAGAATCTTGCTTTGGATTAGAATATAATATCTGATGACATTTTTAAGTTCCATATCACACTTCAATCAAATAATACACATTGAAAAGAAGAGATTAAAAATAAATCTTACAATTTCATTCTATTAGGGTGGTTTTCTCCAGGCCCAGCTATTAAGATTACTCCTTTTAATTTCACGTTGCCAGTAAAACTGAAATATAGTTAAGTTAATAGTATTAACCTCTCTCAATACTAGATACCTCGCCACATAGCTTTTGATATAGCTGTTACTTCACCCAATGTTGACATCCTAAGCTTTTAAGTTATTACTCAGAGTTAAGTGTATATGATGTTTTATTTTATTTACACTCGATGTTCATAGGGTTAATGCCACATCTAACAAAATACTTTACAATACGTAACTGAACAAAATGTTTTTCACATCATATTCAGGTGTATTAGGGAATAAGATTTTTTTGCATATATGGGCTATAAATCTTCTCAAGAAATTCAGTATGACACAGGCCTTACCATATTTGATCAAAAGAACAATTAGGCAAAATTAAGGTATCATAATCTAACAAAATATTGAGACAAGTTTCAATGAAAGCATTGGCCTAGGTCACAGAGCAATAGTTAAGCTTATTTATTATGTGAAAATTAAGTAGTAGTTCGTATGATTTTAGTTCAAAACACACACAGACTCATGCACTCAGACATAAATAGGTTGTATATGGCAATGGCACCAGTCATGAAATATTTGTGTTGTTCTACTTACGGAATATTAAATAACAACTCTTCATCAGCATCACTTTCAACATACTATAAATATAATAAAATAGACATATAATATAATAATGACAATAACTTCTTCTAGGAATAGTACACTAAAAAAATGTTTGAACATTAGAATTAGATCATCAGTGATTTTAGAATCATCATTTAAACCATGTCCCTTATCAAATAAAAATAAATAGAGAGAACCATGGTTTCCTTCATCAAAATTGTTGGAAATGATGCAATGAAATTTTATCTATCTTGAATAAGCTTTGTTATCATCCCATTTTACCTGCTACTGATAAAATAAACACAGTAGAATTTAGAAAAAAATGTCTTAAAGTGACCATTCCCCCATTTCCAATTTTACCTTTTCTTTGCTCAGTCTCTGATCCCATGGTTTAAAGACAGTTTTACCAGAGCCATCAACGGCTTCATTCAAACACTCAACATTAAAGGTATCTATTTTTGTGTAAAGACTGTACGCGGCAGCCATTTCTTCTGGTGGCAATCCATGATCGTGCTCTTTTTCACAACTATGACTATGTCCATGCCCTGACATTATGGAATTCTGGTATTTAGAGCCAATGTTCTTGGAATAATTTTGTTAAACTTTAATTTTTGTTGACATCACAGGACTGAATAAACCTCTTCATGAAAAAGACTGAAGAGCTCCACTGACACAAAATTTAGAAGAGACAAATATAAATTTTTGATGAGAAATCTATGATTGTAAAGCTTATTGCAAGTGAAAAGTTAATTTCTACTTTCTTTTGTCTGTGATAATGGAAAATCTAATATCAGTTTATTAAAAGAAGAAATTTGATTTTCATTAGTAACCTGTGAAAAACGAACGCACCAACATCACAGCACCCGCTTCCGGTATATTGCTCACATTTTAATTGGATACTTGTCACATTTTAAACCAATCAATGTCGGTATAAGAATAACCGATATAAGGAATTTTTAGACTCGAATGTCAAACATTGAAATATTAGCACTGGGTATTCCCGACTCAAAAATGTCAAAATTCCATCGACCCTTCATAATAATGGCCGGCTTAATTCTCTCGTTGTAGTTATTTTATGGAATGATTCAGAATTTTGTAGTTTAAACTGAAAACGAAAATATGATAATTTTGCAACTGCATGACCTATGCTGATATCTTTCGCCAAGAAATAGAATTTAAATGTTGGAAGTTATAATGAAGCCAACACTTAATAATCCATCAGTTATCAAAAAATGAAAATTGGGTGGTCACACAACTTTATGAAAGGTGGAATGCCTTTTTATTCAGATTTCTTTATAATACTCCAGTGCGTTATACATATATAAGGATTTTGAGAACATTTCTTTGATACCCAGACATCTCCTGTCTTCCGTCGCAGATAAAATGGGACTTAATGATAGAGGCTAAGTTTGGTATAAATCGAGGATTGGGGATGTGCACAGGTATCTGTTTCTATCAAGAGTCGACTATTGATAGAAACAGATGCCTGTTGGGATGTGGGGTGATTATCCATCTGGTCTCACGGCGAAACTTCTATTGAATGCAAACACACCGAAAATATCGAAATTTGTAATGCATAATATCATATCCTTTTGATATACAATATTATACAGTATAAATTTTAATCTTTGAATTTAACGACTTGTATCCTACTATTGTAATTCATAAAACAATTCTTTATTTTGTACGAAACCACTAGCTGGCTAGAAAAATAGGCCACTGAATCAAACATTTGGACGAAGACTTGACTCAATATTTTTCTTGGGCAATTATCTGTGAGTCAGTGGTTGTTTTGGTGTCTATTTGGAGTTTTATTGAGGATAAACCCATCCGAACATTTCGTCTCTACCAGGTGTTATATTATGTATGTGAAATTTGAGGTAAATCATCCGTTATGTTAAAAAACAAGAAAGAATTTGAAACGACTATTTAATTTTTGTTGCTTCTCCTGTGTTAGTGTTTGTTATTGTTGATGTCCGAGTGATAGACTGATAAATTTTGTTGATCCTAAAGTGGGGATTCATGTCATGATAATGTTTATGAAACCTTTTATTGTGTTATGTTGGATAGAAGACTATTACATTCTCTGAAAGATATCATCATCTTGTAACTGGATTTTTTGCTGCATCCTAATAATATGATTTATTATATCTGATATTGTACAGGCATAACTTTAAAGGGTTATTTTCCCAAAATTTTTGGCTTATTGATTTAACTGATACTAGTTCTACTAGACCTAGGATTAACATGACAAAATATTGGACCAAACGTGAAAAGAATGCAATTCTCAATGGTCATTGATGCCGTTATGAATTCATAATTTTCACTGAATCTAAAAGAATAACATAAAAGAATGTAACATCATATCAACAATGTGGCTTCTTATTCTAAAACATTTTTTTTTTTTCATTTTGGAATTCACAAAGCTTTCAATACAATGTTTTTATTACCTTTTTTATAGATATTGCACAATAGTCCTATTCATATTTAATATTTTAATCGTCAAGTAGATCTAATGTGAGTTGTAGGTATTTTACTAAAAATAGGTTGACAGTGTCGACAACATCTATTGTTCACAGCTGAGAGGTAAAAAAAACTAAGTTAGTGACGACATATAGCAGTTGATGGATGTTTCACTTACAAGTACAAATTACTCACTTGGTTAAGTTTAGAAAGACATGATATGTTTCAGGTATTTTAGTCATGAAAATGGACACATTAACATCTCTATCGATTTTGGTAACAGTCAAGTTTTTTTTTTTAGAATTTAGTATACATGGATTTATTGTTCTTTTCAACTTTTTAGTGATTTATTGAACTATTGAACTGTGCTGTCAATGTTATCTGAGGTCGAATTAGAATTTGGTTGGTCCAATATTTGACTTTTGTCTTTATATTGTAATCAATAGGCTTTCGTGTGACAGTGTGTAAACCTTAGAGGTAGTGGACTAACTAGTTAAGTTTATTTGAACTTTAAGGACTCTGAAAGATTTGTCAATGTGGAATTATTGTCTTTAATTCTAAAATTTCATCAAATTATAGTTTAAATTTCTACATGGCATGCGTATCGCAAAAATATTTTTACTTGTTTCAATTTTATGAAAATGAAGTTTTTCTCTAAAAGAATGTTATTCATACAAAGTTTTTTCTTGAGTTTATTTAGATTTATTCTATGAATATAATATCTTTTTATCAGTTTCAAGTATACTGTGATATCTTTATTACCCTATTTATAACAGTGCAGGAAACCAAAATTTTCTTATCAAAATTCGGCCAGTCAGCACAATTTGTGATTTATTAATCTGTAATTTGGATTATCTGTTTTTTATAGGATTAATAATACAATGGGATTATAGGATAACAAGTTGTTAAACCCAGTACTTAAGGGAGATTGAGAGATTTAAGATGGATAGAGGATTAAAGAGTAATATGGAACCTGATGAGATCACCATTGTGGGTAAGTAACCTTATTATATTTTCACTTTCTCATATTTTGCTTTCTGTGCGAATTTATAAATATAAGCTTAGCTGTTCAGCTTAGCTCTCATACTTGCCATACCATTATTATTAAATGGATCCCTTCAGATTTCTGTTTTGGAGACCAAATAATATCCTAGGGATGAATAAAAACATTTGGAATATTTTTGTTTCATAAACATCTGTCTGAGATTAAGATTTGGAGCTGGCTGCTTTCATTACACGGAAACAGAGAATATTTGTTTTAATAAAAAAAAGTCCATCATCAAATTTTCTACGGTCTTTTACAAGGAAAGCCTTTGCCATTGAACATCTCCTTTACAGTGTTGTGGATAAAAGTAAAAATGACTTCTCTGGTACTAACTATTGTTTTCATGTTGAACTTGTTTCAGTGTTATTGAAAGCATTAATATGACCATCCTGTCTACACTACATTACCTGATTAACAGTACTATAATGTGATATACTATTATGGGTGTATCATTAATTATACTAATTACTTAGTATCATGACTGTTTTATAGGTTTCAATACTGATGTCCACAGGGCTATATGGGTATAAGGGGTTGAAAAACGACATGGGGCTAACTTTTGGAGGCACTGGCACTAGAATTTTTCTTATGTTGATCAAACCCACAGTGCATAATCACTAAGCAGGTGACAATACAACTCACTGCCAACTGAGATGTTCTGAATGTGAACACGATGGTGAATATCTTGTATAATTTGAATGCTACAATCACAAAAATGTATTTTAAATCGATCTAGACCTCTTTAACATAAGTGTACCAACTGTTGACAATACCTTCCTATTTACATTTTGATAAGAAAAAGGAAGAATCCTATTGTTTTTTAAATGATGTCTATCAAGTAAGATTCTGTGACAATATAAGTCACATAAATCTCATATTTGTTAACAGACTTGGTGAATTAGTTTATTTCATCATAGCTGTACATTCCCGGACAAATTTTTTCGGACTTGCTGATCAATAATATTTAAGATCTCATAGCGTGACACTCTTAGTAACAACAACATTTTATGTTCTGTTTTTATGTTTCTATGTCACTCTACAATTGATATATTGAGCATTATTTTAACACTGAGAATTTTGTTGATATTGTTAATGATATTTTCATATATAAATCAGTATACAATAAAATGTAGAAGATGAGTAGATATGACAGTAGCTAATGATATAATCAATAGTCTAATATAATTATTATATACTGTTATATAGTCTAACAGACAGTCAATGTCAGTTTTGACATATTCAGTATTTGACATTTATTCAACTTGGCATTGACTAGACAATTATCAACTGTTACATCCATGGTGCATTTTAGGTTATACTTGTTTCCTGTATAACAACATCCTTGTCAAATATCACGTCATGTTAATAAATGTTTTCCCATGAAGTGAAAATTATTGAATTAGTCAATTTAACCATCTACTTTTGGCCAATGCCATGCTATAGCACATTGGACGATTAATGTACATAATAAAGAGTAGCAATAAATTGTTCAAAGTAGAGGAAGTCAGTGTACAACAAAACATGAAATCTGAACGTCAAACTGAGCATGAGAATGTGAAAGAGGCTACAGTTTTGTCTGTATTTGATGCACACTATTATTTTTTTTATTAGGGAGTGAGAGCCAACACTGGGCCAACTCTCGAAAGCATTGGTACAGGGATCCAAATTTTTCTTACCTTGAGGATTTGAACCCACAGCACCTAATCGACTAGCAGAAGTCAATCAAACTCACTACCGACTGAGCCAGTTGAAATTAGGAGGCACTGGCACAGGCATAAAGCACTGTAAACTAATGTTAAAGTTGGAATGTTAGAATGGAAATTCATTGTACTTATTACAAGGACCTTGTGTTAGTTACACTAAGAGTGTGTGTAAAAAAATGTCACCTGTACTCTTACTTTTAACAGAACTTGACTGCCATGGAATTTAAAGATGAACAGCAATTTGATGTCTTGAGTAGGATTTGATATCACAACTATGTGTTATAATCTATTGTAGAAGTTTTTATTTGCTAGAGATTTGTCAGTTCAAAGAATTCGACCATCTCAAGTAAGATGAAATGGCTAATCTGGCTTAAGAATGTGTCAACTGATACAGAAATATTTTTTCGTTATTTTCGACACAACAGGTCCATTTAAATGTCATTATGTTCTTTAAACTTTTTGTTTCTACTCAGTTTGTAAGCTTTTAGTGAAAGTTGCCGACTTGTTTGAATACAAATGAGTTTGTTGCACTTGTTTTGAAATTGACCCTTGTGAACAAATTTACTATGTGTCAAATTTAGAATTATTTTTGCATGACTGACTTAATTGCCAATTTTGAGTGCTGCAGCTGAATTTTTCTTAAGATGAATCTCATTTGTTTGAGTTATCTTGAAGGTCCTAATGTGAGTGCACAACTCTGCTTTCAGTACTCAGTACTCACTATTTTATGCATGCCATAGAATTTGATGCTAAGAAAACTGAAATAAGTGCTTTCAGTAATAAACACACACAAATTTCTAATCTACATTTTATGTCAAGTGAAAAAAGGTCGCCATGTTTGGGAGAGGTATTGAAAACCTGAGAAACAGTCAGTGTGTGTTCAGTCTAGTTTTCCTACTTGCATCAAATAAAAAACACAGTAAACAAACACTGTCAACCTTGACAACCTCCTTACTATAGTCTTTATTATACAGTAGTTGGCCCATGTTTCTCAATTTTCAATAAAGTATATTTCCTTGTTGTCAATCACAAAACCTTTGAAATTATGAAATTTTTTTACAGAAATCTGAATTAAGTTCTACCTGGTGGTAGAAATATTTGAGTGACACTATCCCTTAAAAATCACCTACTGAATTAAGCTGAGAATAGACATGGTTCGGTGCAGGATTATTAATACAGAAGAAAATACTAGAACCAAATTGTGTCCGTATCTGTACTCGTTGTCGTGTATTCACTTCTAATTTCTTCTGTATCTGGCAGCATATCTCGTCTATTCACGGCTTTAAACTCTTAGATAAATCGAAATATATCAAAGTAAGCTTGTTGTATGGAATGTTTAATTAAATATTGATGCAGGTATGTTATAGTAAAATTCATTAATTATAACTGTAAACCACCAGGTTAATTTCCTCTACCTGTGATCTAAAGTTTTATTGAATATTAAGTAAGTTACTTGTTCAAGTATTGTTATATGCTTTGTTGAACTTGTATTGACCTATAACTGACCATACATAGATAATATAAATATATTAGGCTATCAACATTTTAAAGGGAAGGTCTAGACAAATTCATGAGGAATCCTGATGAGGATTTTATATCCACAACATGTTGACACAGGAGAAAAACTCTAGTTTGTATCAGTTGGGTATTATATCATATTTGATACTTGAGTTCTGAAATGTCTGAAAAACTAGATATGTTTAGGCTTAGAACACTTAAGTATGGATGTTCCATTTCGATTATTTACCAGTATTTTTTTATACACGCGTAAAATTTAATTTATCACTGAAAACCGGATTTTCAACTCCAAATGTTTCATGTTTGTTTATAACAAAGTTAATTACTTATCACAGAAGGCAATCTTTATTGTAAGTGACATTTGTCTTCTTAAAAATGACATTTGAACAAAAACATCCTTGTTCTGAAGAGTTTCTGTTACATTATCACAGAATTTCAATATTTTTTAAGGTTTTTGTTGTTTTCAAACTGAGTTATATTTCACAGATCCTGCTTTATGACAGTCATAACAAGAGATTTTACTGGAAGATACTCTCCTCCAGTACTTTCATAAGGTTATCCTCTACTTGAATAGAAAATAATTTTTTGATTATCCAGTCCTTAACCATTCTACATTATGGCGGAGTCTTGAAAAGGGCGAGTCACCAATGTAATTTTCAAAAATGGATATGTATTGAAACACATCGTTTAGAAGACTAATAGTTTGATGATAAGGTGAACACTTTTATTAATATGTTTAGCGGAACGATTCCTGTTCCCGAGACCAAAGTACAATTTACCACCAAAAATGGTAAACCATAACCTTTAAAGGAGCACTACAAAACTTTCGCTAACATGCAGCCATTTAAGACCTATTTCACTCGATATATATAGATTAGGCAACATATGAGTGAAACTGCAGGGTCAGTTAAGGTATAAGAATAATAGCTATTGTTTGTTAAAGCCTTTGTTTGATATAGGTAATGTATAACAATAGACACTACAGAAGAAATATGATTGTGACCTACATGTCAAATAAATAGGTGTCTCATATAGACTCTAGTTATTTAATTCAATTATTCTGGCCTATCTTATAGTCAGGTTATATAATTTATAAGGTGTTTGACTGACCAAATTTTGATACAGGGTTAGGACTATGATAGTGATTCTGGCCAAAGTATGAACTAAGTTGTAAATTATAATTTTATGGATAACAATATCTTACAACATTTTAAAAACGATTTCTCTTATTTATAAATCTTTCACTTAAGTCATGAAAAATCAATATAGATCTTCGCAATGTTGAGCTATTACGAACTTCGGCCTTATACATTGACTGCAATAGCCATCTTTTTTGTGTCACAGAATGCAGCAATTTGATTGGATTGTAAACCAGCAAATACCAGTCAATCATAGCCCTTGACAGACAGAATGTAAACATTTTGTCTAACTAACTCTTTACAGTTTAGGACTCTGATTGGCTGTATTCGCTCATGTACAATCCAACCAAATTGCTGCATTTATAAACTTTTGTGATACTAGAAAGGTTGGTATTGCAGTCAAGGTATAGGACGAAGTTCGTTGTAGCCTGGCAACGTTGGTAGCCAGTTGGTGTTCTGTGACAAAATTGGAAATATTGTAAAAGCAGAAAATTAAATGAGGGGCTACTGTGTTATAAAAGCAGACAGCTGAAGACACGTTAAATTTTAAGATCTAGGAGATCTTCAATATGAAATTAGGTCTGTGTTGATTTAGATGAGTAGTTTTGTTTTGATTGTAAAAAAAGAACTTAAAGCAAGTATAGCTGATGTATTGATAACAGGACATCACTGCAACAACCTGTAAAGATAAAGATCAATATTTTGGGGTTGTTGCCTTGTCGGTGAGATTTTTACTAGATTGTTTCAAAAGGAAAGATCTGCATCAAGACTTTAAATTGATCTCAACATGTTTACTTAAAGTTTGATGTCTGATCAAGAATGAAAATCGAAAATAAAACATCGAGAGATTTGAGAGCCAAATTATCCTGTAGCCAACATTTTTCCCATTTTCTTGAATTTTAAGGCTTAAAACAGTGTTTATATAAAACTAACATTCCTGTTGTCTAGAGTAGGTTATAGCCTCAGGGGATTGTTTAAATGGTGTACTGTCATGGTGGTAGCAGTTTTCACTTTAGCTAATGATATATATGCCTACTTGAACACATTATGATGTTTATAGATTGACTGTGTATAAACTAAAGACCTATATATTACCTACAAATTATGCATGATAACAGATTTATCAAGTGATGTATTCCTTGAATTTCATGATTTTGATAGTTGATAGATAGAACTTATGTCTCCAAATATTTCTCCAAATAAGGGTAGTAGGTTCAAATGGGCAGAAATTTTAACATTAATCAACTTAAATAGTGGCTTGTGTAACAAGAACTGAAATACTCAATAAATATCAACTGGTTGTGTATTATTTTCCTATGCCACTTCATTTTCAATCTGTTAAAGTGAATACTCGAGGAGCACTATTCATTTAAATACTTATCTTCCAAGTGGAGCAGTTGAATACAATATTGAAATTGTCTCTAAAATGAAAATCACAAGAAAATGAAAACATACATGTCATGCAAATGTATTGAAATTAACCCTTCTTAATGGGAAAAAATAGATGCAGTAAGGCATTAACCTCAGTTAACCTTTACATATAAATCCCTAAATTGCTGTGACCCTGTTCAACCCGAAATGTTAACAAGTAAAACTGCTATCCTACTGTGCATTTCATTTTAAGAGGTGATCATGAACTAGTATTGATCTTCTGATCACAGTGGGAAACATTGGTTGTATCATCCATGACCTTAATTGACACCAGAAGAGCACAACTGGTTTTCTGCACTTTCCATCAATCATTATTTATTGCATTATTTTTTGGAGAAGGCTTGCCTCAGAAACATTCAGCATATTTGACTTTTGCATGCCCAGATAAAATAAATCAGGCTGCAGTACTCAAGTAGAGCTGTCAGAATGAAACTTCCAGCATTAAATTGTCTTAAATTGCCTTGTATCTTCATATTTGATAACCAAATGCAAAAATAACTGTTTATTAATTAAAAATAATTTTGTTTATTTCAGTTCATGGTGCCAGAGGTTTACAGGGGAAAAAACCTGGTGAGTATTTATTTATTTTTAATTTTTAATGTTTTTTTTATTTATTTATTTATTTTTAATTTTATTTATTTATTCATTTATAATTTTCATTTATTTATAAATTTTCATTTATTTATTTATTTATTTATTTATTTATTTATTTATTTATTTATTTATTTATTTATTTATTTATTTATTTATTTATTTATTTATTTTAATTTCTTTCTTTCTTTCCACCACGTTTCAGTATGTTAATGTCATCTCCATATTTTCTTATATTTATTTTTAGAGTAATCTTCAAAGGGTTTAACAGATGATTGATTTTTCATACATAAATAAGTAGATAACTAGGGTTATTAACAGATAGGTCAAATAACTTTAAAGCATTATGCTTATTGTATTCTAATGGAGCTTTTCATATATAGAAATCTAGGGTTAAATATGATTTATAGCAATGTAATAAAAATTGAAACAAATAAAGTTTAGAGTGTCAAATTGTTCATGAAAATTTCAATAAGCTCATATAGCTCACCAGTCATCCTGAGCCTTCTTTAGATTGAACAGTTGGTGACCAGAGTGGTCCTGAAATCCTCAAAATTATTTAGAATTAGTCATGAATTTTTATGAAGAGAAAGGTGTACTGGAAGTTTAAATATTGACATATTATGATCCTTTTATCTGAACTGACACTCATGAAACACTGATAGTAAGTGAACTGTCTAGCTAAATAGCCAATTAATGTCATAGATTACATTTCAACTCTTCTCACATCATTGCATTTTACTAGCCTTTTGATTTATCTCAATATATGATCTGATCATAAGGAAATATTTTATTGAGTTTACTCTGTGCATTGAAACATCTTTAAAGTTAAATTATAACAGAACATTCAGATATAGCGTTTATCAATTGGTTTCTAAGCATTGGTACCTAATATACTTTTAATTTTCAGTCAGGTATCTGTGGTTCTCGCAATTCCACTAAAACTAAGCGTTTTATGAAATCACTGTCACAAAATCTGCTAATAATATAAAAATGCCCTTGTAATTTTGACATCATGATTTACTGTTTGCTGCGTTCTGAATATCGCTTTTCCTTAGTATTATGTACATGTTTTTTCTCCTTGTGATTCATTGAAGAATATTACAAAAATATTTTACCACACATACTTTATGTACCTTTCATTAAACAGGGTGTGTCTATTATTTTGATTGATGTGAATGTCCAATAAGACACTGACTATATAAGCTTGACCCTAAAATATACTTAGATACAGTTTTTATAACTCATTTGTATATTGTAGACAGGCATAAGGAAAAGATGAGATTTTTTTATTTATATGACTTGCAATAACTCATTTTTTGAAGGTTAAAAATCTATTGTCTCTGTCATATATGAATTATGATGATCAATCAATTAGGAAATTAGCTCATTCATTGTCTTTACTTTTAAAGAAAAAAATAAAGAAACATCAATATTTTCTTAAGAGTTTAAACTTTTCAGTTCTTTTGTTTCTTATCTGCCAGCTAGTTTTGGGTCAAACTCATTATTGTGGATCTTTTCCATCATAAAGAATTCCCATCGTTTACTCAAATTAAACTACATTTAGATTCAATTCACACATTGGCAGTAGCCATTTTTATTTTTTGAATTTTCAAATAGCAGAGGGTCTTTAAAGGTTGTAACATGTGGCCTCAGTTACCAGAGAAAACAAGGTTATCCTATGCCAGATAAAACCGTTGAAATAGCTTCACATGCTTAGCCAGCCCTCCTCCCCAACTAAGTTCGCAACAAATCTGAGAATCACAACCGTTCATAAAGAAAATTATTTAGAAATAATATTTTTGTACATTACAGGTCGTCACAAGTATTCTGTTATATTTGGTGTAGGTGGTAAGAAATATAGAACTAGTGTAGTTAAAGATTCCTCTGCAGCACCAGATTGGAATGAAGAGAGTACAGTGTAAGTGAATTTCCAAGGTTTTTGATTTTAAAAATCTCAATTTGGACAACTTTTCCAAAGGAACTCTTCACTTTTCCAAAGGAACTTTTCTTTTATTATTGAACTTTATTGGTGTGTAAACCTAATAACCTATATGCAATCTCTGAAAGGGATTGATAAACCCAGTCACAAAGTGCCATCAAGTGTAATAACTCCTCTGATCACAGAAATTCTTAAACAATAGTGGCAGTTAATCATCCATGGATGAATAATTTCACTTTGACGATTGCAATATTTTTATTGTATATTTTTACCACATTTTAAGGATGTACCTGTACCTTTATTTTAAAGGATTTTACCTACTTTTATTTAGCATTTTCAAAATATGGAATTCTGTTTTTCTTTATATTTTTAGTAAAGTTGGTCATGCCACTGATCAAGTATTTTTTACTGTTATGGAGAAAGATGATGTTCTAGGTCAAGTTGTTATACCAGCTTTATCCTTACAAACAGTAAAAGGACAAGTGAAAAAAGTTGCCCTTAAACCTCATAAGAAATGTATGAACCCTCGTGGAGAACTTATTTATCAGTGTTATATTTCTAAACAAAGACAAGCTTCAATGGCACCCATCATCAAAGGCAGCACTCTGTCAACTCCCAGATCTGTCAACTCTGGACCTCAGTTAACTGGTTTCGCCAGATTGAAGAGCACATTAACTCCATCACCCAATTCAAACTCAAATAAACGAGAAAATCGTAGTTCATTAGCTAATTTCAATAAGAAATTATCACGCTCCATCCACAATATTTTTAGTTTTGCTAAAACTGATGAAAATGAAGATGAGGACAAGCCTAGTCCGAATTCTTTTTCCAAATTTACATCGAAATTCCGCAGCACAAATAATCTGGATGAATTTCATCAAGCTCAAGCCCCAGTTATTACTAATGTTATACCTAATATAGGAACTATTAAAGGTGGTACAAGGATTATAATTGAGGGACGTAATTTAGGTCTAGGTAAATCAGATATCGTAGAGTTATTGGTTTGTGGTAGTGATCTATTAGATAGTGTGGAATATGAATCAGCCAATAGTATAGTGTGTACAACGAAAGAATGTGAAGCAGGAAAGGGAGATATTTGGTACGAAACTGTATCCGGTGGACAAACTGTGGTTAAAAACTTCTTTACATTCGTTAATACGTCGGCTCTGAAGTCAACTGTGCCTGTACCTGTGACATTAAAGATTTCTGATTCGTCATCAGAAATAGGAGCTGATGATGTTGATGGTCCTCATAATACATCATATACTACAGATTCTGACTTATCTTTATCAGTTCCCCCAACACCACCTCCAGAAAGTAAAGAATCTGCTCCTAAAGCTAGCCCACGTACTCCTAAAGCTCAGAAGAAATTAGATGTAAGTAATCCATCTATTATAATCATAAATTATTACACTGGATGTCATTATGCATTATAAGTTATATATTGAAAGGATTGTAATGAGATTTTCTAAAATGTTTAGGTGTATTGGGGAACAGGTGACATCTGACTGAAAATTTGAATGATACTATTGATGCTATCAGTGTCTGGGATACAAAATTTTGTAGAAAACCTCTTTACAATCTCTTTAAGCAATCACAAATAATACATAATTATTTATTGCACAATCCACGATTTATATTGTCTACTTGTATATATTATACTTAATAGTGCACTTTTCATCGTTATATAAGATATGTATATAAATTGCTTTGATGGTAATAACTAATGTCTAGAATATCCAGATAAAACAGATGTTTTCAGTCAATACTTATACAAGCTAAGTTAAGCTTATGTAATGTCATGCTCATTGTCATGCTATGCTGCATAGAATATCGCTTTACATCATTTAAGTTTCATAAATTCATAAACAGTCCAAAAAGGAATCTATTCTGCTTTTCAAGAGTTTTCAATTTCTATATATTCTCAACTTTTCTAGCAAATAAATGAGGGTAGCCGATGGTCAATAGTGAAAAAATATATGGTATTTTTCATTTCATTTCATAGCTCTCTTAGATGCAATGCTCTTATTAACAGCTTCTTAGTGGTAGATCTTTTGGCCTATTAATATCAAGGTTCTTTGGTTTGGTACAAGTAAAAAATGAAAACTTAATTTATTTTATTTCAGAGATAGTCAAATTAGTACCTATAGTACTATTGCTTTAATTTTCAATGTTACTACTTTAAAGGTACTTTGAATATGTTTCCAAGTGTTCATTACTTTTATTTTGTGATGCTGGTCATAGAACATGGAAACAGTTTATCTTGGGACTAAAAGCCAGGTTTAGCATGAAAAAAGAAAATTGGGGGCTGGTGAAAAAACAAACAGCTAGCAAATGATGGTACCAAATGAAATTTTACCCCTTTTAATGGATATTGCTGTCTTCATTATATTCCTAAGTTTTACATGAATATTGATGTAACTGTTATTTGTTAGTTTTTAAGATTGGTTGTGAATATTTGATGGATATATTAATTATTTATGAATAGAGGGAATTGTGTTATCATTTCATCTTTTTAAACATTTTTGTTTTCAGTTATTTTCACATTGATTACAAACTAGTCCATAATCTAGGCAGCTAATATTTTGAGTATTTTTTCTTTAAATTGATTTTTCTTAGTAAAATTAAGATTGGTAAATTTTTAAAGAACTTGACTTGCAGTTTTATCTTCAAAAAGCCAAAATTATGAAACAATGCTATATATATTTAATATATATGTAAGAGTTATTATTAGATTCCAAGGTAGTTGATAATTTAACTGAAATATTAACTTAACATATTCCAAGGTCCTAAAAAACTAACTTTACATTTAATTGATTTATTTTAATCTACCCAAATTGTCTATTAACCACCCCCTTCCAACTGACTTCTGGTGCAGGATTTTGATTAAAACAATATTTTGTGCGTGTAGGCAGCACCTTTGAAATTTAGATGTAACTTATTACATCTTGTTACATTATTTGTTTGAAGATCTTTAAGAAGTACTAAATGTTTGTCTTATAACCTGATAAGAGGGTAATTACAGTGGCCCATATCACTTTTCAGAATTCAAATCTGACCTTTGGCTCTGTAGCAATTTTTAAGAAACTATAGATGTCATCAATGATGATATGAAGCTGCAGATTAAGCTGTGGCAATTACCTTACAAATGACCACAATCTAAGCTATATGTTTTTTTTCATAAATTGTAGTCCTTTCAGTAATTCTGAAAAGAGTTATGGATAGATCAAGTTGAGCTGGATCAGGTAGTTCAGCAAATGATTGAGATTGATATTTTGTAGATCTTTAGGTTTTTGTTGGGAAATAAGATTTACTTTTGTTTTTAAAATGCACAATTGTTTTTCCTTGTTATTGTACATGTTGGACTAAATGTCTTATGGTCACTTCAGATAACAAAAAAAGGAAATAAAAGAAAAGAACACAATAAATGAATTAAGATTGTTTTCTTTCAGTTACCTTCAGACCAGAAGTCAAAAACTTTAGGACGTATATCCAGTAATGATAATATAGAAGGAAGATATAAAAAGAATTTTATGAAACATGTCCGTCGTGCAAGTGAGTCTATTGTGGCCGAACAGGAAGGTCTCAAAAGAGAAGACGTAGATAGACATAGTAAGTCTTCTTTTTGTCTGTGTATTTATTTCTTAGAAACTCATAATATATAAACAGTCATAGAATAAGACAGGCTGGACCGCAATCCATTTTCTATCCCATAATAGTTGGCATTATTACTAGGGGTAAGCAGGGTAACTCTCTTTAGTGGTATTTCACTTTGGCCAACCGCACAACAAAGTGATGTCAGGTGTCTTGAAAAACAGCCTTTGTAAGAGTATGGTATGTAATTTAAATTAGGTTCTAAGCAATAATTAATGTTCTGTGGATACAGTATCTGCTGAAACTTTACATTTTCTGATTCTCAATTTACAGGTATAACAAAGAAAGAACTACAAGCAGAAGTCATTAGATTATATAATGAAAATCAAAGTAAGTACCAATAGTTGTCAAATCTATTTAAATATCTGTTAATTTAATTCAATAGTAAAATATTTTTACTGTTAAAATAGTGCTCAATACAACAATTGTAAAGCAATATAGATATACTGAAGATCGCATGGCGTGAAACTTTAAGTAACAACATGTCTTTTATAGGTTCTGTTTTGATACTTCTATTTCTCTCTGTTACATTTATATAGATTTTCAATTGTTACATTTTTTTTCATATTTTAGATAAATGAATTTCTATCTGAAAAGCAATTTGCTATTTTTATTTTATTTAAATATCCACATGCAATTAGCATAAGCTGTTCTTATTTTAATCAATGTGAAAATTGAATTATATTGTACATGAAGATATTTATTTAAATTTCAGGTCTAAAGAATGATAATGCTGATATGAAAGGCTATATAGACAGACTAATAGCTAAAGTTATTCAACATTGTCCAGATGCATTGGAAACAGTTTAATACAGAATTTAGCTATAGAAATTATTCTATTATCATTTGCCTGTAAATGATTCTATATAATCATGGGCTCAATTTAATATAATCATATAAGGAATATTTATCAGTATGCAGAATACAAAAGAATATTCCAGGGTAAAAAAGTGACATTGAAATGGGCATACCCAGAAATGTGTTTTTAATATATATATTAGACCTAACACAGTGCAGAATCTCCGAATTATGATATTGAAATAGCACCATCAAGTAACATTTAAACCATTATTTTATGTTAAGCCTAATGATATTTTAAGTTGATCAGGCTCCATGGCTTTCAAAATAATAAAAAATTAAGAATTTGTGATCTTGCATTGTCACCAAATGCCGAAATGGCCTATTTATTATCCTTAGACTGTGGAAGTTATATGACATTTTGTGTCAAATAGAAATTTAAATTATTTGATTTAAAGCATCCCATTGCAGAGCCTGATCCTGAGGTTAATTTATTTAAAGCATCCCATTGCAGAGCCTTATCCTGAGGTTATTTTATTTAATGCATCCCATTGCAGAGCCTGATCCTGAGGTTATTTTATTTAAAGCATCCCATTGCAGAGCCTGATCCTGAGGTTATTTTATTTAAAGCATCCCATTGCAGAGCCTGATCCTGAGGTTATTTTATTTAAAGCATCCCATTGCAGAGTCTTATCCTGAGGTTATTTTATTTAAAGCATCCCCATCACAGATCCTGTGTTTTAGTATGCCAGTATCAATTATAACATACACATTACAGTATACACCATTTACACTAGCACCCATTGTTTATACACTACAACTTTTAGATACTTGTTTATATAGTGCACTTTAAACACATTGTTAATTCTCACATGTATGAGAAAGATTGTTATTTAAATGCTAAATGTTAAATGTACTAAGTTTCATCCGCATTATACACACATACAAGGTTGTGATTATTTTTCCGTCTTAAGTTAAAATGCATTTTAAGCTTTTTAGATCTGAAGTTATTTCTTGTCCATTTTTTTTAATTTATCCTTTTTTTCCAATGCAAATATTTTTTTTTATTCCACTGTTATTTAGAAAGCCTTGATAGACCATTTGATAAACTCAGTCACTGTGGTTATTGTCATTATTTTTTTCACTATTTTCATAGTGTCATGATCTCTCTAGGCTTTTCATTATATTCAGATACAGCACTCAATTTATGTCAAGCCTAGCTCTTAACAGAACCTATTATTTTGAATATATTTGACATCAACGAATACACATTTGTTTCTTTAGTATGTCAAATCTCAAATCTAATTATTTTATAAAGAAGAAATTTTGTATGATCAATTAAGACATTAAGTATTTATGATTCAAAATTTGCATTTGAAATACGAATGCAACAATATATGTGATAAACTCTACAGTCTTCCAATTCAAAATCATGCAATTGTTAAACTTTCTTATCTTGAATATATATTTTAAGAGACTTTTTGTACATTGTTAAAATAGTTCAGAACTGAACCTTCAAGTATGCTTTCTCTGTACATGATATTCCTATATGTACATATTAATACATTTAATACACAGAACTGCACCTTTAATTTTTGGAAAATTGGGCAAGATTAATGTTGTCTTTAAGATATATACAATGTTTATACACCAGGGCTAGTATGTTACATGCATATTCAAAATCAATTTGCCGTAAATATATAATTAGACTGATGAAGATTTGTCAACAGACCTTTCAACATTATCCTTATTATTAAATTACCTGGTTTATTATTTCCTTTTCCTGTTAATTTACTGTTATATATTGTTATACATGTATATGATATGTAAATGAAATGAGATAATCAGAAAAATTAGGCATCTTCATAACACTTGTATTAAATTTATGTTACAAGGCATGTTGTATAAGTTTGAACAGATTTTTATGTACTTTCCCATTATTTATCTTACATGAGTGCTTGGCAAATAACATATCATATCTTACTTGATAAAATGCTGATGTTAGATTCCTTGTCAAATTTGGTTAGAAATCCTCAATTTGATAACAAATATTTCTGATCTTTATTACATTATGAATATCGTCAGTATGTATGATTTAATAGCTCATTTGAATTCCATGAATATTTGTTCAAATCTTGACATTCCATTAAGTCTACTATTTCACCTGTTATCCTAGTTCAGAATACCAAGTTGAATGTCAACATAAGGGTAAAATGTAAATCTAGGCTATGTGATGTACTAAATGGTCATATCAAAGAAATTGTTACAGTGTTATATTGACTTAGTAAATAACGCCTAGCCTATGGTCACTTTCAATTAAATATTGAACTTAGCTCTCTTAATCTCTGTCTAACTGGCTGTTCCAATAACTAAACGTGCCATACACAATAACCTGTATTTTAACACTTTCGATTGAGAAGTATTCATACTAGTAAATTTTGAAATATTATATAATGTTCTATGTGATATTCATGCTGATCCGGGATATCAACCAGCACTGTCCTTAATATTAAAAGGGAAGCAAGCTCTGTCTTTAATATTAAAGGGGAAGAAAGCTTTATATTTAATATTAAATGGGAAGAAAGCTCTGTATTTAATATTAAAGGGGAAGAAAGCTCTGTATTTAACATTAAAAGGGAAGCAAGCTCTGTCTTTAATATTAAAAGGGAAGCAAGCTCTGTCTTTAATGTTAAATGGGAAGAAAGCTCTGTATTTAATATTAAAGGGGAAGAAAGCTCTGTATTTAATATTAAATGGGAAGTAAGCTCTGTATTTAATATTAAAGGGAAAGAAAGCTCTGTATTTAACATTAAAAGGGAAGCAAGCTCTGTCTTTAATATTAAAAGAGAAGCAAGCTCTGTCTTTAATGTTAAATGGGAAGAAAGCTCTGTATTTAATATTAAAGGGGAAGCAAGCCCTGTCTTTAATATTAAATGAGAAGCAAGCTCTGTCTTTAATATCAAAGGGGATGCAAGCTCTGTTTTTAATATTAAAGGGGAAGAAAGCTCTGTCTTTAATATTAAGGGGAACTGAGCACTTTCTTAACCTTAATGCGAGTAAACTGTTCACTATACTAGTTGTTTACTTGTTATCTTGTTGTTTTAAGCACATGCATAAAGGATGGTTTAAATTTATCTTAAATGACTCCTGTGTAATGTTTGAACAGTAGAATTTTAATTACCCATGAAAAAGCAAAGATAGAAAATACAAAATCCTAACATATAAGACAACTTAAGATGTTTTATATGATGTATATTGTCAATTTATGGTTGGTATACACTGTACAGAAACCTATCCTTGAAATATAATTGTCATATCAAATGAAAGCTTAATTTGGAACAATTTCAAATTATAGGGGTTTGCTTTGTTGTACATTTTGTACTATTGTTATGTACATGGCCACATAGACCTGTTAAGAGGCTAGATAGCCTGTTTGTTGTACATTATAATCAAATCATATCTGTATAATGTTAGGTTGTATATATAATCAGATTATATCTGTATATGTAAGGTTGTATATGTAGTTAGGTTATATCTGTATATTTTAGGTTGTGCAAGTAAATTATAGCTATGTTGTACATGCCTTCATGTTGTATTTGTAGCTTAATCCATAGGTTGTACATTTAAATCATAAAAGGGGGTACATATAAGAGTCATATCATAACTTGTTTTATACAGTTAATTTGTTAGTACTTTTTTAATCATTGTACTTTGTACATGCACATGACTGTAAGCTAGTGAAGTTTTTCTCCACATAATTGTGTAATATATTGTTGTAAAACAAAGGTCACAGAAGCCAGAGGAAGTATATATCTGTTATAGACACATTTTAATTACTGTATTATTTATTTTTGATTCTCATATGTAATACTTAATATTGTCAATAAAAACACTTTGGCAAGACTGTCTTGTTATTTATTATTTGGGGTTTTTTTTCTGTGAAATGGAAGAGCACTACTTTTGTGTATTTGCAAGAGATTGATCAACACTTTGATCATTTTACAGAAAGATAATTTGAAAACTGTACAAAGGTCATCTATGATTCTAGTAAGATTTGATTGAGGCATCAAGTTCTATTCCCTCATAATTTTGCAAAATGACTATCAAACATCAAGAGTTCAAAGTTAAAGGAATAAGTTGTCATGAAAGAAGACGATGACATCATGTGTAGCAAAAAGGTTTTTCTGTTTTCAAAAGCAATAGATATAACTCATTTAAGAAGTATTTAATTGGCACATGCATTGTATCCTCAAGACAGGTTGATATTGAAGAGATTCACATTAGGGTATTCTTAATTAAGCTTTACGATTAAAGGGAAGCAACTCATTTTATCATATCATCGATAGTTGTGGTCTGAAGCCAATTCAACCGGAAGTAGGATATCAAGATGGCTGACGATGGAGAAATAGACATCGAAGGGGAATTTGATTTCAAGCTAGAGTAATTAATTTATTTCTTTGACAGTCAGAATTGCGTTGGCTTTTTAACAAAATGCCAGGGAAAGGTATCATGCGTCCAATTATTGTGCCACTTTAGAAATAACACGATTAAAAGCATATTTTTGTCGCACATCTTTTCCATTGACTTTGTTGTTATTGTTTTGACAAAGTAATGACACTGATTATTGAAAATTAAAAGTAATTATTGGCATTATTTTTGATTCATAACTTATTAGAAACTTCAAACAGAACTGTTTTACATGTGTCTGTGTATTTTAAGGTATTTCCTAGTCTGAAATTAGCTAATATGAATGTGTCATCTCACTCTACAGACCATTCTGTTTCTTCCCTCTGACCTAAGTAATGGGTCAAATAAATCTTGTATGGTTCATTCCATGTATATGGTTGTACAATATATTTTATTGAAATTTATATAGGGTAGAAGATGGCTTTTATGATGTTAATGAACTACCATCTAAAAGTGCCAACTTGTTGCCAGAATATACTAACCCACCATGGATGTTGGAACAGGTAAGTTTTAAAAGATGAGAAGCAAAATCATCTAATACAAAATGAAAATGCAGAAATCTATGTACTAGTATGACTAAGCTTATAGTATTTATAAGTGCATATCTGTATTTTTTTCTTCTCCAATTTGCAGCATAACTTTGACAACAGGAAATGATTGGTAACGTTCCAGAAGGAAACTTCATGGTTTCTCTTGCTTACCTACTAAGTATTTATGTGCATTTTTGTTATCATATAGTTATACGGTATATCTTTTAATAGCTTATTCTAAACTAAATTTTTATTTTAGGGATGGACTTTGGATATGGATGAAAAATCTAAAGCTACTATTGAAAAAATGTTGCTTGAAGAACAGTATCCTTTATTCAATGAATAAATTATATTACAATCTATTGAATTAAAAGTAAAATATTGTGCAAACTTAAAATATTGAAATATTATTGTTAAACTTATGCTATTGAAAACTTTTATGATGTTCATCATAAAACAAAAATATTGCTGAAATTTTATCCTTCAATTGAATATCTAGACAATATCTAAATGGTAAAACTAGAAGTAAACAATCAACATTTATAGAACAAGTGGTCAAAAAATCACAACCAGCCAAAATAAAACCTGTTCAGGCTAAACTACAGACAGTTAACATGTCAGCTAAACCTGGTAAAAATAAGAGAAATAAAGGTGTATGGACTGATGAAGAGAAAGCCATGTTTCTTAAAGGGCTTGTAAGTGATATTCATGATGTGATTATTTAATGTCTGAAATGTCCTATGTGTCAGATTTACGCATGCATATGCTGAAAAATAGGCCTCATTGGCAGTATGGATAGTTTTGGACCAAACTATTTTTTTAATAGAAGCATTAGCAACAAACTTTAAGACTTACAGAAAGTGATGAGAAAACAGAACAGAAATAAAGGTACATGTACTGCCTGAAGTCCAAAAATTTTATATACATCAAAAAACTTATAATTCCAGGAAATATTTGGAAGAAGTTGGGTGAAGATTTCAGAATTGATACCCTCCAGAACAAGTTTACAAGTCAAAAATTATGCTCAACAACATTTTAAGAACCTTGTAAGTTAGTTGTTCATATTTTTGAAGCAATCAGATGAAATGCTGATCGCATGTTAGATTTCAGGATTTTATTTTGCGTTTCTTCATTTCTCCATTTCAGGCAAAACATAAAGATATACCAAAGGAAATCAACAAGTCTGAAATAAGTCCTCCCAGTGTTAATATTGATCTCTTGCAGTCAGTACTAGAATCTGTAGAAACAGGGCAGCCTACAGTGAAAACAGTTAAACCCTGCGCAAGATCCCCAAATAATAAATCAAAAACTTTTTCTAAGGAAACAGTACCAAGTCAATCTTTCACAAATGTAGCAGAAAAACTTGTGTCGAACAATGAGAAATTTTCTTTCAATTTAATGAATAAAAAGACTACCTCAGTTTTATCTCATAATGTTAAAAGTTTGAAGCCAAAAGTTTTCACTTCTGCTAACTCAAGAACAGATGTCATGTTTGAAACAGAACTGCACAATAATCTTCTTAGCAGTATGTTGATACAAAATACTATCTCAAACTCAAAAGAGTGTGAACCAGACACTTCGAAACAAATGCCTACAACCATACTTACTGAACACAATTATCAATCTCATTCTATGGAAGATAAAAGACCTACCGATCTTGACTTTGTAAGTGGTGAGCAGACGTCAAATAGTGATAGTGAAGAATTGGACATTGACATTGAAAATGATGATGTAGAGAATCCTGTTTTGTTAACTAGATCAACATCACCGACATCAGTTTACGAAAAACTGCTCAAATCAGCTAAAGTTAATTTACGTGATAGTGAGTCTGACAGTGAACAAAGTGATAAAGATGAGGAAGAACCTCAATCTATAAATTTGCCTGTTCGTTCTAGTCTTCAAGCAAATGAGTTTTCTGGGAAAATTTTGCCAAAAGATGAAACAGAAATCAGTCATAAAAATCAGGATGATGTTAGTAAATATGTCATCGATAATGATAGTCATGCTGATCAAAATGGCTTGAACAAACATAATAGTGTGATAGAAACAGACAACAACGACCTCAGAATAAGAAATCAAAAAACAATGGGTAACATTGCTATTTTTTATACCCGGTACAATTAATAAGGATTTTCACATTTTTCATCTTTTAGAACATTAATACAATAGACATCTGAAATTGATCGGATAATTGTCTTTTACATTCACAGAATTCTGTCAGCTGCAGAAATTGTTTTTAAGACAAAAGTGAGGTTTTCAAATTTAAAGCTCAGGACTCCAGATAAACACATGCACATGAAAATTGCCCATATTGTTATATATGTATGATTGTGTATAAATGATGGACAAAATGTGCTTCAGAAGTTTGGAAATTGCATTCAAATTGAGTTAATGGCCTGTTTTATTCTTTTATATGTTAATGTTTATATTTTCAGCAGTCAATGGTGTGACGTCATCATCTGGTGAATTGGTAGAATTTCCAATACCAACTGCACCAATCACTTTAAACTTTGATGAAATTAGTGAAGAAGAGCAGACTATACATTCAGAATTTTTTGATGGAAGAATTGCTAAAACACCAGATCGTTACTTGAAAATTAGAAATCACATAATAGAAACCTGGTAAGCATGATTTAGTTTAACTTAATTTATAATGATAACATCAAGACTTGTTCTACTTTTAACATTTTCTTCCTTGATAAGCCCAGGTATATTTTTTTATCCTTTTGTTTTTTATTGTTATTTCCAAAGATCTTGTTTTCTAACAAACAATATAAAACCCAATCTTGTAAACCAAGGTCAAAGCTTAAAAAAAGTGGTATATATTGTAGGTATAAATGTAGACCTGTATATTTAAATAAAACAGCAGTAAGAAGAGGATTAAAGAATTGTGGAGATGTTAACTGTATTGGTAGAATACATAGTTATTTAGAATGTATTGGTGTTATTAATTTTGGGTGTGGTAAGTTGGATATATTTGAATTGTTCTCTTGTCTAATTCCATATGAAAGCTAATGTTCTATGAAAGGAAAATATGGGAAGAAATGATTAATTAAATATGCATTAGAGACAAAAAATGTAAATTTAGACACTTTTATGTGTTGACTTGAAAATTTGGCTTTGGTTACTGGTAGTGTTTTTATCAGGTTTGGTAGACTGAGGCTCCAATATGTAAGCTGTCTTGCCTGATATTTCCGATGAGCAGCCTTCTTCTTATGTTACAAACAATTTTTTAACTGATGCTTAGCAAACAGATCGTGTGTTGATAAATCTTTTTCAAAGATTAAAACAGACATTAACCATATTATTTTATTCTAAATTAACATCTGTGCGAAAATATATACATTTTCGCCGAAATATTTGAGTTATTGTCATGGTACAGTAGCTAAATGTTTGTATTTTTATTTCAGAACTGGCATTATATAACAATTTAAATAAAACTCAGATAGTTAATATAAAAAGTGAATCACCTGTTTATAATGTACAACACAATAATATAGATAAACAGGATTTAGTTAGTGTAAGTAGTATAAGTATAAGGTTCTTTGTTATTCTGTACACATGTTTTCTGATACTTCTATGAGGGCTTTGAGTGTTGGTCTTTTGTTGACTCCCAGTAGCAAGTCTGCTAGGAATTCAAGTATTGGTTCAAATGTACTAAAATGACCTCATGACTATTAAAATATATATCTAAAGCTATGGCCATTAATATTTATATATATATCTTTGTTTTAGAGATGTAGAAAAAGAAGAATAAGAGATGGAATGGGTGAATGGATAGATATTAAGGATTCAGAAGGAAAGACTATTGAGGTCAATAGTGTATTTTATGATCGATTGATTTAATAAAACAGTTTTCAAACAAATGCTCTGTCTCCCCTTCAGTTACCTACTGATGTCAATAACTCCTTCAGAGCAAAATCATAAAAGAATAGAGATTTGGAAACTACTTGTTCAGTACAAAATGAGAAAAAAATGGGAAACCTTTTAGAAACTAAGCTCAGGGTTTATCAGTCCTGTCCAAGAAAGGTTCTTGAATTTTAGCTGTTATTATTAATACATTCATTAGTCTTTTCATCTTTTTACAGCATAAAGATTTTTCAGAGGAAGACTTGAAACCAAAAGTCATAAAAGTTTTTAAAACCAGCTATGATCCCTTTAAATTGATTCCTTGTCAAAAATTTACTGAGGATAAAAAGGTGAGAAAGATTCTGTAAACACTTATTTTGTTTTTTTTTCAAAATTTGGCGAAAGATTTCACTGGTGAATGGTGATTCTTCAACAACTTATTTGACCCCTTTACTGCTTGGAGCAGCAGCACTGGCGGTTATGACATTGAAAAAACATCTAGTTTTTTTTCAAGATTCTAAAATTTCGATAAAGAATGGTCTAAAAATGATTGATATTTGTATTTTCAGGCACCATTTAATGTTGAAGTCAACAATTCCCCACTGATTGTAATGGATGTGCATGCCCATATCTCTAAGACTGAGGTAATAGGAATGTTGGGAGGGAGGTATGATACTGACTGTGGTAAATTAGAAATATTGGTTGCTGTACCATGTACTAGTTTGAGTACTGGAATGCAGTGTGAAATGGATCCAGGTTAGTCTAAGTCTAAAACATAATTTTGTGTGACTAGTTTCTGTCCTTGAATATTGAAAATGTGTAAGCTCAAAATTTTCAATGTAATTTCTTAAAACTGGGTATATTGTATGTTTAAATTCAGTTTTCAATCTACAATCTAAAAGAAACTGCACGCCTATCTGGTTTTATCTTGTTAACATCTTTGTATCATTCTTTTCAGTATCTCAAACTCAAGCTAGTGAAGAAATTTCTAATAAAGGGTTGAAAGTTGTTGGATGGTATCATTCTCATCCTACCTTCTCACCTAATCCTTCTATTAGAGATATTGAAACACAGATCAAATTTCAGGTAATACTTCTCCCAGGTGAAGTTATTTTTAAATAGATTACAAGAGCTGCTTAATACAATAGTATAAGCTAAATATGTTTTGATTATAGATTCGATTGAGAATATACATTGTAGACCCTGGTTCAAGTCATCTTCCTAATTCCATGATTTATATTTGTTAACAACAATTCATATATTCTACATGTATTTTGAAAATTATTTTCCAGGATTGGTTTAGTAAACTTGGTGGTAATCATTTTGTTGGTATAATAGTCAGTCCCTATAATAGAAATAATCAGGGTTATTTGTCAGAAGTTAACTGTTTAACTATTAGTCAAGATATTTGTCCCCAATTACACTGTAGTAAGTATAAAAAATGTTAAAACTCTATTGTATTTTTGTATTCTGATTCACTGTCATTTAGGCACATTGTTTTTATTAAGCACAGTGCTTTTGGCACATATTCATTGTGGCACATCCTTTTTAAGCACATGCATATTTGGCATAGTGTTATCTTATAACACAATTGATGCCTAAATGTAGGTGTGCCTAAATGACCTTTTCCTAACTGACTGAGTTCTATATAATTATTATATATTTTCAGATATACCATATGAATTTGATTATAAGGTGGTATATTCTATATGGAATAAAGATATAGTGAAAAGTATTAGATTATTAGCTGAAGATTATTTAACAAGTTATAACCATATTAAACTATCAGTATTATATAAACAGTCAACTGGAATTACTTGTTTACAAAAGGTAAATCTGTATGTTAGGATATGCTAATAACTGCATTTTAATTAACCCTTTGAACCCTGAGTGTAACATGCTAAAAGTAAAAACGTATGACATATCACTTATAAGGCATACCAGCTGTTCGGGTATATATTGCGTTAGTGTATGGCCAGTAAACCGGCTGCTAGGGTTGAAAGGGTTAAAGAACACTAAAACTTTCTCATCAGTTCACAAAAGATGAAAAACTGCTTTCATTTTTTGCTTTAACAGTCCACTGCAATGTGTTTCGATAAAAAGGGATTAAAATTTGAAGGTGAAGTATCTAATCTTGGCCCATTCTTAATGTGCACACCACTTTGCCAACTTTTTCGCTGCAATATGTGATTTTTATTCATTTTGTAGATGCTGGAGTCATTGAAACAATATATTGAAGATGATAACAGTAGAGAGGAGATTCTCAATATTACAGAGATATTATTTAAAGATAAAGAAAAGAAAGTCACAGAAACTAAATTAACTTGTGATCAAATAATTACAAGTATGGACAAAAATGGGACACAGAAATCCTTAAAGACCTCAGATAACTCTCCTGTTATAGAGACCAAAAATTCCTGACATGATGTAATTTTGTTAAGTGATAGTTATTGTCATTAGTGATAAAGGATTATTTATGAATATAAAGAGTTTTAATGGAATGCTTTTTGTTGAAAATTTCCTCAGAACATCTCAAGGAAATGTCGTCGTGCACTTAGGCCCTGATTGGCCTTTCAGTGTGCAACAAATCTAAATTGGCCAACAGGGGCTTTAGCAAGATCGCATTCATTGGTCACATCTAATAAACTGAGAAATATATCAAGCTTTGTAATAACTCTTCTTTCATTTTATGATTTTCTGGGCTGCTTTTAGAGGAGAGTGTGTTAATGCTTTTTTTTTTTTTTTTGCATTCCACCCGTTTCAAAGACTGTTTTTCTCAATAACAATTAGGAGATCTATGTACATGTACAGCCTGTGGAACATGGGGCCTCATTTTACTGTCTTGTCCTGCTGTTAACCCCTTTGTTCTGCATATTTAGAAACTCAGTAAAAAAAATCAATAGCATTTAGGTCAGCGATATATATAGGATATTTTCCAGTTATATATTTCTAAGAAGTCTCAAGTGAGAAATAGCTTAACAATAAAGATGAAATTTAACAACAAAATTTGTAATAGTTTTATTATAAATAAGTAGCACCCAAATAATACAATATTCATTCATTGTAGATAGCACCAAAAAATATCATTGCAGAATAAAGTTATAATCACATCATTTTTAAGCACCCAACTCCAAAAAAATAAAAACAATATTAAATAAGCTAAAACTACAAATCTTGTTACAAAGAAATAACAAAATATAAATTGAAACCTTATCAAGAAATTAATCATCACAGAAATTTAATGACAATGACAATGATTAATTGAAGAGAACTATGGGTTATAGATAGCTGATTTTGCCCTTTTTTTCTAGTTTCTGGAAAATTGAGGTAAATTGGTCTGACCTTAAGGTAAAAAAAATAATTGATAACATCAGAATTAAAGAATACCCACTCTTCAGACATTAATATATGAACCAAAATTGATTTCATAATATCGGGGAGAAAGGATTAAGTTAGAATTTTGGTTTTTATGATCCTGATACACATTTCCCCAATACAAAAATATTTTAATTTCATCTTTATAGCAAGTCATAAAGTTATGTATAAAGTTTATGATATATAATGTAATTTACTGACATAAATATGTAATTTATTACTGACATGTTGGAAAGACCATCTGTTGAAGCCTAATAAATAAATGAATTTGTCAGATGACTTGATTCATTTCTTTTTGAATATTATTATATATTATTATTTAACTTAAGATTTTACATTAAATCATCCATTAGATTTGTCATCAATTCAAGTATTTTAATTCATTACTACATGTAAAAGAGTTCATTCCTAATCATCTGGGACTTCAATATCTGAATTTCTGAATATCTGAAGAATTACATTGAACATCTGAATCATTTTTAAAAACAATTGCAATGTAACAAAAACATTCTATGTATGAAAGGGCATTATAACCATAATGAGCAGTTATGATCGATGATGTCATAATGTATCAGACATCATTCATTATTCAATTATAATACAAATATCACAAAGTAGGAAGTTATCATGGATGACGTCATGATATATAAGACATGTAAAATTCATTATTGAATAATGATACCAATATAAAAATGTAGGAAGACATAATGGATTTGTATAAACATTAACATAACACTACTTTTAAAAAAAATCCTGATAAAGTTTTTATGAATTTTCCGAAATTTTCAATCTGTTGTTATCAGTGTCCCCGATACACATAACAAGTTTTAGAAAACCTCTTAACAATTCCTTTAAGATAGTCCTGAATGTATTTTTTGTCGATGCTGAACAAATAAAATGCAAGTGAAATAAATTTTGATTAATGTTTTGATTTAATTGTTTTATCTCAGTCACGTATTCTCTACACATGGCATTTTGATTTGAAAACATCAAGTCTAGCCGTCAAGATAAAGTATATTTATATGTTTAAAGTAAATGTTTTAAACAAGTCTACAGAAAAAGTGTTGCAGTGCATTTTTCGTCAAAATTCTATTTGGAAGGCTTTTCATTAAAGTCAAAAAATGCGTAACTTGAATCAGGTTATAGTCAACAGCAAGAAAAAGCCATAAAACTCATGGCAACAGCTGCCAACTGGCAGTAATAAAAAAAATATAGTTCTCAACGTATTTGCCCTATACTAGCTATTAGAGCTCAATTTCATTTCTCCGTGTTATAATTCTGATTAAACAAAGACCTATCATGAAATTATAAACATTGTAAGAAGCAGTTACTACAGATGACAACATAATATTTGCATGTGAAATTTGGCTGGTTACAGTCTGAGCTTTCATTGTACAATTTTGTAAAATTATGGGAACTAAATAATTCTGAAAATTAATATAGATATCTAAATTCGAGCTCTAATAGCTGACAAATACGTTATTGAAATAACTTAGTTTTAAATCCAAGAAAGATGAGTATTATAATTAGAGTTCTGAATGACTAGGTGAACTGTCGTGGTAACCCCAAAAAGTGGAAGGTAAATTATGGACTTTTCTATGGCGACTGACAAATGCTGAAAATGATGAGCAGCATGAACCAATAAAATGAGTTGATTTTTGTAAAACAGCTAAATTCAGTTGAGGCATTCTTCCTTCATGATCATGTACTTTCACCTAAATTGGAAAAAAGATTTGTGCTTACTATGATTATCTGATTCTAAACACTGTTAAGATTAAAGTGTGTAAAATATCAGGAAATTCAGAATCAAACAGTCAAAAACAAGTTCTTAAATCTAGATCATTGCAATTGTAATGAGAGTAAATAAAATATGGTACCTTTTCAATCTGATATCTCCAAATTCTGGGATATTCTACACAAGGTTGTAAGATTTGAGTGGATAAAAATATGTACATTGTAAAGGTAATATTCATAGCCTACATATTTAGTCCAAAATGTACTCACACTTAGATCCTTAAGATGTTCTCTGATTTCTTCAACCATTGAATTACTATCAGTTGATATATAAACTATGAAGATATTCTTTTCTATGACAATTTCTCTCACATGACTATAATCATATTATAAAAGTTAATATTCTCTTTTGAAAAGCTAGGAACTTTAAATTTCATTATTGTTAGTAGTAGACTCTATTCCTGCTTTTATGATGCTGGTACACAATCCCCCTTGAAACGATAATACTGTGCTCAAACCAGTACCTGGACTCAATTTAAGTGGTATCACATCAGAGTTTGCATTTCAACCCCTTTTGCAATCCAATATTTCCTATGATTAGCTAAAATTAAAATTTATTACAACAATCTGTAAATCAAATGTTTTGTGAAAATTTTTAGCAAAATCTAGAATATATGCAACTCCATTACCTCAAGGAACTAGCATCATTGACAGTTTTTTTGAAGATTTACTACTAGGACAAATTGCTACTGAATTATTATGAAATGCGAACTACAATTTTATCTTGATTAGCCAAAAATGAAATTTGGTGTGATAAATTGCTACTCAAATATTTAAATCTAAATTGAACCCTGATCAGTACACCTCAAATTTTATTTCACAATATGTGTTGGTACCTTAATATAGTGTCTTCAGTTGGATAACAAACATTTTCATGTATTTCTCTATCATTATTAAAACCATAACACTGATATGAGGACATAAATGATTTTAAACCTTTGATATGAGCACATGCTTTAAGCTGAAAAAAAAACATATATCTTATTTGAAATATGACTGTATAAATGAAAATCAACATACTACATATATAGTCAAGATCTACTCCTTAACCATATTAATGGCTAAGAAGGCTAAATTTTCAATGGTAAGCTGTGACAAGACAAGACAAGGGATAAATGATTTCTGAAAATGGTGAACCATAGCCTTAAAGTCTTTTAAAAAATACTAAACCTTTCCCAAATGTCAATGATAATCTTTTTTTGTTTCATCTATAACTTTACACTGCGAAAATTTAACTAATACAATATATTCAAAAGAAAACTATTGATGTTACCCAATCTATACCATTTCTCAGATGTAAACCAATAAATTTTTTATCAGAAAAATAAGACTGAATCAGTACATTAGTTTCTGTTTCAATTTCTTCCGCCCATTGTAAATATTGCTGAAGGTGTACATGTTTCTCTAATACAGGGAATCGTGCTGGAGAACCTTTAAAAGCCATCACTGGGTATTTATCGGCAGGATATTTCCTAAACATGGAAATCAAAATAAAAAACAATTACCTCCTAAAGAAAGCTCTTTAACAATTCATGCAAATATCTTCAGCTAACCAGATCAGTCTATCAGGGACAGGGGCCTGATCCAGAAGGCTATACGACCACACTTACACAACCTAATATCTTATGGCAGCTTAAACAACAAAATTGAAGTCCAATGCATTGATTAGATTGCCAATGAAATTGGAGCATTTGTATAAGGTTTTAAGGGAGATACTTATGGCTTAGGTCACAAGTAGGGATTCTGGATTTAAGCATTGGAATACATCTATTTGGTCTGAGGCTTAAGAGTTCAAACCAGGGTTTGTGATGAGAAAAGAACAGACAATAATTGGTGAAAGTTCTCTACTAACAATGCAACCTAAATTTCACCCAAAAATCTCAAAACACTTGACAAGATGTGATGAAAAAATAATAATGTTTGATGAAAACCCTTCTTTTCTACTTTAATAATACTAGGAGTGGTTATAAAAACATCCACTACAGTAGAATACTCTTTACTATTAACTGTTTTATTTACAGTACTCAGTACATACAATTGAGAGACGGTTAGTTATAAATTAAAATTGGTATTCTTGCTCACTGATGGTATAGTTTCAAGATTAGTTACCATTGCTTTTTTTTTCAATGAAGCTAACACTGTCTAATTAATGAGGACATGCAAAAGTTAAGCAAGTTATGACCATTTATAATGACTTAATATCAAAAAGACCTCACTACTCATGTTTCAGAATTTTTCAATTTGAACTGAAAAGATGTGGGCATCCATCTTTAATTGGAATTAAAGTTTATTGACTTAATCTTAATTCACTCTTTCTATGTCTACTTAACTTACAGCGTTCATTCAAAAACAAACTACTAATGAACGGAGGACTGTAAGAATTCATTTTACCAAATTGATGAAATGTGTCCATGTTTAAATACTTGATGTATGTTGTGTGTTTCTCTGAGTAAAAATATCTCATCATCATCATCATCAATTTCAATAGTTATATTGTAAAATTTGTACATATTCATCAAGGAATATACTGGTCTCAATATCTGCCATAAATGCCAGTAGAATGCAACAACCAATTTGAATTTTCCTTTGTTAATAGAAATAATTTTCTGATTTGTCTACAATTAAAGCAATCAGCAAAGGTTAAAGTGAAAGCAGCTATTGTTGATATAATAAAGTCCAGAAAATCATACTACATCCCTTTAACACCAATAATAACCTATATCAGATTTTATGTTTTAGTTGAATGAACATTAATTGAATTAATAACCGAATATTACCGTTTCCACGTTTCAGCATCTTCATAACTTGTGTTAAAATAGACATCAGAATCAAAATCAACCGATAAACCATCCCAAAATTGATAGAAAGGATTGCCTGCAATATACAAAAAAAAGTTTGAAAACATGCAGTGGATTACTAAAAACTGTATATACATATTCATTTACATTATTTTATATTCAGCTCATAAAACACTAGCTTAAGACTTAAAAGATTTGAGATGAAAACCTCCATTTTAAAACATCGGAAAATAAGAACAAAGTTGCACATTTGTTTTGTTCTTAACCATGAGTAAACATGTGTTAGATTACATCAATTATCTCTTGTGAAGTCAATTAAGATAATTTTTTGGGAACATATCTACTGTTTCTGATTTCAAAACAAATTAATATCCTTGAAAATTACCTTTTTTCATATCACAGGCATAGGACGGATCCATGTGGGAACTTTTATAACACCATCCCTCTCTTTTACCCTCAGGCCAATGTCTAGGTGCCAAATGTTTCATAAAATCCTCAGCCAAAATAACTCTATGATACTGTTTTATAGGTTCTACTTTGAAAAATGAGTTGAATGGTTCATTTCTCTAAAGATAAAAGATAGTTAATCTATTGTGATCTGATTAAATTATACACATTTCTGTTTAGCTTGAATCATATTTTTCACTAAGACAGTTTATCATAGCAGTTTAATGCATATTTTGAAAAGAATAACTTCAAAGATTGTGCACAAAAACAGAGAAGATTTTAAGGGATATATTAATCCAAATAGACCTCACTGTTAGTTATGTATAGCCCTTCACAATTGGAATCAAACACTTGGTTCTTCTGCAACTCAACAAAAGTTGTACCATGGTAGATTTGACTAATAAATGCAGATTATATAGAGCTTATGTTAAAAATTTGTCAAAAAACTTCAATTGGCACTTACATAGGTTCTCCAAGGAGGAAGAACTAATGTTCTATTAATACTTTTAGCAAAACCTAAACTTCCTAAGAAATGTTCAGCCTGATTTCCAAATCTTCCTGAAAAAATAGTTAATCTTAATACAAAACAAGTGAACAATAGCAGTATAGGCTATAGGCTAAAGACTCAAGCCAAGTGTGTTTCTAAACAAAGACATGAAAGGGAAAAGTAAAAAGTTTTTTTTTTTTTAAAGTTAGATGTAAAGAATTTTTAAAAAATAGAAATCACTTCGAATTTTCCAAGTGAATTAGATTTAAGAATAAATTGTAAACTTCACAAAACTAATTTATCCCCACTCACCCATGCAGGGACAATAAATAACATATCCAGATTCATCCCATTCCAAGCACCAACAAACACCAGGGCATAATACAGCTAGGCCTAGAGCTGTACACAATACTAGATAGTTCATGTCATAAAAGTTCGTCTGCTAGGCCTAATGCTACCTGCATAATTAATACAAGATTTAAAGTTGGAGGCAACTTGTAAACATATGAGCACCTGCTACAGCCTAACAACTCTTATTTGAGTTTCGATTAACAGGTCTCTTTTTATTAATCATTGGAGACTATTGTTATTTTTGATAACCTAGACTACAAATTATGACGTCATATAGGAAATTGTAAACATTACACTGGAAAACATAATCCCAAGTATTATGGCATTCATTTGGCTGAAATTAATGGAAGAAGTTTTAACAAGAACATTCAAAGTAGATAATGGGTATTTAGTCTTAGAAATTAAATATATCTATTCAAAATCAGTCACGTTTAGACCCTTTATTGCCCGAAACGATGCGAAAGGATAAGCAGGAAGTGAAGGAACTATTTGATCATCCATTACAGAAAATACTATTGTAAACGTAGAAGTATTTGTTTCAATTTCAGGCGTTATTTCAGCCGAAATTACAAAATGAATCGTCTTAAATTCGAAATAAGCAACCCTGAATCATATAGGTGTTGTTTCTGCTGCCATGTCAGAACTGGTACCCTTATAATTGGGTTGTTTTACTTGGTAAGTTGTCGGGTGTGTGAGAGCTACAGATGATTACTGAAAGAAAAGTGAAACTGAAATTTGGATGTGTCATGTCAATGATTTCCACTGAAAAAGTAACGCATCCGTATTAAGCCACAATTCTAGACCAACACCCATTGCAATTGTGGATATAAATTTACAATCAGTTTTTGCCATTTGCATCCACGAATCAGCAGACAGATAAAGTTCCACTCTTCCAGATCAATTAAAAATAGTATTATAATTCCATTCTCTTATCAATGTCTGTTTATCTCAACTTCTCAAGGCAATCAATTTCATAGATAAAAAGGCTAATCATAGATACACATATTACTTGAAAAAACCCACCACTACAATGAATTTTTCCCAATCTGGTAGGGTACCGGTACTGGTAGAAAGATTCAAACAAATAACTGTCACTGGATCAATAACTTCTATTTTTCTTAGTTTGTTAAAACAGAATTTTAAATTTTTTTTTTTGTAAACAATTCAAAAAAAAAAAATCTGAAAAACTTCTGTTTTGGCAATCTATTTCTGCACAGGCTACACTAGGCAACACTGAATTTTTGATCTGAGATTTTTGCTTAAACTACTGAAGAATTCTTATTTTTTTTTATTGCAGCTTGCACAGTTAGCATGCATTGGCTTACTGTTATTTTTGTCAATTAATCCTGATGTGTTGGCCCCAAAACCAGATAGTCATATGATGACTGATAGTATTGTGGTTACAGAGAATGATGATGGATATTTCATTGACACATACTCTGTTTTCACCCGTAAACAATTCACTAAAGGTAAGAAAATATCAACTTAAAGTTATCTTTCTATTGCTAATTATACTATTGTATGATATTAATGAAGAATGCATAAAAATGATGTTACTGTTCATGTTCAAAGGAGTGTAGTTATATTTTTTTTTTTGTCTACAGAAGATATGTGTGTTGCTTATGGTCTGACCTTTGCTGCAATTTTAATCACAGCTTCGTTAATCTATGGTGTAATAAGGGTAGGTATTGAGTTTGTTTCTATGTGATATTATTGTTCTTGATACAAAACATCTTTAGAAGCACTTCAAATACCAATAAGATCATTTATGGATATTTGTATTTAATCAGTTGACATCTTAGTAGCAATTCTCAATATATTTCTTTTTACATAATTCCTGAATAAATTTAATTTCAGACCAAGCCTCGATACCTCCTACCATTTTTCTGTCTTCAAGTTTTTGATTTCTGTTTGAAATGCATCACTGTTGTTGGATTTTTCACTTATGCTCCTAACATTAAGCTGTGGATTGAACAACAAGGTCTAGTAAGTATGATTCAGGATTGATAAGCCATGAGACCATGAGTATTCTTATCTTTAGTGAATTACAGTCATATAAGCATAACTTTTGTATTTCATTGTCTCATATCACAGGAAGATGGCGTGGATTAAGAAAGAAAGGAATTAAATTTGTATTAATGATTATTTCTAATTATTGTAGGCTAATCTACCAGGCTGGAATATGTTGATGAAAATGGATAGTAACTGGTTAATGCTTGGTTTCGTCACATTCTTTGTCTTTGTCTTGTGTATCAAGGTGGGTTTTTTGATATTTGATCAAACCAGAAAATAACTTTCAAACCGGGTGCACTTAACAGGGTACAAATGGTTTAAAATTGTCCTCCAAATATAAACTCAGTAAGGTGTTATTCAGCCTTAAGGAACAATCTGTCATTGGTCAATACAGTCCATTCAGATTTTCATAATTCATAAAATATTCCATGAAGAAATCGTGTCTCATATTAACTTTTTTTCACTGTAACTACGATATAAATATTTCAAATTATACTCTGAAAATTAGTGCATATTACTTAAAGTTAACATTATCATTTTGATAACAGACAATTCAACAATAGCTGTAGTAGATTGCATGATATTAATTTACAAGGGTAAGAGGTTTTTTTTACAATGTTGAAAATTTGCTGTCAAGCTGTAGGATCTGATTTATGTTGATTTTTATGTTATAGGCTTATTTGATTGGTGTGGTATGGGCTTGTAATAAATACCTACATTTGAAATTGGCTAACAGAAGTGTTGTCAGAGAATATACAGTTGATCCAGACTCTGAGGTATGGACTTTCATAGAAAACAGTCCTAAACTTGAAAACATTGAAAAATAAAAGACAGTTTTGAAACAGCCATTCCCATTTAAAGCTAGGTTGATCAAGGAGAATGTAAAAAGATAATTTTTTCAGAATCACAGAATTTTGCCCAGCGCTCAATATGAAGTTATAATTTTCAAGTTAAATGACATGTATTCAGTTGGTCTGATTGTGATAAATGAATTGTGAATAGATTTAATCTGATATTCTGACTATGATTTTTACACGTCCACATCTTTCTATGTGGACGTATATTGTCGGTACCCCCAGCCGTCTGTCAACATTTGCTTGTAAACGCTCTAAAAACTAGAGTTTTTGATGGAATCAAATGAAATTCGGTATGTGCATACATATTTATGAAACGAAGGTCCGTCGGTTTGTCGCCCCAAAATCTTTAATATTTACCATCCGCATGCTTGCGGTGGGCGTATGAGGCTGTGGTCCACGATCTTATGTATTATAATTGTTCTTTATTTAGATGCTTCTACCACCAAAATATGAAGATGCCATCAAAATGAATGTTCCAGTAAAGATGGATGGACCAGCTCCTCCACCTTATGCTCCTTAATTTACTAAAAAAATAAATCCAATTGAAGTTCAGTTTACATCACAACTTTATTCAAATTTTATATAGATTTACAATAATTACATATGTGGATGTAATCATGGCTTTTTCAATCCTTATTTCAACTTAGTGGGTTATTTATTTATATAAGTTCAAAGTCTACAATATCATCTCTAAAATCTGAATAAGTTACATATTCTTTATTCACAAGAAGCTGGGGTTGTCAGAAAAAATAACAAATTTTTGATTTATTCAGCTTCATGCAAACATATCCCCAGACCTATAGCTTATCAGTGTTTACTGAAGAAATATGTGGACATATGATTTCATCTAAACTGGTGTAAATATTGAGTTTTGGAGCTATTGTATCATTTTGATTTTTTAACTGTGGGTGATATAAATTTGTAGTGATTGTCCTGTTTCGCTAAAGTTTCGTTATTGTTAAATATTAGGTATTGTCATTTCACTTATTCAGAAGTCACTTACAGAAGGGTTTAAGATCGCTTCTCTTCAAAGGATGAAGGGTACAATGTTTGGCTAAAAAAAACTTTTTATCAATTATCGAAATGCCTTTGCAAAGAAATTTGAAAGTCTTAGCTGAGTCTTACTTTGTATTGTATTCTATTATAACTTCCAACTGTAACTTCATACTTATCCATTTGGTATTGCCTTCACTGTGATAGTTTGTCACTCTTTATAATAACTAACATCAATAAATTATGCTTTGCACTAAGTTTGTATATATTTGTGTTTGTAATTATAGAGATACTGTGTGTTTTATGTCAAGGGTATAATATTGTGTAACATTTCAAAAACTGGTGAAAGGGAGGTAATGTGTCCAACTTCTGAGTTCCAAGCTTCCAAGAATTTTTATTTAGATTTCGCAGACTGAGTGTAGTGATTATGTAAAGTGCAATCATAGCGGAATTAAAATCTTATTTAAGTCTGACACCCAGACTTCTCCTGTCTACAATGATGATATGCATAGACAAGGACGAACTGGATGATAAAGGCTAATCTTTTCTATTGTGGTCAAAGAAATCTCAATTGAAACAGAAAGTTGTATACATTAAAGAGAAACTAATATCTTAATTTTGTAAGTTTTATTTTTTCACCATTTTTAGATCTTAAAACAAAGATAAATATGTGAAATGGTTCTTTTTTTTTTTTTGCTCTTGTGATATTAAAATAAAAGTTTAAAAAAAGTGGTTTTCTTTCTTTAAAGTCCAGATTTTATTGTCAACTTAATGGTCAACCTTTCCTGTCTGTCCACAATCTACTTGTGAATGCTAGTTGAGGCTACAGTTTGATCCGATTTTGATGGATTTTGTATGAAAAAAATATGGGTTTATTTCCCTTGACTGAAGGCGCCCTCACACGGAGGGAAAATAGCGCAGCGCCAATTACGCTCGACAAGTAGCGCTTCGTGTGCGGGTAATTTTTAGTGTGCATTTGGCCGCTCGTGGTCGCGTGGAAAATATCTATCGTGTTTGATATTTTTGACCACTTGTGGCCGATGGCACATCGTGTGCGAGTAACCGTGCACAACTTTCTCAGACGGCGAACACAACGCGCATGCGTTATTGTTATTCAAAGATGGCGGTGCCCAGTGAGGTAATGACTGAAGCAATCCTTGAAGATAAATTTATTGAATTACGGCCTTTATAATATTTGATCGTCTACGACGTAATAATATGTATGTCCTATGAATTGATATATCATGCTAACAATATTAACCTATGCCTACTATGAGAATTGGTGAGATTGGGAGATGTTCGCTTAATATGAATTTTATATGAACTGATAAAAGAGTTATTGCCCTTGACTGAGCCAAAATACTTCATATTGTCTATTAAATGTGTTATAGGGGTTGTAAAATATTGACATGCATGACTACACTTATTTAGTTCAGAGTGAACATGACTGCTATTTTAAGACTGATTCAAGTCTATATCCCACACACAAATAATAAATGCATGTCCCTAAAAAATTTCTGATGTAAAATCTATGAAATACTGTATTACATACAGGTAATATTGTTGACTCATTACGGCATAAGCCTACTGCTGTGACATAGTTTTCACCTGAATAATAATGAAATAAGAATTTTATTTTGAATATTTATGAAATGAGAGAGAAACTTTAATAGACAGTTCTATATAGTAAGAGAAATTTGTAAAAGTTCATTGTCATAATGACATCGGTAGTTATATCTTTGCTTGAAAATACCAATAACTTCTTTGTATTGACGACAGTAAATGCATACAGGGGTCGAGGCCAGGACGTGTCATTATTATTATTTTTTTTTTTTGAAAAAGGATACGGACGTCTAAAATTGAGCTTTACAAGATAATAAAACAAATAATTCATCGAATATACCCCAATGGGATTTGATCATTTTTAACAAAAAAATTCTGCATCATATTTAAGCAACACAACTGAAATATAAAAAGTCCTTGCTTGACTACTTTTTCTAATCCCCAGCTGTTTGAATTATCCGCACATTTCTATGGTAATTAATTAGGGAAATTATCAAGTCAGTCTAACAGGTAACAGTTTGACTAAAATACCTTGGTCGGGTGATAATGAGGAAGCTCATCACTAATTAACTAATAACTTATACCTGTCATATCTTTATTAATGTCCATTATAACATTATCACTTTCTAACCTTAGTTATCTTCATCATTCTTGTTTACCCCAGTTGCTTGCTCGATTCGACTATAGTTTTGTATTGTGGATTCAGCTGATAAAAATATTTTGGTTCTCTCTTCACGTCTTGGACAAAGGGTGTGACCTATTGAGATAAAGAGAAACATATGCATGGACGTTGAACAAAGTTCAATAGAGGTATTTACTGTGTAGACCTTGAAGGTATGTGGATGTGATTTATGTATTTTTATTCGTAAAAATCTGTAAATAAACAGAGCACCTTTAGAAACGTTTAGGATCCTGTTTCTTGCTGATACAAGTAGACTAATGTCAATATTTTTCTATTTAACACATAGTACTATATTTTTGGATATTCTTTCCAAAACTGATGTAAATTTGATTCTATTTGTAAGTAGTAACACTGATTCTACTAGTAAGTAGTAACACTGATTTCATTTGTAAGAAGTAACACTGATACTATTTGTAAGAAGTAACACTGATACTATTTGTAAGTAGTAACACTGATTCTACTTGTAAGTAGTAACACTGATTTCATTTGTAAGAAGTAACACTGATACTATTTGTAAGAAGTAACACTGATACTATTTGTAAGAAGTGACACTGATACTATTTGTAAGAAGTGACACTGATACTATTTGGAAGTAGTAAAACTGATTCTATTTGTAAGTAGTAACACTGATTCTATTTGTAAGTAGTAACACTGATTCTATTTGTAAGTAGTAACACTGATACTATTTGTAAGAAGTAACACTGATACTATTTGTAAGAAGTAACACTGATACTATTTGTAAGAAGTAACACTGATACTATTTGTAAGAAGTAACACTGATACTATTTGTAAGAAGTGACACTGATACTATTTGTAAGTAGTAACACTGATTCTATTTGTAAGTAGTAACACTGATTCTACTTGTAAGTAGTAACACTGATTTCATTTGTAAGAAGTAACACTGATACTATTTGTAAGAAGTAACACTGATATTTTTTGTAAGTAGTAACACTTATACTATTTGTAAATTCTTGCTTTTTTTTCAAATTAGAACAGGGAGCCCAATATACAGTCAAGTAACCTAATTTCGTGCTAACCTATTTTTGGTGCATTTCCGGAAAGGATTAATAATTTACATGTGCGACCTACATGTATTAATGTATACTTTGACAAATACAAAATGGCGGATTTCAGTTATTACCAAACGTCACCATTTTTTATCGGCCGAATTTCCTTATAATCCCAAGCGGTAATTGGAATACAAGTGTCGTCTGCTAGAATGTAGTCGCATGAAGTCACGTGATCAAGTAGCGGATTTCGTATCAGCAGAAAATTTCTATGGAACACAAAGTGGACCATATTCTATGTTGTTTCAGTGACTTTTAGCAATAAAGCACGTTACGTATCTTATTTTGTCAGTCAGTATTTTTTTTTTAAATTGTGGTTCTTTGAAGGAATTGTCACTACTTATAATGAATTGATATCAAAGATAAATACTAAGAGAAGTTAATTATACCACTGGGTATCCATACAACGTGTTTTTCTCTGTTGCCGAGTTGGTTGCTCATGAAATATGGGTCAAAGTGAAGGATTCATGAAGAAAATCGAAACAAACCAATTTTAATTATTTTGTAGAATATCTAAGGAAACATCTAAGACATAAAAAATAAATTCGTTCTTTTAACTTTGACGAAATTCGGTGTTGAATCCTTATATGCACGAAAATAGGTTACACCACTGTAATCTATCTTCAAGGGGTGGGTCAAAAATCACACTGTTGTTAATATTCGGTAGACTTCCATAGTACGTTTGCCACAGGATTGGGGATGAACCGGTCTGAGTTTCAAAAATCTCAAAGGTAGTGGCCTTTGACTACGTCTGAGATGTTCGCTCATTGCTATCGTATCACAATCTTTCAGCTATATAGTTTCTATGCATTATATTGCATTATATGTATTTCAAAATATTTGATAATAAACCCAACATAAGTTAAACATGAAATCAGTTGTATTGATTATAAACATAGCGTATTCAATATGTTACTAACGGCGCTAAATAAACTATAAATGCTAGATAGCACATGGTATTTATCAGTCTACTGAAGCATAGCTCCATAATAAAATATTTACAGGTAGGGAATTATAGATAGCTTTTAGAAACACAAAAATAATGCAAATTTTTGTCGGTCACACATATTTGTGTTACTTTTTTTTTCAGATTGACGAGATCTCTTAACCCGAAAAATTCATGTATACTTTTCAAATATTATCGAGTGGCCCAGAAGAAACGTTTGTATTTCAGGATTATTTATCAAATATCAAAGCTAAGAACATAATATTGTAATTCATATTTACATAGATATATATAGAATCTTTGCACCAAATTACATCTTTATAGGTTGAATTGAACTGAAATACCAGCCCTTCCAAGTCAAAAAATTTAATGCCGTGAGTACGAGGGTTGGTCAAAAAGTTTTAGGCCTATCTGACTAGGCTAATAATTATTGGACAGAGATAAGCAAGATATATATCATAGTGTAAAAACCAGAAATGAAAAGCGTTATTGTTATGTAGTTTAAAATGTTTACTGAACATTTCATTTATATTGTTTGGAGCACATAAAAATATTTCCGTATATTTACACACTTTTACATATCCATGATAAGTATTAAGTATTGTTTGTTGGGAGTGGCCAAAACCTAAGGTCAAATTTTGGTATATTTCTTGAAATTTGAAACTTGTATATGTTTACAATTTCGTAATCATTTTGAAAATTCTAAAACTTGAAAAGTTATAAAGAAATTTCACAAGGGATTTTTTTTCATGCCAAAATCTAAAATTCAAATGGATAAGGCGTACTGCCTACCATGTTATATGGTATTGTCTTTTACATTGTAAAATGAAAAATCAATATGCATGTAAACTGGAACAGTACATGCACCAAATCGACTTTGGCAGTATACAACTGAATCTACTTAGACAGTATACAACTGAATCTACTTAGACAGTAAACCACTGAATCTACTTAGACAGTATATAACCGAATCTACTTAGAGAGTGTATAACTGAATCTACTTAGACAGTAAACCACTGAATCTACTTAGACAGTATACAACTGAATCTACTTAGACAGTGTATAACTGAATCTACTTAGACAGTATGCCATTGAATCTACTTGGACAGTATACAACTGAATCTACTTGGACAGTATACAACTGAATCTACTTAGACAGTATACAACTGAATCTACTTAGACAGTAAACCACTGAATCTACTTCGACAGTATATAACTGAATCTACTTAGACAGTAAACCACCGAATCTACTTAGACAGTATATAACTGAATCTACTTAGACAGTATATAACTGAATCTACTTAGACAGTAAACCACTGAATATACTTAGACAGTAAACCACTGAATATACTTAGACAGTATTTAACTGATTCTATTTAGATAGTATATAACTGAATCTACTTAGACAGTATGCCACTGAATCTACTTAGACAGTATACAACAGAATCTGCTTAGACAGTATACAACTGAATCTACTTAGACAGTATACAACTGAATCTACTTAGACAGTATACAACTGAATCTACTTCGACAGTATACAACATAATCTACTTAGACAGTATGTCACTGAATCTACTTAGACAGCATGCCACTGAATCTACTTAGACAGTAAACCACTGAATTTAGACAGTAAACCACTGAATCTACTGAGACAGTATATAACTGAATCTACTCAGACAGTATACAACATAATCTACTTAGACAGTATGTCACTGAATCTACTTAGACAGTATGCCACTGAATCTACTTAGACAGTAAACCACTGAATTTAGACAGTAAACCACTGAATCTACTGAGGCAGTATATAACTGAATCTACTTAGGCAGTATACAACTGAATCTACTTAGACAGTAAACCACTAAATATACTTAGAAAGTATATAACTGAATCTACTTAGACAGTATACAACTGAATCTACTTCGACAGTATATAACTGAATCTACTAAGACAGTAAACCACTAAATCTACTTCGACAGTATACAACTGAATCTACTTCGACAGTATACAACTGAATCTACTTAGACAGTAAACCACTGAATTTAGACAGTAAACCACTGAATCTACTGAGACAGTATATAACTGAATCTACTTAGACAGTATATAACTGAATCTACTTAGACAGTATATAACTGAATCTACTTAGACAGTAAACCACTGAATCTACTTAGACAGTATAGAACTGAATCTACTTAGACAGTGTACAACTGAATCTACTTAGACAGCATACAACTGAATCTACTTAGACAGTAAACCACTGAATTAACCAATTTTAACCAATAAATCTATAAACAAGTAAGAATTATAAATAAATCTACATTTAACACTTACATTTTTATGACCTTCTTACTTGATCTTTGACAATTCATTCCTGTTTATTGAGTTATGACCCATACTCTCATCGAAATTTTCAATTCATTCATTCCATTCAGGAATTAAGTAATTTTCTTAATTTTTCTTAATTTTCATATTTGAGCTCACATTGGTATTGGGTGTATTAGTTGCTGGCAGAGTTTTGTGGTAATAGTACAAAGCTGTGGTCTAAAGAAATTTCTCGGTCAGATGAGAGTTTCGAGTGAAGGGTAGGGAGTGAAAGTAACAATAATTTTAATAATATTAGTTAGACGGTTAGTTATATATAATACAATAAAAGTAAAAATAACATGAATGGAAATTCTCGGCATGTATTATGGAATGATATTATTGACCCTGACAAAAAAGTCTACCTGACCATTCGAGCAAGGAATTAGTACCACATAAATAATATAGCCAAATACACGAACTGTTTACTATATAAATTGCACTATACTGTACTGTGTTAACTTGTAGACAAATACTGAATTTTCCGGTAGGAACTTTCATTTATTCATGTTTTGGACCAATAACGCATATAATAATAATTTTTTTTTTCATTGTTGCACTATTCATCACGAGTTAAGATAATTCTATTTTCATCTTGCTTTATGAGCACAAGATGTTATAATTATTTAAGGATCAATACAGTAAATAGATATAAATAAAAGTAACCAATGAAAGAATGTAACTTTCGTATCGGAAATCTAAGGCAATGTATGGCGTTTGTTTAGACCATGACCAACCAACCCATTCTTGCATTCATTGGGGCTAATTCCGATGCATAATAATTTGTGGGTTTTTTTTTAATTTCATTGTTGCTTTACTCATTAAAATCATGGACATACAATCTCGGTATTATATTTTTATTTATTGTACTGTCACCAAATATAACAACTTGATACAATAGCCTATACACCAATAGCCCCTTGATACACTGGGTCTGCTATACACCATAGAGAATCATTTAAAGTAGGCTACCGTTTTAATATGACATTTTCACAATTATGTATAATAGAGATATAGTGGTATAATGGCAGTGGTATAATATAAAGTCTACGTAAATTCAGTTGTATACTGTCTAAGTAGATTCAGTTGTATACTGTCTAAGTAGATTCAGTTGTATACTGTCCAAGTAGATTCAGTGGTTTACTGCTTAAGTAGATTCAGTGGTTTTCTGCCTAAGTAAATTCTGTTGTATACTGTCTATGTAGATTCTGTTGTATACTGTCTATGTAGATTCTGTTGTATACTGTCTAAGTAGATTCTGTTGTATACTGTCTAAGTAGATTCTGTTGTATACTGTCTAAGTAGATTCAGTGGCATACTGTCTAAGTAGATTCTGTTGTATACTGTCTAAGTAGATTCAGTGGTTTACTGTCTAAGTAGATTCGGTTATATACTGTCTAAGTAGATTCAGTAGTTTACTGTCTAAGTAGATTCTGTTATACACTGTCTACTTAGTTATACACTGTCTAAGTAGATTCAGTTGTACACTGTCTAAGTAGATTCAGTTGTATACTGTCTAGGTAGATTCAGTTATATACTGTCTAAGTAGATTCAGTTGTTTACTGTCTAAGTAGATTCAGTTATATACTGTCTAAGTAGAATCAGTTATATACTGTCTAAGTAGATTCAGTTATATACTGTCTAAGTAGATTCAGTTATACACCGTCTAAGTAGATTCAGATATATACTGTCTAAGTAGATTCAGTTAAACACTGTCTAAGTAGATTCAGTTATACACTGTCAAAGTAGATTCAGATATATACTGTCTAAGTAGATTCAGTTATATACTGTCTAAGTAGATTCAGTTATACACTGTCTACGTAGATTCAGTTATATACTGTCTAAGTAGATTCAGTTATACACTGTCTAAGTAGATTCAGCAGTATACAGTTAGTTCTTTGTGCCAATCAGTATGCCGTCATCTCGTAAAACTGTTTTAAAAGTCTTAAATAAGCAACATTTCGGTTCAGAAGTAGCTTTCATATTATGGCATCACTAACTAATATAGTTTTTTTTAATCATTTCAGGCAGTGAATTGAATGGGAAACTATTACACAGATAAAGACATGAAAAGAAAATGCTGTCATTTTATTACCGTCTGTGTTTTGGTATTGTTCAGTGGTATCGGCGTTTATCTGTTTAGCTTTTTGGATACGGGGTATGTGCCGGAACAAAACACTGCTGCCATTTTCCTATACCTAGCAAGAATCTTACCTATAGTGGCGCTACTCCCAGTGGCGGTCTCAAACTTTCTGGGACTGGCCATTTTCAACACGCAAGAGAATCAACACAAACTAAAATCTTCAACTCTATTTGCGCCTTTCATTTGTTTCCGAGTATTTGTTGACAACGATACTATCTTTTCCGGACAAATGAGATCAATCGTCGAACAAAATATTAAGACTTGCCTAAACGTCGGCTTACGGAATTTTATTTTCGATGTTGTGACTGAACGATCCTTAGGACTAGTTCCATTGAATTATCTTCGTGAACTCATAGTGCCATCGAAATACCAAACAGTGTTAAATAGTCAAAGGAAGTCTCGTGCCTGGCAATATTGTCTTGAAGAAGGCGTTAATTTATTTTCTTATGACGACTGGATAGTTCATTTGAATGTGGGAACTGAAATGTCCAATAATTCTGTGATAAGCATTGCTAATTTTATATATGATAACAAATTTTTAATAGGTCAAGGACAAGTGACTTGCAGAAGCACATCAGCTAATGTAATTTCTGTTATGTCCGATTCACTTCGCATTGCAATGGATTATGGAATGTCGCGATTTGGTCTCCGATGTATGAATATGCCTCTATTTGGTGTTAAAAGTACATTTCTCTTGTGCAACGCTGGAGTGGAAAACAGTATTGGATTTGATTTCGGTAGTAAACCAGACATGACTGTTGAGAATATGATGGTGTTGAAGGCCTGGCAGCAAGGACACAAAGTGGGACACATTGATTGTGAAATGTATGAAAAAGAAACTAATTCAGTATTTCAATTTGTTAACCAAAGATGCTTATTTATATCTGAAATCCTACAAACTATCTCAAATACTCATGTATTTTTTATATACAAAATAGGAATTTTCATGGCGCTTGCACACACCATGTTAATGCATTTTGCAATATCATATTTCGTCCTCCATTTTATATTCCCTTTATCCGGCACTAGACCATTTACATTGGTGTACGGATTTATTTTTGGGTTAATATATTTCATGAATGTATTCGGTGCCTTTAAAACTCATTCGTTTCATATTAGGGACAGTATAAAACTATTGGTGTTGACAATACTTATGGTTCCGTTCAGTTTACTGATTGAAAGTTCCGCTCTGTATCAATTCCTATTTTCAAAACAAAAATCTAGATCTCGGGATGTTGTTACTAGAAATAATTGCCTCTCGGAGACGATCTGATCTAAACCAAAAATTATATCATTTATTTCATGTACTTTAATATAAAATTATTTGCAATCATTTGAACAAAAAGTGTCTAATGTAGTCTAAAACCTTATCGATGTTCCCAGAATATGTTGTGCATTATTGCTAGCATTATTGTAAGAAAGAGCAGCATTTGGAAATTGTTTTTAGCCTATATCTTACCTAGTCTTCTGAACTTTGACTGGGCTTAAAACACTTGAAAACATGTTGAAAAACGTTATTCGCATTTCTCGACATTGAAATAAATAGATTTACTGAAATCTTTTTTTGTGCTTTATGTCTTCTTCTGTAGGCCTAATGTACATTCTATTTTCTAACATTTTATTATATTGAAATTTGGACTATAGTTATTAAAATGTTAATTTATGTGCGCGACATATGGTTAATTTATCCCTATGAAATATGAATATATTAAAGTATAATAAATACATAGTCAAAACTATTGCTGTCACTATTCTTTATTTTATTCTCATATCTTGATTTATTTTTATTATTTGACGTTACAAGTTTCTATACACCCAAAAAAATTGGCGTGCAGTGGATGAATCGGCCGAATAAGATCCAAAGACAAAAAAATATTTCTGTATTTTTTTTTAAATATGCCCATGTCTATGTTTATAAGCCTTGCCTTTCCTAAAATTTAGGCCTACCTATATAAGACAAAACATGCCGTCACATATGCAGTACATTTAATTCGGATTATTAGATAGAGGGGAAGCAACTTACATTATTATTCATTTCTCCATTATGGTTTGTATTCAGTGAGAGTCCATGTCGATGTGTCCATGTAGTTTGACACCGACAGTATACTTCTTCTTGAGATAACTGATTTTATTCTCCGGTATATCTGTAAGAATTTCCTGAATCACCCAACAGGAGAAAATGTCTCTATTTCACCTAAACAAATATAAAGTCTAGCTCACAGGTCACGAATTGAATTGACCAAATTTGCTTTTTAATTTAAACTTTTTAAAACTTCTTTACAATGAGCGAATGACTTTGATAGTACTTTAAAATTGCATGGACAATTAATCTAGCCCTTCGTTTGTAACATTACTTAATGGAGAGAGTCCATAGGCACATTTCTTACGGCAAGACTTCATAGACCTGAGCAGTGAACATTTTTTCACTATTGGCAAATAATAAGTCTAGCTCACTGGTCTTAATGAATTGACCGAGTATTAAAGAAAAAAAGTTGTGTCCCTTATTTCATTATTACAGTCCTTCCTGGATTGTCATATAAAACACTTCGGTATGTTGGTTTTAAATGTCATTAAAGACTGCCAGGTTTAAAAAAAAAAGGAACATTGATTAAATTAATACAAAACATTTTCTTCAAAAAGAATTTCAAATGCCCAAAACCAAACACCTAACCTTAAATCTTGGTCAGACAGGAAGTGTATTTGTTTGAGGTAGGACCCTGGAACTTTTCATACCTAATCAATCAATTTTGGAATTTTAAATTCAAGAGACAACAAGACAAGTTTCTTAAGTTTAACTAATAAGTAGTTTATCTCTATCAAATTCTTTATTTACACGTGTTATATTTACAATGACAAAAACAAATGATATCAAATCCTTAACAAATAAAAAAAAAAAGACTGGAGAAAAAAAATTTGGGATCTCTGATTTGGATTGTGAATGTTTAATATTACATTTGGATTACTCAACCAATCACATTACTGTTTTGTTTTTTTCTGAATTTATTTTCGGTGCTCTGATTACATCTTATCAACTAATAAATAATTCCATTAATTTTAAGCTTATACATTGTTGTTTTTTTTTAAAAATGACAGTTTTCAAATTCCTTTGACATGCAACACATTTCGCCAATAGACAGCATTAAAACATTTTTTTTCTCCCTGATCAAAAAACAAAACAAACAACTACTAACTGAACAATGATTATTTCAGCCACTCTCCAAAATATAACATTTATTGTAGACCTTAACTGTTGAAGAGATCAGATATTACATTTTCAATTATCAATGTTATAATATGAACAATCAAATGAGATGAAGTGTTAAATTTTTAAATTAGTGCTAAAACATCTATGCATAATATAATATAATATCATTAAATTGGCTGATTTATTGGTTATGTTCTTTGACATAGAAATTAATCTAAATAGTACTAAAAGGTACAGATTCACTATTGATTTGGGTCTAGCATTATATGAAAGTAGTAAACTTCAAACTAGGTATTTTATCTTTCAAATGTGTATAATTCTAGATAAACATGATTTGAAGGCTCAAATCATTAAGGTGAGCCTGTGAACCGATTACTGATTAGTTTAGCTAAAAAAAGAGACAAAGTTTTGATATCGTGAACCTGTCCTCTTTAATATTTCCTTTACATTCACTTCTTTACTCTTGAAAGCATTTAACTCTGAACATTATTTTACTTATGGTTATCAGAAAGTAAATATATGTTTATTTTCTTAATTCAATACAAAAAATTCTTAATATAATCTCTTAACATGAATAACAAAAGACTGTTTTATCCAATATTCAGTAATGAGAAATGAAATGTATGTATTGAACACTACTGAGACATTTGAACATGATTAAAAGTGTTATATAAAACAAAGTATCTATCTTAATATTAAAACATATTATATGTCTAAACCAGTATTAGAGCAGAAAGGAAAACAAATAAATTGATGTCTAAGGGGTCGTTCGATTGGTGAGTTCTGCACATTCAGGATTCAAGGAAGCTCGAAGTTTAATAAAACAAGTTGGAATAGAGTTCAGAACGCACTCCATGTATGTATGTATGTAAAAATTTGAAAATAACATATTCAGCTTCCATACCTATTGATTGAAATAAGAATTTGACAGTCAGAACCTGTTTAAAACTCTCCAATTGAGCGCCACCTTATAGTGCTGAGATATGGCACTAAGTTACAATGATTCAGGTTTGCCTTGTTATGGTTATTTTGTCAAATATAGCAGTCAAACCCTTCAAATCTGTGGTTTCTATTACTCGTTGTCAAGCTACAAAACATCAAAACTTTTTGTGTTTCATTTCAGCTCTATCTAGTTAAAATTAAACAACTATATTTATATATACATTATATTGTCTCTAAATCTGTCATATAAAACAACTAATGAAAGTAGTCTATATACAATATGATATATTTGAATGATAAAACAATAACAACATTTGATTCTGTGGTTTTCAATGATAAAAAGGTTCAAGTATGTATACTGGTGAATCATTACCCAAGTTTAGTATACTTATTTCAGTTTTCTTATATATTACACTGTTGTTACACTTTTTATCATAAAACTAAATTTATTTTTTAAGACATTCCATATACAAAATAACAATAATTTTTAATCATATAATATTGATATGCAAGAATATAAAATAAAACCAAAATATGGTCCCATAAAAACCATAGCGAAAGGTACTCAGAATTACAATTACAAACACAGAAGAATTTGTTCTATCCATGCTTAACTCCTACTGCATGAACAAACTTTTGCTTAATTTAAAGATATTGGAAACCACACAAACTTTGTTGTTTAATATGATAATAAAATGTCTAACATATTGAAACCACACTTTGAGTGACCTAGCTAGAACACTGCACTCAAAATATATAACAATATAGAAATACTAAACACTAATTTCAGCTATGACTGGTTTTATTTCGTTTTTCTGGTGGTTCATCATAGTCATTTGGAGAAGCTGGTGGTCTTGGTGATGTCTGAGATGTAACCACATGTACAGTTCCTCCTCCATTCCCTTCATGATTTGGTGACACTGGTTCCATTTTCACCCCTGCTACTCGTAAAGAAGCAGGGTTTACTTGTATATTATATGGTAATTGTAGTGAACCACTGAAATGAAACAATAAAATGCATTTATTACATAATTCAGATAATACTGGTATTCTACCATCCTTCATTTGAGTTGATTAACTGTAGCTTGATTGTTCAAATACAGGAGTAAATTGTTCTGCAAAATATAGAGAAAATGATAAAATGACCTACCCGGGTGTTAATGTTAAGCCTGAAGCTTGTACTGCCGCTGTTAAAGGACCTTGTTGACTATTCAACTGAGCTACCAAAGGTGATAGACCAGATAAATCAGCAGTTGATAACTGAAATTCACCTGAAATTCAAAAATCAATAACTTGATATACCGATAACTAGCAACTAGAAAAAACAATTTTCATGCTCCACAACCAAGAAATGCTGATAATTAGCTTTAAAAATTGTTAATGTAAAGGTTGAAATTCAATCACATTTTCTACAATTGTCAGCCTTGACAGTAATAAAGAGTCGACATGCAACAATATAACAGTAAAAAATGAGGAAATAACATTTATTTCATCATACCTGCATTGAGAATTGATGTAGCCAAGGACGGATTAACTTGATGTCCAGGAGTCGCCATTGACATGATCGGTGTTTCTAGGCTCTGGTTTCCAATAGTCGTTCGAGTCTGAAAAGTATTAGTAAGATCAAAATTTATCCAGCCACTTGCAGTAACAATTATAAATGGTATCTTTCATTGACAATAGCCATATACTTAATTGTATATCAAGTTTACAACAAACGAGCAGTAATTATGTAGCAAAACCAAAATCAAACTAAAACTTACTTCAGAAGTGCGCTGCGGTATCACAACCTTTAAATTGGGTTTATTTTTTGTAGCGAGATCACCTCCACCTTGATCCTTGATAGGTAGAGGAGCTGGAGAGGTACTAGGTTGATGATGAGGAGGTTGTGGTGATGCTCTAGCTACTGTTGAAGATGGAGCTGGACTTGTTCGACTACCAGAAGGGCTAGGAGAAGATTGGGTGTAGGTTGTAGCCGGTGGTGGTTGAAGTAGAACAACTGTATTTTGAGAGCCAGTTGGTTGAGTAATGTAATGAGTACTAGTCTGTACTGGGACAGCCACTGGTATTGGGTTTTGAAACTGAGTTATATTCTACAAAAGAAAATTAGACATATTTATTTGTGAAATTTGTACATACCAACTTTTTCATTTCTGTTTTAATCCGCTTTTGCCATACCTGATTAAATGATAAATACAACTTCAAAATATTAGCTCTATGGACTCTTTGCACTTGCTTTGAGATATATTTGCCACAGTAAATATCCATTTTAAACTTATATTAATTACTGATGCAGTACACTCACCCTAGTAGCAGAACCACCTTGCATTACTCTTGAATATTCCATGTCAATTTTACGGTATTGTTCATCAGTTCTTGGCGTAAGCGTATAATCTTCATCATCATCTCCATCAAGACTATCAGCACCTCTTGTTTCACGCTTATTTAACATCTATAATAGAAATAATGCCTTTGTTATTGTAAATTGTCAGAGAAGTAACCATAACATGGAACGAACAAAGACCAATGATTCTTCTCATAGTCAGTCTCAGCCAGACCCTTTTAAGACTCATTAAAGGAGAAATATGAACAGACAGACGGACATAAATTGGTGCCAAAAATAGAGAGAGATTTTGTTGTATAAAATAATCAAAACACATTAAAGCTTCAAGAAATGACAGAAATGATAAGGAAAGAAACTTTCAAGAAATAGTGCTAATGAGAGTTAATTAATCTTGAACACATTGACAGAAATTCAATACTTCTCACATGTCAATCCTATATTCACAGATGAACAGTATCACTATAGTAACTATATTTCAGTTGCATCAGCCTCTTGCTGTGCACCTGTCACCAAAACAAATTCAGATATGGAAAATTTGGACTCACCTCAACAATATCGCGATTAGTTTGACTAACAACATTTTCATTGTACTCAGTATATTTCAGCAGAACTTTATCCATATCAGAACTGGCATACTGATATAACTTATTATTGGTTGTAAATATTATCAGAGCTATTTCACAATCACATAATACACTTAATTCATATGCCTTCTTCATTAACCCAAACTTTCTCTTTGTGAAAGTCACCTAAAATCATAAGTTAATATAATGGTAATTTCATAAAACCATTAGATTAATTTCTTTAATGATCCAAAGAAAGGTAAAGGACATCTTACTGTTGGCATTAAATTTTATGTATTTCACGCTTTTAAGAAATCTAAACCACAAAAAAAACCATTGAAAAAAACGTAACAGAAATCACTTGAATTTAATATGACTCTTTAGATGGAAAAATAATCTGTGATCAGTCTTGTTGGTTTGTTCATTCAATATTTTATTTGTAGGTGTATAAGATGCAAAACTTTCACTTTGGAAGCAGCTGTAGGTAGATTAAATTCTATAGTGAATGAAATCTTGAATAAAAATATATAAGCTTTAATACAAATGAATTTTCTTAGAAGGAAATTGAAGACCTAAAATATATACCTGTCTATTTCTCTCATCATTAATTCGTGTAATTTGTATTTTCTTACGACCCATTGTCTTAGAACCTGAAAGGAAGAGGTAGATAAAATAATTCAATTACAATTATTAAAAAAAAATATTATGAATTACACAACAAATAAAAAACAATTTAACACTCACTCATCCCATAATATTATAGTTTTTTCCAATATAAATATCCTTAAAGAACTACTGTTTAGTGTCAACTGTTATAAAACCACTCTTAAAATGCAGGGGAATCCCCGGGTCATATCTATTTTTAGCCATTATGTCAACCCTGATTAGGTCAGCTAAGTTATAAAAATGAGATATGAGACATTTGTACACTATTAGTTTATTGATCACCATCCAACCTATACTTTTTATACCTTTATCAACAGAAATAAATGATTTTAGCCAAATTGTGTTTTCATATAGCAATTACACATTATGGCTAATGAAATACATTATACTTTGAAATACATACAGAATATTGCGAAATAACACCACTGAGCCACCAAGTAACGAGTGCAGTATCAAGCCACTAATTTTAGTGATTTTTTTGAGATACAAGTGTAAAATGTATTCTATGTCTTAATCTGATACCAGGAATTTACATGAAAACTAAAATCAAATGAAGTGTGATATGTATTGTATTAGTATATGAAAAGCATTTTACTATGATGATTTTGGGACTTTTTAAGAAAAGTCAGTGAATGCCTATTGTGTGTCTGCACAGATAAACAATGCCAAAATTAATGTAAAAAGAGGTATAACTGGACACAATTATATGCATAACAATTACTTAAATAAATAACTTGCGACATTTCAGGGATGATGCTTTTGTCTTTATCAAGCATCATTGGTTGACAAAGACGAAAGCATCATTGTCGAAACGTTGCAAATTATTTATTATGTTGTGTTTGCTAACTGAGAGATGCAAAATAAGATACATTTAAAATTACAAATAACGCATCATTGGTCAATCCAATCCAATCACATCCAAGGACTTTTAAGCTCCACTCAAATAAGTTATAAGATCTGCAACAAGTGCTGTTAAAAAAGCCGAGAATGCTCACCCTTCCATAATGCCAAATGCTCAGTGACTGGATTTGTCAGTGCAGTTTCAATTCTGCATCTCTTTCAATGAGTCAACATAGTCATATGTACTACTGAACACATCAGAACATTTTGCCATCCCCACTACTACACTACTACATTTCATTATTTCTTTAATCCATGATAAGAGTCAAGATAAAGGGAACTTATTTCCAAAAATAACCAAATAAATATAGAAATCATAACATTTCAACCAATCAGCAAGTTAATGATTCTGATTTTGCTATTTATAAACTAGCATGTTGACAGCTAAACCTAATCAAAAGTAGACTAGAAGTCAGTAGTTAAATGGGTCTTCAGCTATGCATGACAAGAGTTAATGAGTAGGCATAAGACGAAACAACTTTGTCAATAAAGCCAACAAACAAAATATTAAATTCTAATAACATTTACGAAATGATAAAATCTATGTTATACTTTTCAAACGAGAAAGTTCACTGGAAAGACATCACAAGACGGGAAGGTAATTCAAACGGCAATGAAGAGAACGGTAGTGAAGAGAACGCCGAGGAGCCGACCCATATCAATGTCAAACCACACTTTCTAAGTAAGATAGCCATTTTCTTAGATTATGATCACGGCCCAAAAGTTGCCTAATAACTAAAACCATAATTTCTGATAATCTTACCAAAACAATACCACGAGATCTGTTAAAATATCCAAGCGGTTTCTATTTTTACTGTCCAGTAAAATGTTGCTCAGTAAAATCTACAAGTTGTGCTATTTTAGGGAATGGAAATTACTAAAGTATTTATAGAAATAATCCAATATGGCCACGTCTGCGCATGCCAAATATCATGCAGCGTGATACGGAAGTGTCAGGTTTCATCAAACATATTTCTGATATTCTCTTAACAGTACCACTCTTCTTATGAAAATTATATGAATTATTGTTTAACTGTATTTGCCAGGATTTAAGTACAATACCGAGTACTAACGTCAGGATTTATAAGAGGGGAATAGAACTATATTCATGAAGCGCAGTCAGATAATACTTAAATACTTTAAAAGGCGATTGTGGTGATTTCCGGTTTAGAAAAGATACTATTTATTTAGCATTTTTATCGTCCTTTCAATGCATCTTTAATTCTTTTATAACATGGAGTACGCAATGGTTTACACTTTATCAAGTATAAAGCGAAAACTTTGATCTAGTACTTCACACGAAGAGGAAATCCATGATCAATGATGACGTCATTCGATAGTCGCGCACCTTGCACCACATTAAGTAGTTCGGTTGATATGTCCTACTCCCGTACTCAAGTCTGAGCAAGTCAAATAGTCCAACGGTTGCCTGCCAACAACTAATACGCACACTTTGCAGTACGGTCGAAAGCAAATCTATGAAGTCAGACTTAAGATTTAGCCGAGTTTTAAGAGATGCTCAAGATAGAAAATATGACAACTTATAAATATAACTACGAATATATTTGATATTGAAGAGGAAGTTATTCTCTTGACTGCCCATCATTTAACTTGTATGCATGCATCTATCGATATAGTTTACCAGATGGAGTATATGACTTCTTAAGAAAAATATAATTAAATATTCACTGTGATGAAGAGACGGTGACTTACGAGTCAGGGTTTTCAGCTTTTTTCTTCCTATTACCCCTTTCGATTGGATCGATTGCATTTCACCCCCATTCGTCAACACTTAGCTAAGATTGCCGACGGTGCTCCTGCTTGGTGCTTGTCCTCTATGCGTAAACAATTGCACAATTCGGTCGTGCACTGTGTATACAATGAGTTACTTATGCATATACAATCATGCACGCACGAACCGGCTGCGAAGCACCGAAACACACGCCTTGCCACGACCAATTGCTCTACATTGCGGGATAAAATCATTTGAAATAGTGTTTTAAGTGGAGTTCCGCTGTACTCCTCATAACTAAAGCGTAGCCTATCTGGTACTTGGGTACAAAAGATGAAGGACAACAGGATTGATTCCAAAATCTGGAGCACTTTGAATCGCCTTATGTCTGAAGGGGCTCCTTCCCCTCGTAAGGTTTAAAACTTTACAACGTAGGCCCTGCATTCTTGATTCCCAATCACATTTATAGGGTACATATGCAGCGATTTAATGGTAATAATGATAAAAAAAAAAGAAATATAGAAAAAATTAGAAAAATAACATTTTATTACACAATATAAATAGCACTTGATCAAAATTTATTATGGAGTTTGAGAAATTACATATAGATTGACTAATCATACTAGAACATATGATAGAATTAATTTTATTCAAAGTTTTTTTGAAGGACAGGGCAAATGCCTATTTCCTTTACGTTTGTCTGGAACCAACTGAATGTCAATCAAGGATAAGTTCACTGTTCACATGGTAGTTGTGGTAGTGGATTTCTAGGAAAGACAAATAATACTTTCATTACCTGTATATGATGAGCTGAAAGAAAGGGAGAATCCGGATTAGTTTGGGAAGGTTCCAGAATTCCTGAAAATTGGTTGTTAGTTTTCAATACAGACATCAATATTTCATATTTTTAAAATTCCTTGACTGTTCCTTGTTTCTATGCACAAGCATACCATTTTAAAAATTATCCAAAAACTATTGTCTGCATTACATTAAAATTTTGTAAAGTACAATAACTTTAAACATTATTCTAAATGGAATTTACAATTTCATGAGAGCAGGGAGCAGGCAGGCAGACAACTAGAGAGTTGTCAATATATCCACATAGAAAATAAGGATTCTCCCTTTATACATACTGACGTAAAAAATATAAATATTTAAAATATCACTGAGAAACAAATTTCAATTGTGTTTGAACGTGCATCATAAAATAAATTAGTAAAAAAAAAAAAAAGTAAAAAGAAAATACATACCCATGAGCATATGTAAGTAACCCCATCCATAGTTTATAATAATGGCCATTTTATTACTCCAGTCATCAAATACAAACTATAACTTTGGAAACAGTTTAATTTCTACAGTTTCACTAATTTTACATATAATTTAAACAAAGGCTAGATTTCCTTCTTTGGCATTTTTTATCCTTTCCCTTAAAGATAATGTACATGTTCCTTCTCTGAACTGACTATATATAGCCTTTAATATGATTTGAATGGTGATGTTTTGATATTTAATTAACAACATATCATGTCTTTTGTTAATAGCTGTTAATTTGAAAAAGTTTAAAAATTAACTTGATGCAAATTTCTGAATATTTAGATGGAGTTGTTACAAATTATTTGAATCAAAACAATACTCGCCACCATGATCTAATTATACCACAATATATCTATGTAGTATTTTGACACTATGTTAGCAAGATTGTTCTTGCTGTAATAAAATTGACAATGACTTCCACTTCATTTGTGGTTATTTTGAGATAAAAAAAATCAATCAACAAGTTTGGGTTTCAGAAACATTTTTCAAATGAATTTAGAAGATGTTTATCTGTTTGCACCAGGCTTCAGACATAGATGAACAACAATATTAAAACAATGTCCATACAAAAATTGGAAACAAATTATAATAAGCAAGTAAAGCCATCAAATGAAATTTTATCACCGCCCCATTTTAAAATTAACCATGATTCATTCAAAATTTAGTACAAGCTGTATATTCAATAGAGACCAAAAATCTATTTGAAGGAATACTACCTCTTGAAATAACCATGAAAATTAAATTCTCAAACTTGGCTTAAAAGAAGCATATTATATTCATCAGTGAGCTTGCCTGCGTCATGACAATACTGTGAATAATCCATAAACCATGGTTCTATAATTACATGTAATTACTGATAAATGCTTAAATTTTAAAAATTATATGGTTTTTCTAAGAGGTAGTTTCCCTTAATAATTATCATCAGTATCGTCCTGTATCAACATTAATGCCCTTTTTATATGCATTCAATTACCAATAGCATATGAATAGGACTGTTGATTAAACAAATATAAAAGAGCATTACATAAGTGTTGTAGTAAAATAAGATAATTGGATATGGAAAAGAAATTTAAAAAGAAACATGGCCAATGAAAGTCCTTACTTCAACTAGCACTTAAAACATGAAAAGGTACATATAACGCCACAATATTATCAACAAATATACACTTCAATATATTTAGATTCAAAAAAATATACATGACTTTGTGTGTTTCCATACCCTTAATATTTACACAATAAATTAATATATAAAACAACACAATTAGATTGAATATATTGATTTCAATGTCTTTAGCATTATATTACTTAATTTACTACTGTTACCACCAATCAAAGCTGATCTTATAACTTAACTCAATAGAATTCTTCGACACTCTTGTTATTATAGAGGCATGGTCAAATATGGAATATGAAAAAGGTTTTTGAAGTATTTTTATTTTTATAAGAGTGGCTTCAATTGTTCCTATAACTAAAGAATATTTTCAAAAATGTCAAAAATCAACATAACAAAAAGACAATGAAATCAAATTACATAATTCTGAAAATGATAATGTGGACGCTTTGTCATTAATTAAACATATAGTAAACCCAGAAGTAATGATTTTGAGTAACTTTAACATACTACTGTTCAAGCAATGAAATTAGATGATTTGCTAACAGTTTACATCTTTATCAGGACCTAAATTCACAGCTATCAAGGTGTTAATTATTGACAAAGCCTTTAATGTAATTAATTACAAACGTATTATGAGTGAATGGTGAAATTTATTTGAATTTTTTGATGAATCTTGGAAATCTCCTCGGTCAACTCAATATCATTTATCTACAGATGAATTAATTTACCACAAATAACCCCAAAAAATCTTTTTGTGATCATTTGGAATTCTACATTTTCTAATAATACTTTAAAAATATGGAATCTGTTTAACAGATGTCAGGTTCCTGACCAGACTAAAAAAAGAAGTCCCACCAAATAAAACAACAGTTCAATAAAATTATGTTATGTCTCCCTGAGGATTGTCTTATTATCAAATTTAACAGGCTCTTTACAATGATCTAGTACCAGTTTAAATTATTGAGGAATTTCTCAAATTCGTTATCTGTTAAATTTTCTGTACCAGGAGGGAATAATTCACTAGTTGAGGGTGTAGGATCAACTTCTAATGGAGACATGTTCGGTAACGGTAGAGGCATGGATGTTACAGGTAATGAACTACTGGGTACTAAAGGAGGTAAAGGATAAGGAGGAAAATGATTAGTAAGTGAGGTGGCAGGAAAAGGTAGAGAGGGTTTAGAATGTGCTGGTGGAGGTGTAGAATTAGGAGTAAAGAGAGGTGAGAGTCTGCTAGGACTGTGATGTAAATCTAAAGAGGGTGTACTGTTAGGACTACTAGAAACTGATTGAGTTGACCCAGCATGTGGTGGAGTTGGTGTATCCAGATTAATGATTCCTGGACTAACGCACCCTTTATCAGAAACAGATTTAGGTGGAGGATCATCATCATCATCTTCTTCATCTTCTGAACTGTCTAATGTCAAATCTATAACATCATCATTACCGCCACCTTCTACAAGAGAAATGAAGAATTATTTAAAATATAGTTTGGCACTTAACTGATGATGTGCAGAAAAACAAAATGCTCCTGTTCAATACAGAGCTCCTTTCCCATTAATAACACAATGAAATGGATTTCCTAATATCTTTAATGGTATTAATATGTTAAAGGGACCTATCTTGTAAATGAAACCGTTCTACAAACCAATTGTCGAATAAATAATGGCCTACTTACTATTACTAGATGGCTCAGAAGGTTGTAATTTAACAGCAGCAGTAGATGTAGGTGAAGAAGCTGTTTCATTTTTAAATACAACCGGACTAGCTATTACATGAGTTTCTTTTGGTGGTTCCAGCCGACTCCAGTTACCATCTGGATGAAACTGTATATCATTACAATTAGGAGACGCTCGGAATATCTCTAAGAAATAACTATGAAAAAGAGATCAAATATTGTGATTAAATATTGATGCAATATTGAAAGAATTCTGAATAAATATTGAAAATATTTTGATAAAAATATTTTGATAAATAATGAAAAATTTTGGATAAATATTTAAAAATTTTTGGATCAAATATTGAAAATATTCTGATTAAATATTGAAAATATTCTGATTAAATATTGAAAATATTCTGATTAAATATTGAAAATATTCTGATTAAATATTGAAAATATTCTGACTAAATACAGAAAATATTTTGACTAAATACAGAAAATATTCTGATTAAATATTGAAAATATTCTGATTAAATATTGAAAATATTCTGATTAAATACAGAAAATATTCTGATTAAATATTGAAAATATTCTGATTAAATATTGAAAATATTCTGATTAAATATTGAAAATATTCTGATTAAATATTGAAAATATTCTGATTAAATATTGAAAATATTCTAACTAAATACAGAAAATATTCTGATTAAATATTGAAAATATTCTGACTAAATACTGAAAACTTTTTGATTAAATATTGCGATAAAAAATTACTCATTATTGAAAATGAATTTTTAAATATCTTTTAGGGATAAAATTCAGAATAAGATAACTCACCCATCTATTATTAATTTATCAAATGTAGCAGGTTTATCACAAACAGGACAAATCCACGTTGCTTTTTTCTCATTCATCATAAGAAATGTATTGGCATCATAACACTGTAAATGAGTACATGTACTTGCTCGGCAAGGTATTTGTAATCTCATCTTTCCCAGCTAAAAAGTAAAAAGAATTGCTTTGTATAATGTGAAATTTAGTGATATTGCATGTATCAAACCTTTTCAATAATTTTTCATAAATCAATTTTTTCCCCCATCCAAGAATACAAGTTTTACATCCTACTATACAAGGTGCAATAACAATAATTTTGCAGCAGAAATATCCCCCATGCTGGATATCTGACTGCTGCAAAATTATTTTTATTGCATCCAGATTAAGTTGTAAATCACTATCAAATTGACTAATTATACAGTTTACTTACTGGACACATTAATGAGACACGTAGACTAGTTGTAGCTATTTCACTATCAGGATCATGTGCTAATTTTTCTTTGACTGAAAATAATATTGTCTAATGTAACAAATTAAAAAGAACCATTATCTAGAACATAATACAAATTTAGGTGATGGCAGTTGTTCAACTGGTCATTGATGGACTATTATCGGACATACAATGGGCAGAATTTACTGAGTGCTAGAATTGAAAATCTGTCCACTTACTTAATGCTCTGGTATGATCAGGATGTCGATTACCAAACTGTTTTAATCTTTGTAGTAATATATCAGAGGTTAATCTTCGTACTAAAAACACTGCTAAACAATAACCCTGTAATATAGTTAATGATCATTTCTTTATTATACCATTAGTCTAATAACTACCAAGTAATAATTCAATATCATTTTTGCTAATCATGCGGTCGTACACAGTAATCATGTTATTGTTTTGTACTGTCAATTATTGATCTCAATGTTATCAATTCTATCCATGTGCCCTCTTTTATGGACAAAATTTAAACAATAACACTGTAAACCATTATATTGGTTGAATTCATAAGTTATCCAATAGAGTTGCATAATATAACTTTATTACAAGTGGTGGTCAAGTTTCATCAGTAAATTTAAGTATTCAAGTAAAATACCATTCAACAACATTCAATTATGCCAATCAAGGTACAACAACAAACAAAAACAAAACCTGTTAGTATAAAGTGCATATCAAGTTGGTGACCAAATAAAAAAAGTTTGAAAGAAACAGCTTCTTGTTCATTTCCAACACTAAGACTTACATTAAAAAATAGTTGCATAAAATTTGATTCTTGATCACAAAAAAGTTCAATTCTGATGAAGAAGCTATAGTTGTGGTGAATGAAAAATGAACCAATAACTTTAAATGGTGGTTGTTTAGTTAATTACAACTATTGGTATATCAGGTCTTCTCTTAATCACTTATAGATAACACTAGCCAAGCAGACAGTCTTTATTATTTTAAAAAGACCAAGGGGCAATCTCTTTATATATCAAATTTCTTTAGTTGTAAAGATTCATGCTTTAAAGTATGACTGCCTTGACATTTTAATATACAAATGCTTAACTCAAATCAAGATGCCAAATAATTTTCAATTCCCCTTTGCCCCATTAATGGTCACAATAACCTTTTTTATGTTTTATACAAGTACAATTTCAAACATAACCAAAAGCTGCTACTTTGTTCTCTAATTTGTATATGAATGGCAATAACGATATTAACTATGACTTTTTTAAGTACATAAAATTTTTGCTGCAGCCTTTCATGAATGTGTTCAACAAAGCAACAGAATAGTTAAAAATAATTAGTTTTCTCTCTCTATTTATGAATGTAGAAAATACAAGCTATTGTTCAATAAATGGAGTTAAAAATTTGTAAGTTTTGATGCCCCTTGCATGTCTGATTGGTTATACACAGTAAAAACTCTGTGTTAATATAAGAGAAGACCTGTTATTTACATACCACCATTGCCTCCTCTGAGGACCAAGATACATGGATTTCATTTCTCATGTTAGGATTTAGCTTTAATAGATGTGTAATATCAAGCGCTCGTCCTGGTAGTTTCTTTTTAGGAATTGGATTCTGAAAACACAGAAAACACATACAGACAACATATACACAACACATATAGAGACCTACCCGACCAAATTCAGATGCCCATGACACATCTAAATGATTGGATATTGTTGGTGATAAACGACATAATGATGTGATATCAATAGCTCGACCAGGACGTTTGGGTTCAATACCAGGTTTGGTTGTAGGAATTGGATTCTGTAACATAGCAAATTATTCCATTCAAATAAATAATATAATATGGACTATTAATGTAACAATTGAAAGAAAAAATCATCAATAATTTGAATAAAATTGAGACCAAAAGATTGAAATTTGAAATAAACATTAAAATAAATCGACAACACAAAGAATATGCTTCAAATAACATATATTTAATTACAATGACTAGAATAAAATTGAAAGTGAGAAATTATGAAAACACTGCATACCGGCAATGGGGCCATTTTACCATTTACTCTTACACAAATACTGGGAGGAAAATTATCAGCCTGTTCACAACTAGTTTCTAATAGACAAAATCTGAAAATAGGAATAACCATTTAGATATCGCACCACATCTAACATCAATCTTAATATCAAATAAATAACCACAATATTTAACCTTGCTGAGTATTTAATATTGGACCACATCTAACATATAAGTGAATAAATGTTTCTGTGTGTGAATCAAAATTTATTGTGCCGCTATGATCCATTTTTGATGCAGAAGTTATTTTCTTATAATAACAGTAAAACAGTACCTCAATTGGACCTGTACAGTATATTCACATTTGGCACCGGGTCGAAAATCTCTAGACATAGCTATATCTTGAGCTTGTTGAGGAGTAAGATGAAACACAAAAAAAGATTCTTGAAATCTGTTATTACTTTTTGGAACTGCAAAACAAAATTAGAACAAAATAAAATGATGGTAACATTACCACATATCTTAACTCGTTTGCGGGATATTTACTCTGTCTGTCAGTACTTTTTTGTACCAATGGCTTTGTGCCCACAGTAATCTTATATGCAAGACATTTTGGATCTAATAAAAAAATGCCAACTCATCCCATACAACTTATTACATATACTGAATTGTTGTAAAGAGCTCAACTGTTGATCACAACTTACCCAAACTAGTTGGTTTCATTAATTCTGCTAATAAATCATAGAATGGTAAATGTTTAAATCTGACGTCAGGATGAACAGGCATTGAGGATGATGTTGGAGGGTGTATCGTTGTTAAATGTTTACTTCCACCATAATCTATACCACCTGCAATACAACATTGTACATTGAATACATCCAATCAAACTCCTCGACTGAAAGTCGGTAAACAATAAGCCATAATGATTACAGTCAATCTAACAAGGGCTCTGGTTGGTTGCATTTGCTGGTGTATAATCCAATCAAATAGCAGCATTCTGTGATAAAAGAAAGGTGGCTATTGTAGTCAAACTGAAATAAGCAGTTCCTTATAGCTTGACATTGTGAAGATGGCATTAACATTTTTCAATAATATAATGACATGATACATGATTTGGGTCCTTTTTTCAACAATACCTTTTGGCTTGGGTAGAGGAAAATAATTAAAAGAACTTCTATAATGATGATTTGAAGGATTTGGCCATCTTGGATTAATATGTCTTTTATGATAATTCATTGGCACCCCAAGATGATATTGAATTGGTTGACCAGTAAACACATGACGATTTTCATGGTAAAAATCAGATGTTTGATTACAGCGGGCTGGCTCTGTAGATATATGTGTCTTGGCTAATCTTGCTGTTTGAACAGGAATTGTCTCTTCAACAGACTTTGCTGACACATTAGTATCTTTCCGTTTCTCATTATTCTCAGAATCATTATTTTCCTTGTCCCTTTTTCCACTTTGTTGATTAGTAATTGTTCTTTTACTAGATTCCAAATAATTCACAATATTTCTACTAACTTCCACATTTTGAATATTTGTTAATTTTACGGGGTTGGTTTTCTTATTTTTACCAACTTTGCCCAAACTTGGGGCACGGTTTTCATCTTTTTTATTTTTAGTTCTGGTATTCACCATTCTGATAGTAACTAAATATGAGCACTGACTTACTAATACAATCTCAACTAATACAACTGTTCAACAAGAACTACTACTGAGATAGCTCTCACTTTCCTCAATTTGTATAAACCTAATTAGTAGTTGACTAAATGTCAGTTAACAGTGCTTACTGATTAATAATCAATCATGACACATTTTAGTAAGTGAGCTAATGAGCAGTAGATCTATTATAACAGGCCTTATACTGTAAGATTTATCTTTTTTCAGGTTTAACCATATTATTTCAAATGCTGTTTTCACTCTACATGAGACAGCCGAAATCTTGAATTTTCCAAGATGGTACTTGATCATTTTTCTTATGTACCATTGGTTAATATAGGTAATCAAATGGAACATAAACAGAAATTCATCTCAATGTTAAAACTTTTAACATAAACTAAAAATCATTTCAATACCTACCACTAGCTATCCCCGGAGTAGGCGTAGGTTGTTCTGTTTGACTGTGTGTCAATGTAGTGGGATCAGTAAACCGTCTTCTATTATTAGCGTTAGTAGCAAATATTTGTCTGAAATTATTACAGAAATAATAATAACTGAATAGTTGACTTACTCATATAAAACTGTGACAAAAACGATTCACAGTTCGTGCAGATACATTTGAGTGATAAATTTGTACATTGTTTTATTTCGAATAGTATTTTCTATTGTTATAAGCTTTTCACAAATAAAATATGTCCATTGCATGTAATACAATATACTATACCTATATAATTCCCGTATTTTAATTTGAACTTGAAGGCCACAACCTTTCTGTACTAATTGTAAAGCTCTCTGTAATAATTCTTGTTTTCTACCACTCTTGTTTCTTCCAGCAAAACCCAATAAAACTTGTAATTCTGAGACTCGAAAGCTCATAATCATGTGCTAAAAAATATAAATATTATATATTTCTACAGGGCAAAATCAATTTTCTACAAGACTGGAAAATACATGTAGCACGATTCACTGGTGAATCTTTGTCAGTTCCAAGAAAATGAATATACATGTAATCTGTTTATAAATCTGTCAACATTCATTTCACCAAAAGTATTTTCACTTTTAACTAAAGTCAAAATATCTATCAATGCAATCAAGTGATCCTAAAGCTTGATGTACACTGATAGTGATAAATCTAATGATTTAGCCTAGGTCCCAACAAATGATTTGGAATTGGATCATGGTTAATTACACTCTAGTCAAAATGTCACTTAAGGACCAAACATTCCAGTTAGCCCGCAATCACTCTTGATTTCATTGTGGGGCTGTCATGTACCACTGCATGTAATCATCTTCTAAAAATGGCACAGTCCATGCCTAAGTTTACAGATTGAAGTTGATATTCCTCTAATTAAAATGATAATATTCCGTTAAATTATTTTAACCAAAAAATATTGCAAGAAAAAACCTCTGCCAGTGTGCCAGCCAAATGTGTCCTTATAATTTCAGAGGCCACAATGACCTTGGGCTTCCTATAAAAAAGATCTTAAATCCTACAATAATGTTTGTTGTCATTTTAGTCAATTTATAGGCTAAGTAAAATGTTGACATGTAGGGCCATGTAATCTATATCTTATTTTTTAATTTTGTTAATAACCTACAAGTTACATCTTTTACTCAATTGAACTTGTACAGACCATGCCAGAATGGGCTCAAAAACGATTTCATAAAAAATTTACCCACTTCCGGTTATTAAGGCTAAGATTGAAAAGTGAGTTACCTCCCTTCCACGAATAAAAAATTCCCCATGAATGTTGTTTACTAGATAAATAAAGCATTTTACTGTTCACGTGGTCATAGAGATATAATTTGAAATGATGTAGAAAGTATTTTCCTTCAAATACAAACAAATATACCCCAAATTTCATCTGAAGTTAAACAGGAAATATTAGCCTAAATTTTCTCCGCAAACACACAAAAATAAACAGAGACTGAGAGAGAGGAAGTCCAACTGAGATATTGAAAACACAATTCTGGCGTTAATAGATCATACTAGACGAATATGTCGATTTATTTCAATAATTGAATTTGGTCCCATTTACTTCGAGATATAATCAAAACACTATTCATTCAATTATAACTGTATATAAGAAAATAAATGTAAATATTACCTTCAGTTCTGTGGACTCCGCCATTTTTTCATTTGTTTTGACGCATGCGCATTGTATCAAAACAATCCAAAGTAAAATGGCGACAAGCAGAGGTTGTATAATTAACTCATTGAATTAAATCCTTAATTAAATTTGAGGTTTTAAGTAAATCATTATCTGAGCAACCTTTCGATAATCACTAGGCCTAGTGAATGCCTAGCACTTTCACAAACTAGGTGTTTTCTTAGAATAATCTTGGAATTGTGAAGTGTTGAATATTTGCCCTTTCCATGGCCATGTCATTCATAATTTCATGGCATTAGATAAGATCGAAACATCTGCCTCTATTGCAGCTTATGATTTTTATATATTTTGACAGTTGTGGGCTGGTGTAGAGATAGAAAAACTAGGTCCTGTTAACAAGGCCTAATTTTCCAGATGGCAACTGTCAAAATAGCTATCTCAGGCTAGAGTTGATTTGGACTAGCCTAATCATCCATTATGAACCATTGAATGGCATGAATATGAATATAAGGAAATGACTCAATCTTTCACTCTTAACACCATTATAACTTTTTATTTTTTGTTCTAGTACTGGGCCTGAATGGCATTTTTTCTCCTTTCCTGAAATCTGTGATCAGTCAGCAAGCATGTTTATCTTCCTCACAAACTAAACAATTATTTACAAGTTCACAAAATGTAACAGATACTTCAACAGAAAAAAGGTAATGAATTGTTTCATGTATATATTTTGAAAACTAAGGACATATGATCCTAAAACTTACTTGTTTTTGTCGATAAAAATGGCATTTATAAGCAACACGTGTACATGTAGTTGATAAAAATTAGCTTCCATATTTTATGAATCATTTTTTTTCTTTTAGTCTTGTGGCTGTAAGAGAAAAGAGTACAGCAGTAGAAAAGAAACGGACAGTTTCACCATTTCAGGCACCTATTGATAAAGTGGATTATGCTGTCGCCCGTATAGATGATTTGTTGAACTGGGGAAGAAAGGTAATTTTCTTGATTTTCTTTAACCACAATGACACCAAAACTATTGAGAATAACAAAGGGAGTACCCAAGAATTAATGCAGAGCCCATATTATGTATATCAAACACGGAAGCACAGGAAACCACAGGGATGAAACAGGAAATTGAATGGTACAAGCCATAGCCATAAGTATCTCAGCAGACACGATGGGGTTGGAATATTTTAATCCTTTTCAAATACTAACAAATAACATCTAAAAAGCAAATTTATTATTCCAGAGTTCAATATGGCCAATGACATTTGGTTTAGCTTGTTGTGCTGTAGAGATGATGCATATTGCTGCTCCCCGATATGATATGGATAGATTTGGTATTGTATTTCGAGCTAGTCCACGTCAAGCTGATGTTATTATTGTAGCTGGAACTTTAACAAACAAAATGGCACCTGCTCTCAGAAAAGTAATAATTTCACTATATATACCTGATTACTTTAAAACTTGATCTAAAAGGCCACTCAAACTTCTCATAGTAATTTTTGTATGTAAAATGTGTGTATGGTATGGTATGATAATTTTCGTCCATGTAGTTCTAAAAATTGGAATGTAATTATATTGGCATTGCTAGTGGTCATCTCTATGTTTGACCACAACTTTGAAAGCTATAGATTCTCGAGTTAACGCAATGTTCTTTGGCCTAGAAAATAGATAAATCTTTTGATGAATTATCTCCCTTTAATTGTTGTTGTTGTTATTTTGGAGATTCTTTCTACATGTTATTGTTGCCTTGTGATCGCAGTTGGATGCAGGAGTTAATTTTTTTCTTTATTCTCTTAATTATAGATTTATGATCAGATGCCTGAACCAAGATGGGTGATATCAATGGGTAGTTGTGCTAATGGTGGTGGTTATTACCATTATTCATATTCAGTTGTTCGAGGGTGTGATAGAGTTATACCGGTTGATATATATGTACCTGGTAAGTTTTGAATGGCATCTTTCATATAATATAATCAGGGTTGCTGATAAATGGAAATATGAATGTTATTTTGGTTAATCAGATAAATAGTTCAGGAGTTATTGCCCTTGACTTAGTAAAAACAATCAAATTTGGCAAGTAAGCACAATAGAGGCTGCAGTTTTTTTTATCTGATCATGATTAAACTCAGTATGTATATATAGATGAGATCCCAGTCAAGTTTGGTCCAAAACTAAGTTATTGCCCTTGTCCTTGAATATTAATGGAGCTACATTGTTTGCAACTTGTATGTAAGCCAAAAGGGAAATTCCTGCTAAATTTAAGTTTAAATTTTCTTTTCAGGATGTCCACCTACAGCTGAAGCTCTGTTATATGGTTTATTACAATTACAGAGAAAAATAATGAGAATGTCAGTATTACAGAGTTGGTACAGGAAATAGAATCTAGACCTATTTAATTCAATTGTGTAAAGTGTCAGGAATGTGTGACTGTGTATATAAAAGACAATATCAAATAGAAATTTATTACAGTTTATTTGTTTTATGATTTCAATTTCAAAATCAGGAATGTGCTATGGTCAAAACTCTTCAAGTTTTCAAGTTTTGATTTACACTTTAAATAGCACCAATGTCAGATGACCTTACATTATTTAGTGAGAGCAATTTATAGCATTATGTGATTAAATTATCCATTTCTCATCCAGAAAACAGTGGTGGCTCTTGTAGGGGGTGGGAGGGGGTCGGGATAGAGAGAACCCTCTCAGACGCTCAATGGTAGGCTTGAGGCTATGAAACCTCCTCTTTGTTGCGCATTCTGAAATCGGTCTGGACAATTTTCTCCTCATTGAGTTTGTCTGCCCCCTATGTGTACCCTCAGTTTCGGGAAGCCGCCGCCGTCACTGCTAGAAAAACAATCTGAATAGTTGTCAATTATTGCTAAAAAAAAATCAGCGGGAAATTTAGTTTGCATACATGCATTCTGATAACATAGGATATCAATAGTTAAAACAATCCTGCTCAATCTTGTATCTCAACAAGATACCATAAACTCGTATATCAATAGTTATAATAATCTATTTCAATAGGCATAACTTCTATCTCAATAGTTGTAACAAGCTATCTCAATAGACACATTGTAACAATCTCATACACTGGACTCGTATCTCCATAGTTATAACAATCTATCTTAACAAAAAAGAACTCGTATCTCAATAGTTATAACAATCTATGCCAATAGATAGAACTTGTATCTCAATAGTTATAACAATCTATCCCAACAGACATATCTCGTATCTCAATAGTTGTAGCAATCTCATATACTAAACTCGTGTTGATTTTCTAGGGTAGTACAACTGAAATAGTTTTAGCTTCAGTAGCGTTTAGCCAGAGGAGGCCGAGTGGAGGCCACATAATGGTCGAAGGGGGGCAATAGCACCAGGCTTTAAAACAACACAATGGTTTGAAATTTTAAACTTAGTGGCAAACGCTGAGCCAGCCAAATTTCTGAGGCCATGCCACCTCCACCCGCAGAAACGCCACCGTTCAGTTGACCTGGATTGCTCAAGTAAGCCTGAATGTATAAAATATTATCAATGAAGATAGGCCTATATATTATCATCTTATATTTATAACATGGTAGTTTTATCAGAGTATTTCGACCGAGTTGACTTAGTCATAATTAACCGACTTCAGCTTGTAGGTCTACTGGTGACATTTGAGATTGTACTATTGTAGTGTATAGAAAGTCATAATGAAAATTGAAGGAAAAAATGTATTTATAACTGGAGCTGCTCAGGGATTGGGTGAGGGCATCTCGGAGGCTTTGTTGGAGCGTGGAGCAAGGGTTGGTATTTTAGACTTTTTTTCCTACATGACAGCCAAAAGAGTTCACATTATGACAATAGCTCTAAATGTATGTCGGCTGGATATTATGTTCAGTCATATAATAAGCAATTTTTCAATTTTGTAGAAAGCCACGATATATTTTGCATGACACTAAAGATCACACAAGATTACTTATAAGTTATACGATATGGTTACTGCAATTACAGAAACTTACATGCGTAAGGGTTTGGACTTGCGGGATTACAGCCGTTGCCCGCTATATCAATAAGTTCTTACAAATTTTAGCTTTCCACTCCTAACAATATTTGGTTTATGCTTAATAATATCCAAAATTCCATATAGTATTTTTCACAAAACATGAACTATAATGTCATTTTTCGCGTAAATCTTAATAGGTTTGTATAGCTGATATCAATACAGAAAAGGGAGAACAAACGGTTAAACGATTTCAAGAAAAATATGGCCAAGAAAAAGCCATCTTCTTAAAAGTGGATGTCACTAAAGCAGATGAATTTGAAAGTAAGTTCTTACAAAACGAATGATGCACAAACCCGAATTATTTAGTTCTCCAAATGCATTAGGCAATTAAATGAGAATTAAATGCGTATTTGTAGCTGGAAATGCCGTTGATCTGTGCTTGTAAATGTATACAGTATATGATACTGGACTAAAGATAAGAGCCCAAAACAGAATAAATTTGGACAAATCGATTAGAGCCGACATATAGCTATATCTCTACTCTTATTAACGTTCCTAAATCCACTTCTTGTTTTAAGTTACTGGAACACTCGTATCACATGTAGACTAGAATAATACATGCCATTATAAAATGGTGTCTCCGCGTAATAAAATAGCTTAATGGTTTATTTGCAGGTGTATTTAAAGATGCGGTGTCTCGATTTGGTCAGATTGATATCATGATGAATAATGCCGGTATAATGGATGAGAGTCGATGGGAATTGATGATATCATTGAACGTTGTGAGTAAAATATCATATCCGATCCCCCAACTGTATTTAGAGTCAAAGCAAATAGTCTGCATATATCATCAAACTTCGGAAAGTCATGTCTCTATCTTAAAGGATGATTGTTTTAATTTACCGAAACCTTTTTTTTTCTTTCAGATGACACTTGTAAGAGGAACCAATCTAGCCATAGAACACATGGACAAGTTAAAGGGTGGTAAAGGTGGACTGATCGTTAATACTGCCTCTGTTGCTGGTAAATATTTTATTCCCCACTCAGCATGAAATGAAATCTTTACATGGGTATATAATATACTTAAATAATTGTATTATTAGATGTAAGATTACGTTGAAAATTTTTTTTTAATTTAGAAAGTGGTCATGTCTTGTCATGAATAACTGAAGTTGTAATAAAGCGAATTGGAATTTTGTTAAAAGACGCTAGTCCACACTTTCCATAGGTGAAAGTTGACCGATTTATTTTTGTCTGTAGGGTTTTCGTGAGATTCTGCAAAATAAACCAGACGAAAAGAATTGCCAGCTCTTGCTTAGTAGCATATTGTAGCCCATTCTGTCAACGTGTTAAACTAGTCGATGAAACTATGACTATCTTCAGGGTCAGTGTTTCTGAGACTACAGTTTTGTACAATAAGTATTTTCCGTATTAGGTTTTGGTCCAGGATTTTGGTTTCCAGTGTATGGTGGAACTAAACATGCTGTAATAGGATTTACAACCAGTTGGGCGGTACGTACACATGATACCAATATAATTAAGCTATTCATTTTATATCAGTTCCAATGTTCAAAACATCAAACTCTGATTGAAATGCAGTACAAATTTTGCACAGGGATATGAAGGCCTTCGTTGGTAAGCTGCGAACAGTCGATTGGCTTATAGCTAAACAATTCCCGTTTCAGATTAATCGAACGGATTGTGCCCCTTAAATATTATCAGAAACTTTCTGTCTCTAATGTAAAACTGTTTATTGATTGCAGGCTAACCCACACGTAGAAGCTATGGGAATTAATTTTGCTTGTTTGTGTCCATCAGCTGCCGATACCTCTTTATTACATTATGAAGATCATATGGGTATCATGATTCCTCATTTTAGAAAGTTCTTAAAGGAAACAATAGGAATAGCACCGTAAGTTTCAGTTTAAACTATGTTTTGGAGTGACAATATAATTATATTATATGCGGTCTATTCCGTATGTGAACTGAATTGCTTTTTAAACACTAGTTCTGTTTGTAATTCGGAATGATGTCTGCAATAATCAGAAGGTGAATTGTAAATTGAGAATTTTCAATGTTTCTCTATCAATAGGAGATAATATCAGATCATGCTTCGCCATGTTTTTTTTTTCAGAGTCAGTAAAATTGTAGAAGGTTGTATGACACTGGTAGAAAAAGATGATAATAATGGTGCCCTGTTAGTTGTTGGTGAAAAGGAAGGAATTCAATTTGTTACTAGGTTCTATAATCCTGGAACTCCAAAAGAGAATGAAGAGAAAACTGCCAAAGCTGCCAATGAGGCGTCAGCAAAGACAGAATCCTGATTGTCAAACAAATTTACTATAAATTAAAATTATGTTGTCCTTAAAACACAAAGTATTTTTTTTTTATTCAAGGATAAAACTAAAGCTATCAGGACAGGGGGGGGAGGTATGAGAGTGGGGGTACAGTAATGTCAAATTTCCACATGGAAAATAGAATTAAGATAAACAACATTCTACAAATACAGTTTATTATGTTGAACTATATATTAATGTATATGTAATACTAAGAGGTCATGGTTTGGCAGTAAGATTTATAACAGATCTGTATATATCTAACAACAAAAACACAAACTTAATCACAACAAAACTCTCTGTAATCCTATTATACTAATTATCTCATTTCCAAGACACACAAACCTATAATATGAATGGAAATTTCCATAATACAATATCAAATATTTAGAGTGTTAACTGTATTTGTTTGGAGTTTCCAAATACATCCATTCATTTACTTAAAATTGCCAATACCCACAATGGTATTTTTGGAAATTTCCTTGCACTATATAATGTCTCAGAAATACAAAACTATGGTATCAATGGAAATTCCAATAATACAATAGTAAGAGTACTAGCTGTATTTAATTTCAATTTCCAAATACATCCATTCATTGAAAGTACAGTTGGTCAAAATTGTCAATACCCATAGTTGTATTTTTGGAAATTTCCTTGTATTATTAAGAGTAGAAGCTGTATTTATTTTGAATTTCCAAAAACATCCATTCACTGAAAGCACAGTTAGTTTAAATTATCAATACCCAAAATTGTATTTTTGGAAATTTAATTGCATTATATAATGTCTAAGAAACACAAAACTATTGTATCAATGGAAATTCCAATAATACAATATTAAGAGTACTAGCTGTATTTAATTTTAAATTCAAAATACATCCATTCACTGAAAGCACAGTTAGTTTAAATTATCAATACCCAAAGTTGTATTTTTGGAAATTTAATTGCATTATATAATGTCTAAGAAACACAAAACTATTGTATCAATGGAAATTCCAATAATACAATATTAAGAGTACTAGCTGTATTTAATTTTAAATTCCAAATACATCCATTCACTGAAAGCACAGTTAGTTTAAATTATCAATACCCAAAGTTGTATTTTTGGAAATTTAATTGCATTATATAATGTCTAAGAAACACAAAACTATTGTATCAATGGAAATTCCAATAATACAATATTAAGAGTACTAGCTGTATTTAATTTTAAATTCCAAATACATCCATTCATTGAAAGTACAGTTAGTCTAAATTGTCAATACCCATAGTTGTATTTTTGGAAACTTCCTTCCATTATATAATGTCTAAGAAACACAAAACTATTGTATCAATGGAAATTCCAATAAAACAGTATATATGAATAGAATAGAATTGATACCTTTCCTTATGAAATAATGCTTAAATTGAGGTGCATGTTTATCATAAAGATGATGGCAAATATGTGCAAACAAGCACTGCTGATTAACAAAAATATAGTAACAAATATATATCAACAAAGAAAGAACTCAAAACTTAACAATAGGATAACAAAAGAAAACTTTACCTGCAAAATTTGGAAGATTGACTTTGAAAGAGCAAATTAAGATTAAGATAAAATTCCATTAAATCATTTGATATGGGAAATTGAATGAAATACAGTATTGAGCAAGTGTCTGAATGACATTGTAAATGTTACAACAAGTAATTTTTAAAATACAGAGATTGGATATATGGAACCACTTTGGCAGTGAAATTGCTTTAGATCAATGAAGAAACAATATTATATTAGATTAATTTACTGCAGCATTAACTATTTAACAATATATAATTATAAGAACAATTTTATGTTTGACTCTTTGGAAAATAAATCATTTCCATTCAAAGACTGAAGAGAATGAAACAAATATCTAGAAATATTAATTAAAAAGAATATCAAATATATAGCAAATCTAAATATCACAAGATAGGGTTTTAAAATATATAAAAGCTTTACTGATAAAAATAATGACTAGAAATGGAAGGACTATATTTAAAAGGAGTATATTTTTTGAAGATCAGATATTGGATCAAATTTTTATAGGAAAACAATCATCCCCAGTATTAGTCAAATAGTGACTTATGTTTGAACATTTATAAAAAAAAAATCCAGTTTAAATTTGATTTTGAATTCAACCAACTGGTGAACTGAAAATTTAGAAGATTTTAATCACAAAAATAAATTGTCTACAATCTTACATTGTCTACACAATTACTTTTATTTACTAATGTCAACACAATTACTTTGTGAAATTCTAACATCAAAAAAGAGTTACACAAGTTATGATTATAGTCTACAAATTGAATTTTATTTGGGAAGGTAATTCTATAATGCTATTGAGTATATATTTCAATACAGTTTACAATAAATACTGACTATAAGGGAAGGCATGAGGGACATTATCTTCATAATATCATGTCAACATTTGTAAGCTGGAAACTCTATCAGTGGCATAGCCAGGGTGTTATTGACGGGGGACCATCGGAGGAGGACCTCAGCCCCACTTTTGGATTATAGAGAGTGCTATTGGCAGGGGGCAGGTTCTGGGGCCTTCTCTGGAAAATTTTCTAATCATGGAGGAAGAGAATGCATCGAGCACAATTTTGGCAATGAAAGTAGAATCAAATTTCTCATTTTTTTCTCTCCCGAGCGCCTTCCCCCCCTCCTAAATACACCACTGAACTTGATACATGTATTAAGAAAATGGAAGGGACAACGACATTACAATATATTGCATATAACACACATGATATATATCTAAAATACTAGATCAAACTTTCTATAATCACATTGGAATTTTGATTAAATTTATACAATGGAATGAGATTTTATGTTTCATAAGATTTTAGGCTTTGAACTAAAACTATAACCTTAGATTGGAATGTATGTAAGATTTCAATAGAGCATGAGTAAAGCCTAGAATTAATGTTAACTTATCAATTCATCTGAAAATCGGAATGAAATCTTAATAATTTTTAAAAATCAATAATAGCCTAGTTTAATACAGTGCTACCCAAAAGCTTCTAAAATGGATTGGTGAGCTTAAACACATTTGAGCAAGAAGCAATCTGTTATAAAATAAAATGATAGAAAAAGGACAAAAGTTGTCTTTGGAAGTCTTGAAATCGTTGTAAGATATATTTTGAATTGAAATATCCTCATGAAAATAAGATAAAAATGTATAAATTCATAGGCAATAGTTCCTGGAGAGCTTTTTAAACAACAGTTTCAGAGAATAGTCATTGGAATGAATAATCAAAATGGAAATAAATCGCATGTTGAATTTGATTTGTCAATAAAGTTAGCTATTAGAATGTATTGGATTGAATGTTTATGTTAATTTCAAATACCTATTGATATACTTACTAGGGTATTGTATTGTAAATACAAAGCATGTTTGATAACACTTGTCACTATACTATTCTTTAAAGTACAGTTTGTGAAAATCTATGACTTTCTGATTATGATAAAGGATCAAAAGCTAATTATTGTTTTTCACTTCTCAATTCTCCAATGATGACTCTAGTTTGAACATACATAAGAATTATGAACGATATTTCTGTAAAAATACCTTCACCTAACATGATGTAAATAACACTCAACACTAGTCTATATTCTAGTAAATTGTTGATGTAGAATACTCGTCTATATTCTAGTAAATTGTTGATGTAGAATACTCGTCTATATTCTAGTAAATTGATGATGTAGAATACTCGTCTATATTCTAGTAAATTGTTGATGTAGAGGTCTATATTCTAGTAACTTGTAGATATAGAATACTGTAGATTTCTTGTCTATATTCTTGTAATTTGTTAATGTAGAGGTCTATATTCTAGTAAATGGTAGATGTAGCATACTCATCTATAATCTAGTAAATTGTTGACGTAGAGGTCTATATTCTAGTAATTTCTTGATATAGAGGTCTATATTCTAGTAATTTGTTGATGTAGAGGTCTATATTCTAGTAATTTGTTGATATAGAGGTCTATATTCTAGTAATTTGTTGATGTAGAGGTCTATATTCTAGTAATTTGTTGATATAGAGGTCTATATTCTAGTAATTTGTTGATATAGAGGTCTATATTCTAGTAATTTGTTGATGTAGAGGTCTATATTCTAGTAATTTCTTGATATAGAGGTCTATATTCTAGTAATTTGTTGATGTAGAGGTCTATATTCTAGTAATTTGTTGATGTAGAGGGTAAGACTGTATCTCAGAATATGATGGTAAACTGTCTTGTTTATAAAGTTTAGAAGATGAAGGTTTATTTATACACTCATCATAACTTGGTGGAGCTGAAAAAATTCAAGCAAAAATATGCAAATTTAGGCAGAAACATAGACCACCCAAACCAGGGATGTCCTTAAAGAGAACAAGACTTACCTATTAGTGGAGTTTGTTGTGTACATTCATCATTTGGTAACATTATAGATGAGCTTGCTATCATATTTAAAGGGACTGTACCAAGTATAATCTTTTCTTTAAATTTAATATCATCACAATCACAACCATCTGTTTGTATGTGAAACTACAAAATTAAAAACCTCATAATAAACAAAGTATGCGGGTAAAAAAATTTTGATGTATTTACTTTTAAGAAGACTGAACAATAAAATACTGCAGACAAACAAAAAGTGGACATAAACACATTGTTCTGTTAAAGAAAGACACAGTATGGTAATATCAAGTTGCACTGTAACTCTAATATTATGATGAAACTCAGTATTTTAGTATATTACCTGTATTGTGTAATCGACACCTATTATTGTTGATGCACCTAGATTAGTAGGTTGTGTTTCAGGAGGTATAAGTATAGGATCATTCCAGATATCACTGCCACCAGGTTTTATACTCTCATGTGTACTTTCTGCTATAACTACTTTACATTTAATACTACTATTCTCAGCTTTAAATGTAGTTTTCTAGAAAATTATAATGACAAAATTCATTAAATAATCTTAGTACTAACACCAGAAAATATTTTTACCATAATGGCAATTGGAGTTATACATAATTTGCCTTGTTCTAAGGCGTCCAAATCTGATATAAATCTACACTGATTCTTTACCATAGAGCCTGCATTTAGATATGTGGAAAACAGACCTGTTCTTTGTATGGAGTTTTGTATGACATATTTATAACACTAATAGTTGATTGATAATAGATGCTATCAATATTTACCATAATTAAATAGGCAGTAGCAGTGACATAGTTGGTAGAATTATTACTAATTTCAGCCATGATAAATATTGGTCCACTTATTACAAAGCCACGATGGTCTAACCGAAACACTACACTATATGATCCACATTTGCAACACCAACAACATACTGATTTCTCTTCACTTCTTATTACTACTTCCTAGATAATAATATATATACATACATATTATTCATCATACATAATATACATACATATTATACATTATATAAAATATACATACATATTATACATTATATAAAATATACATACATATTATGCATTATATAAAATATACATACATATTATACATTATATAAAATATACAAACATATACATAATTCTATACTTCTTGTTATTCATTATACATAATATACATACATATTATACATTGTATAAAATATACAAACATATACATAATTCTATACTTCTTGTTATTCATTATACATAATATACATACATATTATTCATTATATAAAATATACAAACATATACATAATACTATACTTCTTGTTAGTCATTATACATAATATACATACATATTATACATTGTATAAAATATATAAAAATATACATAATTATATACTTCTTGTTATTCATTATACATAATATACATACATATTATTCATTATATAAAATATACAAACATATACATAATTCTATACTTCGTGATATTCATTATACATAATATACATACATATTATTCATTATACATTATAATACACCTACATGTTATTCATTATACATACTATAAAATAGAATGTAGAACAAGGTTAACTGATTTGAACTTTGTTTTGTCATCATTGGACTGTCTTACTAAATTTAAACATGTTTCCTTCAGCTATTTCTCTAAGGGGCTCTCAGATATTGATCTATTATGAATAATCATAATTATATGTATTATATTGATCAATCAGTTCATTCTGATACCTTGAGGTAAATTTTAGTTCTGTTATAATGTCAACAATCTGTAGTTTTTCAATGTTTTATTATTTAAGAACAGGCATTCTCCAATCTAACCAAAATTAGACCAAACTTTTGTTTTGTTTGCTTTTGTATTAGCTTTTATTTTTAATATAGCCACTTCAGTTAGGGTCTGAAGACTGGACTCTTAAACATTCGTCAAAATTACTTTTTGATTTTAATTGCTTTAACCAAATTCCTTCACTCTCTCACAAAATGCAGAGGGTTAGGTTAGGTTAGGTCAAAAGTTTATTTTGACTAACGCTTATATGTAATAAAATATCTAATAAAATCAATTGAATAGCTAAATATCTGTAGCATTATTACAACAGAATAGATGCTATACTAAAACTATGATGTAAAAAAACAAACTTTGCCATACCTGAGCATGTGGTGCTTCATTTAAATCTATCACACCATTCACTGAAAAATGTGATTCTTCCGAGCTAATATCTTGTTTCCAATTTCTACGGTAAATCTTAGCTTTGGCCCAATATCTAACATGACCATACTTCCCTTCAAATGATGAAGGAATTTCTAAAGGCAGTATGTAATTTTCTGTAAATGCATATTCTCCAGCAGATAGTACATGTTCCCTCTCTGATCCACCTTCTGGAAAAGAAAAAGACAGCTTCCCAGCTTAAAACTTTTGCCAAACAATGACATACAAAATAGGGTGCCCTCTCTCAAATTCATAATTATTTGTATAGTATAGTTACTGTTGTGTCAATATATGTCTTTCAATTTTGTATATTGGATAATTCTATTGCCTTTTTTATGATCGTATGTCAATACTGTTATGCAAGTTAAAATCTCTAGGGAGTAATAAATGGATATTGTTCTGAAGTATTAGGCCAAGAAGCAATACTATTACAGAGGAAAATCACAATAACACAAATTATCATCAATATAAATGACAATTATCTTTCAGTGTTAAATGTTGATGAGAACAGTCTCATAAAAACACTAGAATTTTGTTTTTAACCAAAGGTTTGTAAGACATCAGCTTTTTAAATCGGAACAAGTTTTTAAACATGAAACAACAAACCAAAGACAAAAATAAATTGACTGTTCAATCAAAAGACACAAACCTTCTCCCCAGACAACTTTTCTCTCAGTTATAAAATTATCTTCTCCTTCATAACGTTTACTTTCCCCTGATCTCTTATCACCCCACAAGACATAGCATTGACCACATATCTTTAAATGTATACCTTCAAAATACATAAAACATCATAAATAATCTATATCATTTTACAGCTGGAGTATAAATTGGGATACCGGTATATATAGTTGCCCTCAGAGGTGTTTCATCAGCTGACAGCTCAATTTTAACTGCACATTTCACATTCAGTAACATCTGATGCTGTCACTTCCATATTGTTACTAGCATTGATTCACACACAAAGCTATTATCAATATTATAATATAATTGTATAATAATAAATATCATATACAGTGATGTGTCCAGAACAATGCTTGTTAATCTAAAACTACCTAAATAGATATTGTTTATAACGAAAAAACTACCTTCAATAGCACATCCACTGTAATGTAACTGTCCACTCTGCTTCTTATGGTAAGTTTTAAATTTGAACACAGTATTCAACTGAGAAAGTACAGTAAATCTTACCTCTTACTTTCAAGGGTTCAAGCACCTTCAAATGAATAGTTAGTGAAATTTCGTCTCCAGGATTAAATACATTCTGATCATTATTTATAGTAACTAGAAAATAAGAGATCTTAGCTCTTGTGTTTGGACTTCTCATGTTTATTTTCTAGACTAGGCTTTCAATTTGTAGTAAAATCTTCATCATCATGCAACACATGGCGTTGAACTGATGCATTCCACTACAAATACAAAGACAGTGATTAACATTTAGAATTAGGTGTTACATCATCGAACAACAGCCAATAATAATTCGCTTTATAAGTGAAGAACATGTGATATTCAAATGGAATAGATGCAAATGGTAGAAACTGAATGCTAAATTAATTTTAAGATTAACACACTTGCTTATTTTCATCCTGTGAGCCCTTTCACATCAGTAGGCCTAATGAATAGTTTCTTTTTCAGTGCTATGCAGTATTGTATGCTCATATAATATGGGTATGTGGGAATACAAAGCTAAAAAGGTTTGGTAGATTTATCTCTGACCCTTTGCCATGTGACAAGCCATCAATATCATCTGTCATATCTTGGGTATGGACTCTATGGTATGGAGTTTCTCGGTCTACTCACTGTCACTACCTATGGTCAGTGTGCCATTGTGGGTAGTTATGTGAAACGATTTGCACAAACACTCAGAGATTCATCATGCTAGAAAGATACTTTCTAATTTTTGTTACCCATACCTGAAAAAATGGCATCTTCTTTCTGTTTAATAAGCAAATCACAGCAGCTTTGTTTCTTGATTTATTTCCGATTTAATCAATCAATATTGAGATTGATTAAAAGCATAATTTCTCTTATTAACAAGAGTTGTCTATCCTTGACCAGTTCGGTGTAGACTTTTTTCCTGGCTAATGAAAAAGTCCTGAATCCGAATTTCATACTCAGGTTGCTGATTTTGTTTTTCAGACTTTACCAAAGTCCTGTTTTCCAAGCTATCCGTCTTACTCAGGATGAAACCCTTATTACTATCTTGTGGACTCTTTTATGTATTAGGGCAAGTCTTTTTTATCTAATCGACTATAAAATTTTATCTCCCTTGAATTTTCAAAAGTTCTCTTCCAAATTTTCGCTTTTTGAAAACTCCGAGCCGTTAGCCTTTAAGTCGAAACTGATTTTCTTATGTTTTTATAAGAAATTAGAAAATGAAATGAAATGAATGGAGTTTTACGTCCTACTTTTCTGCACCATGTGGGCTAATGAAGACGGGCAACGCCATGCAGGGCGCAATGAGGGAAATTTTGCCAGGACAGCGGCATTATCCTGTTCTTTTTCGATCTCCAACTGTCGAGGGATCTTTAACGTGCACAGCCTGTAGCACACGGGGCCTCGGTTTATTGTCCCATCCGAACGACTAGACGCTTTTTCCATGTCAGCCTCTCTCACTTGCATCACTGGATGAGAAATCAGAGAACAGTCTTTGTCATTTGTTCCCATCTTTTCAGCTTGAAAATGCTTTTTAGAGGGGTGGGTAAACCTACTCTCATTGAGTTCTAAATTGAAGTTTTTCTCTCATGTCACAAATATTCAAAATATGATTTTCAAGTGCATACCAATTGTCATAAGTAAAATTAAATATTATTCAATTCTTCACATTAATTAGACCGAAATAATATGAAACTGGTCCATAGTGTGTCAGAAGAAGAAATCAGGGAGATGTAGACTGGCCCTCAGAAGCACTCGGTTCAAATGCCAACATGATGTCAACCGAGACGTCCAATCTGTGGCGGTTGAGAGGATCAGCTCGAGGTCAAGGTTATTTATTTCACGTGCTTTCTGTAACCAGTCGATGAGTACAGTTCAATCTCAATCACTCACTTTTGTATGATTTTGGTGTATCAACAACTTTTATAAACCGAAGTCCAACATGGTAAGAAATTGATTTAAAGAAATACAACCTTTCCTCTTATGATATCAGATTTACCGTGTTAAACCACACTTGTATATTTCAGAAAAATGACCTGCCTTCAATTATATTGGCCATTTTTATCAGCATAAATCCAGTCTATACATTTAAACTTGGAGTGACGGGTAAGTATTTTCTATAACAAGATTCCCCACCCCAGCAAACAAAACAATAAGCGGCTCTCTGACCAAGAATCTGATTCAGAATTTCAAAAATATTCTACATGGGAATTTGAAATTGCATGCAATGCCATTTTTCTTAGAATGTCTTGAGAACTCTGTAGTATTTTGAAATTGGTATATCAATTAATACTATATTACTCCAAAATGAGTCTTGAATTATATTTGAAGTAATGTATGAAAGTTTGTAGTTGAAATACCCGAACTTCAATTTGAAAAATAAAACATTTTGTCGAACCTTTTATGAGCAAAGCCACATCTGAGTTTCGATTTCAAGGGCAAAACACACAATAAAATTGACCATTCATTATTTTAATGTACATCAACGTTTTCACACAATGGATTTCAACCTTTTGAGTTTTCTTGACTTGGAATTTCAGACATTGCATTGGGTTATAATGTCACCATAAACAACCTCGCCCCAGAAGGCAAATCAACTGTTATATTGGATGGATTACAGTTGGTTAACAGTGCAGTAACTGGTTACCATGTTACTATTGGAGAAGATGATTGTAACATTAGATTAGAAATCTGGGATCGACTCAACGATGAAGAATATAGATTAAATAGATACAGAGAATTCTATGGAAACACAGGCTATTATGAAGTAAGACAATTAAAATAATTTCTTAGAGTATTTTCTAAATTGAATCTAATAATTGATAAAAAGTAAAAAAAAATCCACTTTCCTGAGATTCCATTTATGCTTCAGCTCATGATTAGTCATATAATGTCGAATATCAGTTGTTCCATATAGTGCACAGTCTAATGCCATGTAACTTAATTCGTTCCTTGGCTGTTTTAGATATCCCTTCCACCATCTGAAGAGTTTAATGTCAGAGAAGATCAGAGATTGGGATTTACCAGTTTGAAAGAAACATCAACATGCGTTGGATATTTGTACGTTACGGATAACAGAAGGTCGCAAACTAGGCGTTACTTCTTTCAAAACAGCTCCCCACCTGAAGTTAACCGTGTATATAAGTTTGCTCCATACCAAACCACCTTTTTATTTCCTATTGGTGTGATTGTCAAAGGTAGGTCCATCTTAGATTTTGAGCATTTGGATCCAATGATCCTAGATGGATCTGACATTTTTCACGAATATCTTGTATTTTCTGCTGTCGAGTGGCGTATAACGTATTCTCTAGACTCCCGACCTGTCTGTCCTCAAGGTATGCAATCAGACCTAGGCTGGATTATTTTGATTTAATTTTTCTATATTGGCTCGGTCATTTCATTGCAGATCCAGCTATACCAACTACTCCTACTACAACCACGACTACACCTCAACCGACAACTACCACTACAAGACGTACAACCACTACTCCTGTGCCTGAAGTCCGATTCGGACGTAAGTATTAGTATCCAGTTTTGAAGATAGTTCCGAACTCATCTGGTTGTGAATCATTCCTACATCTTTACTTTCTACATACAATTGTCATAATGTATATCGATGTATAAAATCTTTTCCCAATCAGTCTCGCATTGTATCTGAGATTTTCTGGCCACATCGAATGATCTGGTGATTTATTCAAATGATCACTTTTTAGGATTTGTAATATATGGTATAAAGAACTATCTACGATAGTTTAATTTAGCAAATTAATTTATCTTTACTGTAAAAATACCATGTTTTAATGGTTTCTCCAATAAACTTTTTGCTGTTCTTATTTAGAAAAATGAGTTTTTGAATATTGTAGGATTTATTGGATATAATTATACTGATAATCAGATGTCTAGACCAGGAAAGAGAACCGTTATTCACCATGGCTTGCAATTAGAAAATGGAAAAGTTATTGGATACAGATTTCGAAATTCGAAAATTGGATGCAGACCACGTTTACAGATTTGGAGATTAGTTTCTGAAACTCTTGGTTTATATAATTATACATTGATATTTGAAAAGATTTATGATGGTTCTAAAGAAGGGCTCGTTTATGTAAGGAGCTCACTTACTACTTCGTTATCTTTATAGTTTTGATTTATGAAGTTTTGTGTCTTAGAGTGATGACTTTTCCTATTTGTCACATAGAGATCGTTTCATAGTCATCATGTGCTGCAAATCCTGCCTTAGTTCGCACACGGATGTCAGTTGACCTTTGCAACGATCTTAATACTATATCATGTATAGGCATGTGTCATTCTATATAGAACACCATGTTACATTCCAGTGGCCACTACAACCATCACAATATTTTGACATCAACCGAAATGATAAACTTGGCTTCACCAGTGAAGATGCAGACGAATCCTGCATCCCATTTCATTATGTCCAAACAGATCTGAGATCACAAACAATTAACCGATATTATCCAAACGGCAATTATCCAAGACTGTATGAAACACTCAGCTTCGAACCATATCAAACAACTTATTTGTTTGCTCTTGAAGTCGAACTTCTTGGTAAGACATTATTTTCTGTAATCTCAAGTCTTATTACACTTGTCATAATTTAAAAAATATTCCATTTAAATTTGTCTCTTATGTTGAAGATGTACTTTCATCTATTTGACACCATCTTTTTTATACTTTTGCTTTTCATTATAATTTCAGTGAGAGCTTCTCAAGGTGCGACTGGACCCCAGGGGTTAAAAGGCATTCGAGGTGACCTTGGTGAACAAGGACCAAGAGGAGAAAGGGGTTCAAAGGGACCTACAGGTGATGCTGGACCGAAGGTAATTTATGTATTGAAATGTCGTTATTTAACCATGCATTCCTCTACTCTCTTCTTTTTAGTTGATCATACCTGCAGTTATAAAATCTGAAAAGGATGTCCAATGTTTAAAGGAGTGTATTGAACTTTTTCAGGGAGAAACCGGAGATATAGGGTTAGAAGGAAGCAGAGGATTTAAAGGATTTCGAGGAGAAACTGGTGCGGTTGGAAATAGGGGTCCAAATGGTGAAGATGGGGAATTTGGTAGTCGTGGTGAGAAGGGTGAATTAGGGAGCAAAGGACCCAGAGGCGATCAGGGATTTTCAGGAGAACGTGGTGATATTGGACCCGAAGGTCCCGTTGGAAACACGGGTGCTACTGGTACTACTGGTGACAGACTACGAGGCGAAGCAGGTGCTACTGGAGTTATGGGTCCTTTTGGTTCCACTGGTCCTATTGGATATGTAGGTGATCGTGGTGATAGAGGGTCTGATGGTCTTACTGGTCCTGTTGGGCAACGTGGTGTTACTGGTGCCCGCGGTCCAATGTGGCATCCAGATAGTAAGTAGTCCTTCAGTTTCTGGTTTTATAATTGTTTTTCAGATGCAGTGTTTGTTAGGTATCGTTCTTGCTAAGTCCAGAATTCTTGTAAGTTTAGCGTAATCTTCGCCATTACTGATAACCTTGTATGGTATTTATATTCGGAACTCTCTACCAACTGTTTATCCCTGAAATTACCCAGCTTCATTTTGCAACGTCATATTTACTTTTCAAATGATCAACTCTGTATTACTCTTGTTTTAGATGTTGACCACTGTTCTACTAGTAGTCTGAACTGTGAACATAACTGTCTTAATACAAGACTTGGTGCCAAGTGTGGGTGTTATCCAGGCTATGAATTAAAAGATAATCGATGTATAGGTAAGTATCTCCAGGGCTGTAGATCCCTTGAAGGAGAGGAGAAATAGTCTCTTTTCCTCTTTAGAGTACACAGATCTGCGGATCCGTCCATGTGACCCAATCGGAATATACGCCAATGATTGTTTTCTTCAGGTTGACGTTAGGAATCATCATCTTATATTGACAAATAACAGAATTTATCAACAGAAAAATAAATCGTTGCATCTATACGGCGCAAAGTATAGGACCCTATCTTGGTTTGCAGGTAAATTTTGTCACTCGGGATTTTGAATAGGGGCTCTTTGGAGAATTTTTGAACGGTAACTGTCATTCATAAACTTATCTTTCATATACATCCAAGTAGATTTGGTACATTCCCGTTTATATTGTCTTGTAGAGATCAACGAATGTCATATAGAAAATGGCTTGTGTGAATATAATTGTATTAATACCCCTGGAAGTTATATTTGTGGTTGTCCCCTTGGTCTGAGACTCTCGAAAAATGGAAAACACTGCAACGGTACGTATAAAAACATAAGCATAATTGAAAATGATTAGAAATATACAAAAGGGATTCCTTTAAACTTGTCTTAAATTTTTCAGACCTGTCAGCAATATAATATGCAAGTTAATTTACATGGATTTCAAATAGCTGTGTTCAGTATAAATAGCACTTGATTTTTTAATATTTACAGATTTTGATGAATGTGCTAGTGGAACTGCCCAATGTAAAACAGCTCAAATTTGTATTAATTTGTGGAATGATCACTACTGTGCCGGACCATTTGATAAATCACCGGATTCACCAACAACTAGTGAGTTTTTGATTTGCTTTTATCACTTTTTAGACTATTGTCCATAAGATCTCGGCAGAATCCATCATGGTATTTCATGATGTTGGATCAAATTCTGATAATCCTCAGAAAGTTCAATAGCAATTAGTAGCATTTATCTAAATATTCTCCTTGGAGTGACTAAATGTTCATGAAACTGAAAGATTTCTATAGGTGTTTAATACAGGACTTTAACTGGGTTATTTTTTCAGGTTCACAAATTGCAGCTGATGTACGACTGGTTACTAGGGATGTTGTAATTGGTCTTTTAATATGGTTGATCATTTTGTCCATACTGACAATCATGGCTTCCATATTGATTGCTCCAGAATGTCGCGAATGTTGTGCAAGCAACAAGCCCCGATATCATCAGGCAGGTGGTAGAAGACCTCAGTTCTATTATCCTGCTTTCTTTCCACGAGTCAGCTTAGATAGGAGACCCAGTTCTGATAGGATGGACATAATTGAAGGAAGACAGTCCCGGAATGAAAATGAACAAGATGGAATTGTCAATGAAGCTCATCTTCATGAAGGTCAACAACGTAGCGAACTCTAGGAAATAAAAAAATAAATTGATGCAAAATAAGTATTGTCTTTTTAAAACAACTTACCCGTCTACTACATGTAATACTTTAAAAAGGAAGGTCGAGGATTCGATCATGTAAATGAAGAAACCCATCCAAAATTCTCACCACTCATACGTTTGCGGTCTGATCATTAATTTCTGCAGACAATGTGGAGAAGACTGGATAAGAATATTTGCTATCATGTTCCTTTAGCAAACGGTACGATATATTACGGTAGGATATTAATAATTTACACTACCGTTGCTAGAGGAACATGATTTGCTTTACAGGCTTTCTCTATATATGGTTGTAAGGATTATTACCTTGTAGGTAACCACGCGAGTTCTAGTGGATGTAGCCACTTATGCAAAGCAGCTATTCCCGCCATTGTGAAATAACAATCCTCCAGTTCTTCATGACCTATTACAGACGGCATCACAAAACTGCTTGGGATATGAAAGAAACGAATCGTGGTATCTATTCTTCTGGCCCACGACTCCTGCCTTTGCCATAGATTTTCGAAAGTCTAAATAACTTTAAAAGTTATCAAGTCAGGTCACTATTATTTTTTGTTTGCACGTTTCTATTTGTCGTGTATGTTAAGTAGCTATGACGGGTGTGGCGCCAATCAGGGTATGCTTACTCTTCTAAACACCTGATACTACTTTTCATATTGAAATAATTACTTCCTCGTTTGAAAAGTAGGCTACATTAGCTGCTACCAATATTCGCCAAATTGTTTTGGATTTTGGGTTTTGTTTTGCGGTTCGGATCGTTAGTAGGCCGTGTATTCAATTTGATGGAGCCAAATAAGGTGAAGTACATAGAGGAAAGGTTCTTTTCGATTTTTAACTGTCGAGGGATCCATGGTGTACACAGCTTGCAGCTCGATGCTTTTTCAATGTCTGATCTGGTTAAAAAATCTGAATGAAGCTCGAGCTATGTCGGGATTGATCTGAGTAAATAATTTATAACAATGTACAGAAATATCATCTTTTCAAATCACAACAAATGTAAACACAATTATACTATCATTATAAGTCATCGTTTCTAGCGGCAAATCTATCTTATAGACAAATTTGAAACGCTTCGATGCTTATGAACATATCTATTTTTAAAATTGCGTGACAGGGGAGATATTTATTTGTCCAATGGGATGCATTGTATAAATTGATACTTACATCCTGTTATTATATATTAAATAGGTAGATGATCATTCAAGCTTGAAGGCCATGGAAAAAATTTAAAAGATTAAAAACACAATGAAACATTGCTTCTGAAAACATTGTATTGAGGAGTGGTGATACACAATACTTACCGGAAAATTGTCATATAGGGCTTCATAAACACAGTGTGTGTTTGGTTAAACAGTTACTTTTCCCTGGAATAAGTGAGATATACATCAAAGAAGATTTATATATCCACGAACTTCATAAACAGGAGACGGTGTTATGGCCTTTGGCGAAATTAATCAATGGAATAAGTTTAAGCAATTTGACTTTAAAGGGATTGAACAAGGATTTCTAGCCCTTTTATGCCTCTACATGCACCACTCTGCTTTCACGTTAAAAGATTGTGGTTACTGTAATTTCAGAATAACTCTACTTGATTTTGACAGAGCTATCAAAAGTCAATCGTTTGATGGTGAATACAATAGTAATGAATCATGTTGAAAACCACAGAAATCGGAATTATGAAAATACTATACAAGCAATAAGTGTCACCGATACAAATAAAATTTTATAAATCCCTTTAGCAAGCAGAGTTCGTATATTTATACAGGTATGGATGGATATACAATAGACCTACTTGTAAATTTCGGTCAATCCTTGTCATAATCAGTGAATCGTATACAAAGCAAACAAAACGGTTTTTTAGTCGTGTTTTTGTGATTTTCACGTAAACCATCGTAGAGTTTATAGTTGGGTTTAGCAGAGTGTCGAAACATCCCAGTTTGTCAATAGTCGAATTGAGGATCTACATAACTTTACTCCAGTGATGTGAATGTACAGTATAATTTTACAGTCAGCCATAGATCAGTAACTTGGATATAACTTTAAGTGTTTATTTACACGGACATGGTCTATAGGCCTACCCATATACAGTATTAATTGATGTATGAATATAAAGAGGTCAACGAATGAAATCCGGTATAGAACCACTTAGTTTCCTTTTGTGAGAAAAAGATTTGACGAAATGTAAGTAATATGTGTTTATCTATAAAATTCAGACTGTATTATTATCTTGTTTAAGAAAATAAAAAAAAAGAAAATATTCATCCGACTTTTCTTAAATCGTTAATCCAGATTAATTTAATTCGATACTAGCTCCCCATAACAAAACCCTTTAAAATGTATTGTTCAATAACCTGGAAACTGTGGTTCTATATTGTATAAAACAAGAATTATTGACAAAATTGACGGATTTCATTTTCTGAAAGAAGGTATACATGTACTTGGCTTAGATGCGGGTTGTTTTACGCTTCAAAAACCTCAATTAAAAGCTCTCCACTCATTAAATTGATCATTGCTGTAGCTTATTATATTTTCTGAAATATTTAGTATATATGAGATGAGAGTATCAAATATAACAATATTTTCAAGGCCAATAATATTTGCTTTTTTTTTCTTTATTCCTCAGGATATCTACAATAATTTCAATCGTTCTCTTGTGCTTGAAACCAGGCGTGATAGAAGCCGGCTTTAATTTCGACTTCTCTGGGAATACTCCACCCCCCTCTAATAATAACTGTGCCCAAATAACAAATTACTGTATCCTTCCAACTTATTGTCTACACAATGGACAATGTAGCTTTAATACAACATTATGTGAGACTAATTGCCATTGCCCCTCTCCATACACTGGTAAAAGATGTAGAGAGAAACTATGTCCCGATGGATGTGGTGGTAACACTACACTGTGCTTAAATGGAGGATCGTGTACTATAAATAAAGATACGTGTCAACAGCAATGTGTTTGTCCAGAAGGTTATACAGGAATTAACTGTGAATCTAACATCCAAGTCACAAATGATACAGAGACTGACCAAGAATGTCCAATGAATCTATGTGACAGTTTTGCCTTCTGTTATAAAGGTATATGTAAACAAAATAAACGCACATGCGCACCGTATTGTATTTGTGAAGACGGCTTCACTGGATCTCAGTGTGAAACATTCATTGATTCTTCAGACACCACAACAGCATCTACTCCATCTATCCCATCTACAAGTCTAGCGCCACTGGCTTTAAGGCAATGTGCCTCTGGTTTTACTTGTAAACATGGTATATGCGATCAAGAGAAATTAAAAGAAAACCGATTTAAATGTAACTGTGACAAGGGATTTATTGGAACCACCTGTCGAAAGCCATGTCGAGTGGACTGTGGTGAATATGGACATTGCTATTTAGATGGTCTGAAAGAAAGATGCGCCTGTCATCCAGATTGGGTTGGGGAAAATTGTACTGATCCTAAACCGACACCCGCGACATTAATAGCACCAGGTATGTTTAAGAAGTAGTAACTGATTAAGAATCCCTTCTGTATTTTGTTTTCTTGAGTGGCACAAGGATTTTCTTCCTCATAATGGTCAAGGTATTACGTCTTCATCTTATACCTTGACTGTCATGGCCCACTTTCTTGTTTCACAGTTTGATTGCACGGATTGTACGCGACTGAATACAGCCAATTAGAGCCCTCAATTTCATACATAATTTTTTTTTAAACGTAATACCTTGACCATTGTGAAGATGCAGGATTTTAAAGTCGAATATATTTATTTCTGAAAGATTCGTTTAAGCTTTTCACTTCACAGTCATTTTAAGATGTCAATATTTTGTTCAAGTAACATAATCACTCCACATATTTAGAAACAAAAAGTAAAAATTAGAGGCTCGGCATGTAAAACTTAGTGGACAATTAATTGTTAACTTTGTGGGCGCCGCTGTCTCGAATAATCTGTTTTATGATTTGCCCATACATCGGTTTTTAAAGGAATTTGTTGACATGCAGGCAATCAAAATTGAAATAGATCCTTCCTCAATGATCGACTGAAATGTTTGGCGTGGTGATTTCAATGGTCATCAATTAAGTTCGTGTCAGTTATATAAGTAAGAACGACAAGCAGTTGCATGTGATTCTCTTTTTCAGCAAATGCGGGCTGGGTATGGTGGGTTGCTGGTAGTTGTATTGGATTATTAGTTTTATTGGTATTTTTACTAATTGTTCTACCAGTGTGGTTATGGAAGAGAAGAGAGATATTCATCATGAAAATTGTACATTATATGCAGCCTTATGAAGATTCTGGTAGATATTTGCTTTGCCTTTTAATCATAATCTGATCTTCAGTATCTTACCACTTGAAAGATGTCACGTTGATTGCATGGCCAAAGAACGCAAATTTTGTCAGGAGAGCAGGATAATATTGGCCTTCTTTGTTTTTTTTTTCTCGAGGGATAATATTAATAGACGACTCCTTTCTATTAGGTTAAACTTTTAAAATCTTAACATTTCAGATGGCAAAATGTTTGATGCGTTCATATCCTACAAATCACATCCTGATGATGAGGGCTTTGTTCTCAATCACGTTTTCCAGAAGTTAGAGAAAGAATTGGGGTTTAAACTTTGCCTCCATTTCAGAGATTTTAAAGTCGGCGAAAGTAAGTTTTGCTGTGATCTTGATATTGTTCAATCACTTATAAACTATTTGAAATGATATTCTGCAATTTGAAATGCTTTTGCCATAATTCTTAAAGGACACAAGTATATGAATTTCGCAAATACGTTTGTATGAATTCTGGAAAAACGGTGAAGAATGTCTTTTGCAGAGATTCTGGAATAACTAAGCTGAGTAATACCATTTGATGTACATGTTTTTTAGAAATAGAGAAAAAGGGTAAAGTGCTACCAAAATATAGAAATTCTGATTTCTTGAAATAATGGTAATAAAAGTTAATTGTAACATTATTATCTTCTATTCCAGCGATTGCCAACAATATTCTTTGGGCAGTAGAGAATAGTAGAAGAACGGTGTTGATTATTTCGCCCAACTATCTGGGAAGTGAATATGCACAGTTTGAATTTCAAACCGCCCATTTGGAATCATTAAGCCTTCACTCTAGAATAGTGCCAGTTATATATAAAGATATATCACAACATCAAGGTAGTATTGACGCCACATTAAAACATATCCTAAGAACCATCACATACCTAGAGTGGCCTACCATTGAAGACAACAAAAAGGAAACCAAATTTTGGAAGCGTCTTGCTCTGTCCCTTCCAAAACGTAAAGAACTTGATGCTAAATCCATCGAGGCGAAATTATCACCATCAAAAGATCATTCTGATAATCATATTAACTTACTCAGTTATAAAACATTGAACAGTAAAAGTACTGAGACCATGTGGACTGATGTTTCATTGGATGAGACCAAGGACACTGGTAATTACCATAAAAATCTCGTAAGCAATAGTGGTGATGTGAGTCTCAATATGACTGAATGAAAAAATGTTGGGATGGGTCGTAGTAATCTGATCATAAACCACATAATTATTATAACTGTTATACCATTCGATGCCGGAGATGATATTTTCAAGATAAAAGAATTTCCAGGTTTTACCACATTTAGCTATTTATGAAGTTTTTAGTCCAGTGAACAGCGTTTTATTCAAAGATTTTTTAGAATTTGGAGTTTCTGTGTTATTAAGTGTGTGTTTTTTTTTTCACGAAGACTTGCTAATTTAAATCCAAATATGCCTAATGGTCCCATGCACGTCATTAAATTTTGACGACATTGGCCCCAGGCGCAAACCGAAACAATCGGCATTTTCGGATCTTGTTCAAATGTAAATAATTGTCTACAGCAGTACTGTAACTACCATTTATCAACATTCTATTCATTCAGTGTATATATATTCCTCACCCTTTTTTTAATTTTCGTTTTGTAAATAATTTTGCAGGATATATACTTCTTTTGATTAGAATTTGTTCATCACTTGATTTTCACAGAAAATGCAAATAGAATTGATGATATCAGTTTCTAATTATTAAGAAAACCTCCTTACAATCCCTTTAAGCCTACAGGTCTTTTTTTCAAGATGAAGCCAGTGTGGTTTTGAGTAAGTTACTTCCACGAGTAACTATATTCATCCACAAAACGATAAATGAACAAACACAAGACAAGGTATATTTTTTAACATTTTAACAAATATAAATATAATATTGCATATTTTACAATGGAGTAGGTGAAGATGATAAGAGCTAATAATAGTTAACTTCCGGTAAGCGGCTGGAATATGGCGCGCTTTTATGTGAACGTTGGTCTTCCCAAGCTTCAGAATATCTCCTACTGGCGTCATCACGATATCTGAAATCGTCTCGTCTGCGACTCTTCCTTATGAACAGACATGCTAGTATTATTATGATAAGTACACTGAGAATGATTAACCAAACAATAAATCCAATCATTGTCATTCTGCTTAGTAACCCAGATCCACTTTCACAGCTTTCTAGTGCAGCTAAAAGAAAACAAAAATTGGAACACCATGTACTGGTTAGTTGTATCATTCAAACTAAACCTAGAAAGTAATTAAGGGTTCCAATTTAAGCCCTGTTTTAATTTTTCTAGAATCATTAATGTCAACGAGCCTTTTCCATGTGAAGTTCTGAAAAGCCACCTCATAACTATTCTGCAAATCTCACGAAATGGGATATTTACCAGCGTTTTTAACATCTATAACTAGTATTAAAATCATAAACGACAAACTAATCTATTACCTGTTATTGGTACATTAGACTGCACAAGAGTTTCTATAACTTTTGGTATACATCGTCTACTTCCGGGTGTATTAATACATTTCTCATCATCTGCACAACCACCGTCATTCGACTTACATTCATCAACATCTATATATAAACAGAAAGATTCGCCTTAGCAATATCAATTCTATAACACCAATTAATATCATTTGTGTTCGCAAACGATTGTCACAGTGGGCGAGCAAGGGAATTAATTCAACCTTTGGAATTTAACATTGATACAGTTGAATTCTGCCATTAAATCTTACCTTTACAAGTTCTTCTATTTGGAGAAAGTACAAAACCGGCAGCACATGAACATTCAAAGGAACCGATCGTATTCTTACACGTTTCTTGGCATCCACCATTGTTTTTTCCACATTCGTTAGCATCTAAAATGTAAAATTATATCAGATTATAGTAGAGTTTGTTCCTATCCATTCCGAGTGATAATGTGACTAATTGCAGTTATTCGTCAAAACCTCATATGAAAACATTCAACAAGAAGGATCAATTCAAATTCGAGGGGCCGGTTGGGATTAGAACCGGATCTCTATGTTGGGGTCAAATGCAGAAAGTCAATATTCATCATAAAGTATAAGGATCACAATGCAACAAATCAAGCTTATTGTACACAGCTAAATTAAGGAAGTGCTATTCTAAATAAAATGCTACCTTGTATTCAACAGTTTGGTCCATATCTCAAGAGACATAAGTGTTTCAACCAATTTCGTTGAGATTTTTTTGTTACGATTTATTACACTCACCCATGCAGGTTTTATTATCAGATGTCCTTAGTTCATACCCAGCACTACATGTACAATAATAGCTACCCAAAGTATTGACACAACCACCTGAACATCCTGAAGTCTGGCATTCATCACGATCTATAACCATAAGAATAACATGCAGTTGTTGGTATGGGATTTCATGGCGCGCTTAATCTTACAGGATTCTACAGGTTGTAGAACAAAACAGTAAATGTCAAAAAGCTATGGGAATTTTCTACAAATCAATGCATATTTTGTTTGTGTCCATTTAGTAAAATAATTGACACCCAAAAGGAGACTTACCCTGGAAAGCTGAACCTACAGGTCCAACAGGTCCCGTCAGACCAGAAGGTCCAGTTACACCAGTAAAACCCTGTGGGCCCATTTCACCACGACTACCTTTAGAGCCCATGGCACCAGTAGCACCGTATGGTCCGGTATGACCACGGTCACCTCTATCTCCTCGTGAACCTATATTACCCTTCTGTCCCTTTATACCATCCTGACCTCTTGAACCAACATCGCCCTGACTACCTTTATCGCCTATCTGACCCCTGAAAATTATAAAACTCCTGTTCAAATTACAAGTAAAGATCCTGATAAGGTGAATAGTGGAACTGCAGATTCACACCATTTGATGGTGCAGACACGAACATCTATTTCACGTCGACAAATCCTTTATTTAAGCGTATATGTCAACATTTTACATGCGTACATCTTTATTCCTTACCGATCTCCTTTCGTTCCAGTGTCTCCTTTGAATCCCCTTGGGCCTGTTTGACCTGCATTTCCCTGCACCCCAACTGGACCTGCAGCCCCTTCAAGTCCATTATCACCACGGTCACCTCTCTGTCCATCTCGTCCTGCGTTTCCTCTCTCGCCTTTACGACCCTTTTCTCCACTGTTGCCCTATAAAAAAAAGTTATTTTTTTATTGACATTTTGCATCAATGTTCTAATTCTAAAATCTATCAATTTCTGTATACAAACCTTATCTCCGGTAAATCCTCTTGAACCTTTCAAACCTTGTTCACCGCGATCACCTTTCTCTCCAATAGGTCCTCTCAATCCAGTAGCCCCAGCTATCGCTGGTTGTGCAGGTCTTATGGTAGGTCTTTGGGTGGTTACTCTAGTAGTCGGAGGGTTAGTTTGTGGCTGAAAGTCTAAAAAATATAGATTTATCAGATTCTTTATCGTGTCTCTTTTCATTTATCATAATCTGAGAGATCGTAAAGAGGTTTTCTAAAATTATTCTGTGTATCAGGGACACAGCAAAATCACAACTTTCTTACATAAGGCCTTTCGCGATTAGTGATGTCATCAAACACTTAGTTTTAGTGGAATCGCAGGAACCGTAGATGTCTGAATTGTCTGAAACGTGTCATAAAAATTTAGAAAATCTCTTTACAATCCCGAAGTGCATGAAGAAAGTTATAAAATTAATGATTCCAACATCTCGTTGTGTAGCCTAACGGACAAAGTCAATCAGTTTAGAATAGGGATAACTACAAAATACCTACTTTCTTCAATAAATACTGCTATGGCGAATAATTCAGGTTGGATGATCTGATTGAACTGCACTCTATCGTTTACTTGAGGATAGGAATTTAATCTGGTAAACCTAACACGTTTCTCGTTTCTGGAATCTAATTGGTAAGTGATACTCATGTCATTATCTTCACTCAGGATACCAAGTATGTCACCATTTTGAGTATTAATATATTCATCACTTCTGAGTGGTATCTAAAAAACAATCAGAGCTATTTGTAATAAACCATTTCTATCGCTCGTGTAACTGAAATCGATTAACAGATAATTAAGAGTCTAGTTAACAATACAGTGTTTAAAATTTCAATGCATATCTTAGAAAATGAAAATATGGTTATTAAGTTTGCTTTGTTACAACACTAACTCTGGCCAGAAATGAATATCAATTGCAGCAACTTGGCTTTACATTAGATTTAATACTTACCTTCAACTACAAGTGAAAATAGATTGCCAAGCATGCCTGCACCCTCTTATCAGATCTTATGGTTAATACTAAAGGGTACAGTTTTTTATATGATGAGAATGCAAAGGATTATTCTCACCAACGAGTACAAGAAACTCTTGACAATTCTCTAAGAAGATTGCAACATCCGCAGCAGTATTGTTTGTATATTAGAATAATGAGAAAAGGCAATCAATGTAAGATTTTCGAGTGACGATCTTTTTCCCTTTCTTGCAGACTTACCGTTCTCTCCGACTGTATGTTACTTGGTACATCACGAGATTCGACACGTTTTTCACCTATCAGAGTAAATTCATATTGTTGATTCGAAGGTTCAGATCGATAAATTTGTAATCGGAATGTAGATGGCCTGCCATTTCTAGTATCATAAAACACCTGATAAAGAATGGAATATGTGTTGTATATTCATAAACATAAGCACGTTTATGTGGTTTAATTGTTGTAAAAAAACCTTTAGTAATTTTGGGTTTCTGTTTTCACCTTGAATCCCCTTTTGTCTACTTTTTACTGTGATTGTGCTACAGCCTTGCCAGGTAAGGTAAATGCAACCACTAGCATCTTTGTTCCAATTTGGGACACATTATAGAATTGTGGATGTTCTACACCAAAAATTGAAAGACAGTTTGTAGAACAAGAAACAAAATTTGCAATTATATCATTTGGATGCATAAAAATACCTTAAATTCAGTAATTCGTCCAGCTGGTAATGCAATACCTTCTATGATATATAACAAGCCTGTACTTTGAGAAAGGGGTTCTAAACCAAGTTGTAGAGGATCAACTCCATAATAGTTCCCAGATGTAAAGTCTGCAATAAAAACCATGTACAAAGTTCCTAAAAAACTGGGTATAACTGGTTCCGTGGGAATATATTTAAAATGGACAATTAATACTGCTCTGTGTGACCATTATTGTTTCCTTTTCGCTTTGTCCAATCTGTAGGCATAACAACAATGTTTTGGTGCCCTATCGCACAAATAAATATTTACGACCAATTTTAAAGTTACTCTTTTCGTGAGCATGTAAGTGTATACATGAAAATGTACAAAAGCAGACATAAGCAATCATCTATTCTACTTACCAAAATAATGGCAAAATAAAAGCAGAAGAAAAGAACCATATTTGTTCATGCTGGCTTCTTACTGAAAATTAAAATGTTTGAAAGAATTCAAAGTAATAGGCCAAATTAAATTTTAGATAATGTGACAGAGAGTAGATATTTGCAACATGAAAATAGTTTTTTTTTCCTTTTGTCCAAGGTGGCCAGAAAATAAATCTAATATCGACAACGTTGTCTAACGCAAATAAATCTATTATTTCTTCAGATCAATTACCTGCTTTACTGACGTTCTCTAATGGTATATTATAATCAAATTACATATCACAGAAGACAACCCCTCTCCCAGATAGGTTTCAAACCAGAAGTATGTTCACCTTTCCAAACTTCACTGAACTCCTTTCACGAGCGCACGTGCCTATCTCTAACACGTGATGAATACATCAAACACACAATCTATAGTGTCAAGACCACAAATAAATTACATGCTCTAATGTATTTATTTATTTATTTATTTGTTTGATTGATTCGTTGATAATTCAAGTTTCGATTGACTAAATCGTACACCATAAGTGTTGAAATTTGAAAATAAAATGCTTTGGAAATGCATTATAGTCTGTTGTCTTTTTGTAGCAACATGAAACTATCAAATAAATTTAGTTTCATACATGGACTCTGCTGTATAGAGCTACTTAGGAAACCAGGTCCACCATATTAGATTCACGGTACTTGAATGTTAGGAATTGGCTCATCCACCCCGAAAAGCTATCTTCGAGGAAAATTGGCGATCTAAAGCGATTTTCCATTTTGGCTGCCACTTATCGCCATATGGAGTGGCACCATTTGGGATTCTTGAACCCCTCTCACCACCCCACCCTGCTCTTTACCTTTTCCACGCACACCCTAACCCTCTAGCTTTTATACAACAGTTTAAACAATCTGGCATCTAGGGGGATAAAAAAAAATAGGACATGTTCGGACTAATGTTGTTTGAAAATTTATCGTTTGGTTTAGCATACTTATACACATCCGGTTAATAAGGTTTGAAGTAATTAAAGGTGAAACAAACCACACAAGAATCTAATAGTGTGACTGTGCAACGTTATAACTTCCAGCCAGCGATGAAATTTCGCATTCGAAAACGATTTACCATTATGGACATTGTATTTGTTAGCGTAATAGGTGTTGCGTGTGGCATGTATACCTGGATACCTTACTTCGAAGAGAGAAAACACTTACTGGAAAAAGCCAAATTACAAAGTGGTGAAGAACACAATACGAATAATGTCAATGACACTGCTCATAAGGATCCGTAACAGATATCATTAACAAAAAAGGGACAGTACCCATATGTACAAGCCATCGTCTGCAAAGTGAAGATGTTTTCTTTGTCCAGAGGCAGTGGTAACTACTGATAGAACTCATTTTGTGTGTGAAACGGATTCATTTACATAAATCACAGTTGATTGTAGTTTTTATCCATTGCGTGACAAGATGACAGTATCTACATGATTTGTGCTCGGCACAAGATCTCACTCGTGAAGAGCTAACACAGTAATTGTAGTTGGGACATCAAACTGGGTTGGGCTGATCTATAGAAATGATGTAGGCCATAGTGTCCAAACCATGCCCCCATTCATCATACTTCCTCGGGGTTAATAAGACCATGTCAAAACTTGTATTTGTGATACGATGAGTGTAGGCCTACACATTTTTTGTGAGTTTCTCTTAAATGAAGCAGGTTTTTGATCTTTTCATGGTTCAAAAGTATGACTTTAGTTTAGAAACAAATCAATATGGAAGTGAAGGGTTAATATCATTATCCTGTAATGTTTTTTGTTCCATAAATAGTTAGCAATTGTGTGTCTTTCTTTTGTACCTTTAAAAAAAAAATATAGAATTTTATCTGTGGACTTGAACAATTTGTAGAGTAAATACTTCTTTGAACTTTGACTGTTTGACTAGAAATCAAACAGCGTATTTTGCACTGTAGAGTTGGTTTGTATGTCTCTTTTTTTCCTGTAACATAATATACTTGATATACCAGGACAAATTGATAAGTTTCAGGGCCTCTTGTACATATGTTTTTCATGTTGAAAAAAAAAAAAAAATAACAAATTGAACCGGTATTTATTCTTCATCAATACAGATCAATATGTTTAATAAATAATCCTAATCAATAACGCCATTATTCACTTTCTCACATTCATCTTGTACTCCAGATTTGTTGTCAAACATAAACAAAAATCCTATTAATCTGAAATAGATATTAAATCTTTATTAAGAGAGAACAAATTTCAGAAGATTCACCATACCTGTGTGGACTTTGTAAATTTGTTTACTTATCATAGAAGCAATAAATCAAATTTTCAGATAGGTGCACTTACTTCATTCGATATTTTGGATAGCTAATACTAATACTTATATCAATCAAAAGTAGAGGTGTTCTAATAATTGGGAAAAAAAACTAGTTTGTCTCAAAAGTAAAAAATCAACTCATAATCAGCTACTTTTGACAGATAACTATGATTTATCAAACATGAGAATGATTTGAACAAGAAAAATAAGCAAACCATCTTTAAGGGTGTTCATCAATTAACACTCACCTTGTTTTTCATCTTCATCAACTTTAAATTTTCTATTGTAAATGGGAACAAATCTTAGTACTGGTTGAAAATCTAAAAAATACAGGCCCATTAATCCTAAACAACTACCATAAATTCCAGCAGGTATCAGTCTGTAAAATAATACAAAGAAGAAATAAATACGTTCTTAGACAAATTGCATGAGTATATTGACTATATAGTAGAAAATTATATTTTGAATATTGGTGAAATGAGAGAAAAATTTCAATTCTATGCTCATTGTAGACCAAGAGTTGCCAAGGGATCTTTTTAAGTACACAGTAGGCTTATATAGGACCATTCAATAATTTGAAGGTATGTCTCGTCCTTGTCCTATGCAGGGAATGAACTCAAGACCTTCAGGTAAGTGAACAAGCATCCAACCTATTGAACCAGACCTGCAAGTTGACAGCAGGAAACTAAGCTCATAATAATCCAGTATGGGTATAACTACTAACTAACTAGGCCTCTCTAGTCTAAGGCTAGTACTATTTTAGGTGATCGAAACTATCATCCACCAAGGTCAAGTTTTATTCACCTCTACGCCGTATGTTAATTCAGTTATGTTATTATAAGAAAAACTTACGCGTAGGTGTGGGTGCCTAAAGCCGTTTTCGTTAATCTACCAAACATTATGAAAAGCGACGGAACTGCAAGTCAGCTCTAGGTTCAAGACGAAATAGGTTTGTAATGGCGAGTAACTTGGCCTACCGGAAGTAGTAAGAAAACCAACCGATAAATTTTGAAGGAATCGTAGTGTATTTAGTCCGAAACTAAATGACAATAGTAATAGTGCTCACAGCTCATCGTCGACATTTGAGCCTTCAAATCCATGTGTGTCCAGAATTATCTCGTCATTTCTCGAGACTCTGTCATAAAGATATTGGCCAATATAGAAAGTGAAATTCCTAGTTCTAAAGACTAGTTAGATATAATTATTTAAGACCCAACCCCCGAAAATGGCGAAATCTGTCCCTTTAATATTGTGTGGATAGTTTTGGAATATCAAAATGATTTCTGTGGTTTAATGTGTGTTATTCATACTATTCAAAGTTAAAATTTAAAACAGGCACATCATTATCACAGCTTCAAATTTGTTTTTGCAGAGAGAAATTTTCAACCAAATTTTGGGACATTTATGATGCAAAGTGCAAAGTATTGTTTCAATGTACTCCGTATAATTGTAACAATGTTTCAGAACAGAACACCTGCAAATGAAAGGTGTCTATGAATCACAAATTGTCCCCACCATGCTGGAATATGGCCTCGCCCATTGAATTCAATTATGCATTATCTTTTATCTTGGGCTTCATCACTTATTCATTTGGAAAGAAATGTAATTGACGGCATAAAAAACGCATTCACTTCCACAAGCAGCTATCCTGTGGAAGAAATACTTTTTATTTCATCTTCAACACTATCATCAGCAGGTGTATTTGTGGTGGAGACTGGCGTCTGTGGCTCGTTGGGATTGGTGATGAAATAGTAGTGGATGGGAGATGACATGCTGGAATGTGGGGCGCTGCAGTGCAGTAGGTGGGAGGGTGGGATATGAGAAACTTGGTCCATGAGCTATAATTGTGTTCTTTGTCGTCCGGCGTGTTTTTGTCTTGTGTTTTTTTTGTCGCTGGTTTTTTTGGGCCGTGGATGTCGGCTTTTGTGGTTTGTGAGCATGTTGTTCTGTTTTCTATAGTTGTTGTTTTGGATGTGTGGGTTGGTCGTTGCGGGGGTTGACGGGGGCGTGATGCACCAATGGTGGTTTTCTTATTTGTTTGATTTGATTTCATAGTTTCCTGTATATATTATACATTATTGAAATAGCCTTTTGTGTGGTAATTTACTTGATCCCAGCAACACAATCTGCCCATCTAATACAGGTACTTTTGTATTTTTAAACAAAATGTATATCGATATATTGTGTAGATTTTTTCTTATTCATTGTATTGAATGTTAGACAGGGTCATGTCACAGGGGCATGGACCTAATTTCTAAAACATGTAAAATGAAAAGTTTATTATTATATTATTATGTTTTGGTTTGCACAATTCATAACACTTGCACTCAACACATTATGCATCCAAATCTAAAAACAGAACATGTACTTTCTTATATCACACCAAAGTAAAATGATTTGTATTCCCTAGTTTCCTAATTGTTTCCTCATTAGCCCATGGAATCCAAGTCAATTTTTATAATAAAATCAACAACAGATGAAATCAAATTTTAATCATATACCGTAATAAAATTATCAAAATTTTACGGAATGTATAAATGATATTAGAATCAAATAAATAGAACTTGATATACAGCTTTTTAATATCAATTTTCTTTATTTCAATATCATTTAAATTTATATAAAACCAAATATCAATGTTTTAAAAATTCTTTTCGAGCTTCCATTCTTCAGTGGTAATCCATGTTACATGATTATTATTGTAACAGAGCTTTTAATTTGCCCTGACTTTCAAGTTGAGCAGTTTCATCGCCTCCACCAATACATTTACCATTGATAAATACTCTAGGAACCTACAAAATAAAACAAAATTATTCTTTCATTTGTCACAGGCAACTCACTTTCCTACCACAGTGATAGTGATAACAGAATCAAATTTTTTCAGCCATATCACTAATATTCAAAATAACATTTTCAATTGTTTGTCATATTTGTCTCTCTGATTTCAGGTAAAAGGATTGATAATTTACATTTGAATAAATAGGCTACACTTCTTGAAAACGATTGATGTTTTGGATAGGAAAAACATTTTTAAAACTGAAAAATTCATGATTAAAATGAATGCAAAAAAAACTTACAGAGCGAGCACCTGTCAATTTTGACATAAATTCTTGAATTTTATCACAATTCGGATCATTTTCAATATCTAAAACCATATAATCATCGGATGATAATATTCCAGTTTTCAAGTACTTTTCCTCAAATATTTTCTTGGCCTTAGTACAAAAAGGGCAATATGATTTCGAAATGATAAACACTTTCTTAGAACTAATATGGTCTTCAATCTTTTTCTGTATGTCTCCCATTTTGCGCTTTTAGTAGGTTTTTTCCCAAGTAAAAGATGCTTAACAACGTTTTGTTTATAACCCTCGCTTATTGATTCCTAAAATTAATATCTGGGCGTCCCCAAGATTTCCCTTCTTCCGGTTTGCAATATTGCTGTATTCGTTACATGTATTTAATGTCTTAATCAAAGAACTCTGGTCCTAATAGTTTAAAGGTATTCTGGAGTGTGCAGATAGTATCTTAAGGAACTTAATAAAGCCACCCATGCAGTTTAGATAACGATATTTGATTTCAGTGGAGTTTCCATTATCTCTGATTAGGCCAAGGCTTTACCGGACTTAACGAATGCATCATAATACATCATCACAGGATATTACCTACTCTTTTCATCAAAATAAACTTTATATCAGAATTCTAGATTTATATAGTTTTATTGATTTTTGAGCAGCTTCAAATATTGCAAACTAAATGTATTGCATTAACAATAATGCTTCTTTTCGTTTTTTTTTTATCCCCATCTGTCACTCCACATTTTGACTTTACACAGTGGAAAATGGTGTTCAATTGACTTCCGTATCTAGCTTCCAGCTAAAGATTTGACAATCTTACTGTCCAAAAGTTTTGAAATGGGAAAACTAACCAGATTTGAGATAAATATAGATGCCCCAAGTCCAGTGTTCTATGCCGGACAGATTGTTCAGGGTCGCGTCACTGTTGAACTCAGCGAACCTAAGAAGGTTAGAGGTAAGCTTGATCTCTGACGGCAGTGACTATTTACCACATTCAATAATTATTTTTCATTGACATGTTTCTGATATTGACCTTGACATTTTTTTTCTGAATGAAATGTATGAATTTCCAGAAGACAATTGGTGTCAGCAGATATATTTTCTATTAAAACTAGATTCCAAATCTTGATCCTTGCCCACGGTCTTGACCATGGTCTTGACCATGGTCTTGACCATTGTAGTCATCTGTCGGAGCCAGTAAAAAAGGTATGGACTAATGTACAAGTTTTGTGAATTGATTGACGTGAACAAGATTCTATAAACATAATGATGATAAACATTTTTTTTGCATGTGTCAGAATTTACTGGTTCTTAAAGGGACTGGTGCACCATATTGGGGGGTTGATATATACTTCAACCTAGGAATTTTACTCACTTTTCCCATATATGTCTTTTCTATCATAGAGTATCTTAACTCGACAAGTTGTTATTTTAACATTCAATCGCAGATAATTCTTGACACATGTGGATTTGAAGGCTCAAATTTCTAAGATGGGCTATAACTGATTATAGCTTAAAAAAATTCCTGTTTCTCAGACTAAAGTATGATTAGTGAAAAAATATCCTACCTGTCCCTTTAAAGTTTCTTTACCTTTTCTTGTTTTTTTAGGAATCCGCCTGTCGTTTTATGGCAGAGCATTTGTTCATTGGTCTGAAAGGGTTCACAGGGGATCTGGTAACAACAGGCGAACAGAAACTGTTCATTATAGGGCTGAGGAAGAATACTTCAATCAAGAAGTTCTACTATCTGGACAATGTGAGGCTGTTATTCTCTCCTATTTGTCTTTTATGAGATGAGCTTAGATCTGAAGGGATAAATTGACATGAGCTTGCAAAGCTTCGATTTCATATCTAAAATCCATCAAAATAAAGTCTTATAGCACTAAATCATTTGATACAGCTAAGAGCCATTAGAGAGAAAGACATTACTCTGTAATCTTTTTTTGTTTGATACATGCAAAAGTAAAAGTCTACGGCATTATATTAAAGAAAAGCCTGTGCTTACTATTGATCTGTGGTATTGTTAATTTACACTGTTGATTGTAAAATTGTTAAATTTTGTCTTTGTCACTACATGTATATGATTTTTCTTCAGGGCCCAAGATGGGAAACGATTCTGCCATGTTGCCTGCTGGTATAAATACCTACCCATTTCAATTTCAACTGCCTGGAAACCTACCATCTTCTTTTGAGGGTCAATATGGATATGTACGTTACTGGTTGAAGTCAACAATTGACCAGCCTTGGAAATTTGATCATACAACTAAAACAGCTTTTACTGTCATCTGTCTTCTAGATTTAAACAGAGAACCAACGGCATCTGTAAGTATCAAATCTTTTATAGCATAAGTAACTGGGAGACCAACAGCTTCAAGTCTTTTTGGCACGAACAGTATTTGCAACTATGACACAATCTTGTCAAAGGACAATTTAAAGATGTCTTTGTGTAGCCATGTGATGTATAATTCTATGCAATTTCCATAGCCAGTAGATAAATCTCAGCATGTATCACCAAGCTATAACTTTTGTTCATCTAATTGTTTACACAGTTTTAGCAAGCACTGTAAGCTTAAGATATATTTATGTGTAAATATTTCAGGAACCTAGACAAGGTCATGATGAGAAGACTCTATGTTGTTGGTGTTGTAAATCTGGACCAATATCTGCTGTATTTAGAATAGACAGAGGTGGTTATGTTCCAGGGGAAGCAATCACCTTAAATGTTGAAATCAACAACTCATCTAATCGAAAGGTCAATGGTTCATCTGTCAATTTTAAAATGGTATGTTATTAAAGTGAATGTCTTAATATTTGACATGTGTTTATTGAAGCTTGATATACAAAGAACATGTAAAGAAGAATATCTGAAGAATCTATAAAAGCTTGAACATCATAACACTTGCTACTGTACATCTCCTGATCTTATGGCTACAAATAGATCATCAAAATCTATCCCTTGACAATGGTGACAGATGTTGACTCATTGAAAATTGAGAAATGATACATTCTTTATTTCAATACTGAATTGCATGTTCAGAAAAACATTTTGAGGATTTTGACCCTTGATATTAAAATCAAAATTGACAGTCATATGACTGAATACAAAGAATGGTATCAGGTATCGCAAGGGCTCAATTCCAAATATCATTTTGTAGCCCTTAATATCTGAAGATAAGAGCTATTCTGAAGTTACTTTTGGTATCAATTATTTTTAGGTAACAAAATACCATGCCAGATGTAAAACAAAGACTCAGAGTAGAAGTTTAGCAAAGATTAAACATGGAGAATTTAAACAAGGTGAAAATGATATTTGGAGTGGTGAACGACTAATTATACCTCCTGTTCCTCCCTCCTTTCTCACTGGTTGTCGTATTATAGATATACATTATTATCTGGAGGTAAGTATATTTAAAACAGACAAACATGTTCAATAAGATTGCTTACTTTACTTTGCTTTAACACCTGAAATTCTATGCGGCAAAGTTCACCCACAGTTCCAAAGCTAAATATTTTAAAAGGATTTTATCAGCACCATATGGTTTTCGTCAATTGATTTTCAGATATTTTTAGGTATGTAACACAAAGAGCTGAAATCTATTTGAAATTCTGCTTCAGTCTAGTGTGAATGTGAATATGCTTGGAAATGAAATGCCAAAAAATATTATTAAAATCTGACTCTTCTGTTATTTTGTAGTTGAAGGTAGATCCTTCTGGACCAGCGTTTGATCTGTGTATACCTTTTGAAATCATTATTGGTACAATACCACTACAACATATTGTGCAGCAGTTTCCTCCAATACCTCCTCCTCAAACCTACCCTCCTGTACCTGCTTATGGTGGGGCAACACCTTCAGATCCTGTAAATCCAGCTCCTATAGGACGTAAGTTACTTATCATAATATATCATTGCTGTATAGTGGACTTTTAAAAATTTGTTCAGGGGAAAAGTGATGATAAGAGGTTTAAACATACTATCTTCTGTTTTATGAGAATTTTTCACTCAGAATGTTGTTGTTTCTGAAGAATAAAACTATTTGAATTGGAGGTCATGTAATAAGCAGCATATAGAGCAATTTTTCTAAATTTGGTGCTTTAACACAGAGTGTTGGACCATGGCTGTAAGATAAAATACAGCATATGTACATATTTGTTTTGTTTAGCACCACCATCCTATGCTGATTGTGTTTTTGGTAAAGTTAATATCAAGGAACAGAATGATGATGACTACACCAAAGGAAATATGGACTTTGCACCTCAATATACCTACTACAACTGGGGACACACACCATCTGCCCCTCCCCCTCCAGAAGAAGAAGTAGAGTAAACAGTGCCTTTTTGATTGTGAAATACGTGATAGTTCATATTTATTAGAACTCCTTGGGGCCAAATTCATAAAAAATGCACCTTTTCTCAGTCTTTTTTAATTAATGGTAATTGAAAAAGCTTTTATTTCCTAACAAAGTTGTTCGGAAATAAATCCTCTCTTATTTGCATATTAAAATATATGTTTAGACTTTTGCAGTTTCCATGAATTTTAACTGTATTGTTCACATTTTATAAAAAAGAATATAATCTCATTTTTAAATTTAAGAAAATGTTTATTTTATAAATTTGGCACTATATTTGTTACTTGTTTTATAATAGATTGTTATTAACTATTGTTTGCAATACCTTTAATTAATCTTTAATAGGGCTGTGTTCATTAAGAGACCCTAAAACATACTAATTACATAACACGATGTACATTATATATATTTTTTCATTTTTTTATGTCGGTTTTTAACTTATGTACACTATGTGGATTTATATTCTATTCTACAAGATTGGTATTACTATATATGATATTTCATGGGTAGCACCGTCAAGTTATTTAATTTTTTTTTATCGGTTGGATAACCCACAAAGATTGAGCAACACAATACATACTATTTTATTCAGCCTTCAGTTATTATAATTGTAAATGGTATGACATTATATTAATAAGTGAAAATTTATCATTGAAAACATACATTTTTTGAAAATTTGGCAGCTTGCTACATTTCTGTTATGCAATCTTAAATGTTTTCTGGATCTGTTGTTAGTAAACAAATAAAGTTCCACTCTATGCTTGAAGCAGAGGAATTAGCACCAATGAAAATATTTTTTGGATTGAATTTAAATTCAATTGTCCTGGTGCCAAAATAAATTTGAATCTCAAAAAGATTTAACTTCTTATTAGTATAATTTTAGCTTGAGCTTAGTTATTCTATTATTAGATTGAGTTGTTTCTATGTGAATATGCCTTTTCCAAAATTGAATAGCAGAAGTCTACTAATGCCAACAAAATTGATGAGGTAGACATGAGATGATGCCAATAGCTATCTTTTTATTCAGCATCAAATATCATCTTAACCAGGTTCTATATATTATGTGAAATTATATATTCTTATACAGGAAATTGGTTAAATATATATTGAGCTATACCAATATATTATACCTATATATTACACTTATACCTATACCTACATTATTAGTAATAAGTCTGAGGCTCCAGTGAAAAAAATTCTTTCACATTTTGCCTTATTCTGAATTGTATTGATTATTTTTAAATTTATAAGTAAATCTTTGGATGTAGTTTTAGACTATTGAGCCATTATTTCTTTATGTTAATGAATCTAATCTGCTATCACATAATTTGATTTAAGGAGTTATTGTTCTTGAATCTTGATTATGAGCCCACCCCATAAAAAATTCTATTAGGCTTCCTTTATTCTAGTGCCATAATTTTTAATTTGATACATGTATATATTTGAACATTGAATTTTTTGCTCATATTGAAATGTAGTACCATTTGTATTGTTAGTGAAAATTGTTTTGCTTCAGAACATACAATTTGTTCTGTAAATCATTTTAATTTTTGATATTTTTTGCTTCCAATTAACCACAAATCATTTTTTAGATGTTATATATTATTTAATTATACATATATTAACTTGATCTACATGTTTAGTTTGTTGTTATTTTTGTTTAGTTTATTTATACTTTATACATTATATACTTGTCATAGATAGTATTCACTTTTTTGTTATTTCTGTGATGCAATTTAAAGTCACAATTTTTTTTGGTTTTTTTTTCTCAACCAAAGATCTGCTTTTATTTCAATGCTAGATATTTCATATTATTTTGTAGGCACTTGAAGCATTAAGTGATTTGGTTAAAATATGACCAAAATATCATGCTTCAAGTGCATTTGTTTTTTCAATGTGAAGTTACATTTTTTATACGCCCACACGTAAGATGGGCATATATTGTAATCACCCCGTCGGTCCGTCCGTCCATCCATCCGTTCACATTTGGCTCGTGCTCACTCTACAGGCTACAGTTCTTTATGGATTCTTTTGATTTTTATTTTGTATGTCAATGTCATTATGAAGATGATCCCTATTGATTTTCGTGATGATCGGATAATTTTTCACAGAAATATCGTGTCTGACTTGACGTTTTTCTCTATTAGCTATATTGTGCAACTCGTGCTCACTCTACAGGCTACAATTTTTTACAGATTCTTTTGATTTTTATTTTGTATGTCAATGTCATTATGAAGATGATCCCTATTGATTTTCGTGATGATCGGATAATTTTTCACCGAAATATCGTGTCTGACTTGACGTTTCACTCTATTAGCTATATTGTGCAACCCTGTAGTCACTAAAGACTGTTTAATCATTTCTGACAGCTGCCAGTCGGCGTATGTTACCTTGCCTGGCAAGCTATCTTTTTTTCAATGTGAAGTTACATTTGTTTTTTCATAATGTGTGTAGAGAAGGTTATGCTTTTTTTTATGCGTTATTTGGTCGTTAGTTTTTCTAAAAAAAAAAAAAATGGCATTTCAAAAAATTTCAATATTAACTTTATGTCCATTTCTCCAAAATATCCACTTTAAATTGGCACATAAGAAATTTGAACACAATTTATTGTTTCTGATACCTGTTATTCAACCCTAAAGTTTGATAATGCCCTCAATGTACTTTTTACAGGTTAATTAATCAACATTGAAATATTTAATTAATCAGTTATATAAATGTTTTAATTTGTACCGTGTCCCTCTGTTTTCTATATCAAACAATCCTAATAAATTTACAAATATAACCATTTATATCTGAACTATTCTCAATATGATAAATTAATAAGAAATAATTTTGTATGAAGGGTCTTAGATCGAAATATATTGATCAATAATTCCAAAGCTTTTGATTCTTTTGCTTAATATATAAAGTTAGCTATATATTCTCTTCTCCAGCTCATAGATCTCAGATTCTTCTATCCATGTCACTTGATAGAATGATTATCTGATGTCCTGTTCGTCAACAATCAAATAATAGAGGTACCGGCAGATAACACCTACATTGTATATGTGGTGAAGTAAAGGCACAACAGGATATCACTAGACAATAATGAGTAATTCTGGGGTTTTTTTTTTATCTAACAAGCAAATCATGATGTGAAGGAGGTAGCTATATTATGAGTTCTTTCTAGGATACATCTTTTATTGGCTTCCACTTCAATAAACACATGGTTGGTTATCCACGTTTAGCTGCATGTTTTAAACAGGTTAAACAACACATTTTCTGGAAATACTCTCTGTTACAGAATCTAAATTTTAAAACTAACGGGCAGTATGCAACTTTGTATTTATCAACACATTCTGAAAATATAACAATATTTCTTTTGAATGCAAAAACCTAAACTGTAGAGAAACTCTGAATATTAATATTTCTTAGATATTTGCGTAGCATAATTTGTGCAATGATTCCTGCTCTGGTTTCTAAAAACAATCTTTAGAACAAATGGCATCCAGAAACACAGCCGAGAACAAATATTAAGGAAGACACGATGAATAACATGAGTAAAAGTTCCATTAACTATACGTTATTGTTAAAAACCTACCTTCATTCTCTGCCTTTTTGTCACATTTCCTCTCACAGGTACGAACTGTTACGGGTTTTAATCGTCTGTCACAATTCTTACTCACATCACCATTTGATGCGTGACATTGGACATTTCTCCTCTGATGACCTCTTCCACATTCTGCAGAACACTGGAATAATTGATAGTATTATATCATAACCAGAGATCTGCCCCAACTGTAAATGATTCCAGATTATCTGGTCACGCTTTCAGAAGAACATCGACTTCTTGTTAGCGAGAAAGTTTTGCCATACACAAACGATCATTTTGGTGGGCAAATATTGGATGTGTAACTACATAATTATAATTACCCACGAGAACGTTATTGTGCTAGCGTGCTAAAAATAATGCCATTTTGAAATGTTTGCTTACGACCACCGATCGTAACAATGTTTAGCAATTTATGTTAGCTATAAGACTCCTACCTTTCCCCATTCACCCTTTACCCACTTTGGAGGTGAACAATCTTTATTAATACAAATCTTTCTGGTAATTGGTTTATTTTTGACGCCACATTTATTTTCTTTCAGGTATGTTTTACCATCACTGGTCATACAGAAAGCTCTTCTCTTCTTCTCTCCAACCCCACAACTTGGACTACACTAAAAGAACATGGCAGTGGAATGAAAAACTTGGATTTTCAAGGCAAGCTTAGTTATATATTTTATAAGATGCATAACACTTAGCATAATACATCACGTTGGGCTTATTATCCCAAGACCGTAGTCTGTTTTGGAACATTGGTGCGGACGCTCTTTTCCTAGCTTCACAGAAGTAAAATTATATTTTGAAATACCAAAAAGCTCTTACCACAGACCATTCATCTGTAAACCAGACTGACGGACATTCCACTTTACCGCAAGTTCTTTCAACTGATGGTTTTTCTTCAAGACATTTAGAATCATCAACCACTTCTTTAGGTTCTCCATCTCCGACTGTACTGTCACATACAACAGTTCTAGTCTGTATACCACCACCACAGGATTGACTGCAATCACCCCAACCGCTGAACGTCCATCTGTTTAATGGAAAACATTGATATAAGCTCGTTTTTTTTGTCTGTGCCTGAAAAAGTCCGATTTCAACTGTCCGTAACGCTTTTAAGAATTACAATCCAGCGTTCTGCAATTACTTTACCCTTACATTCCATAAGCCGATGGCGTCAAGATATCGACACTATCAGTAATAACGCTCAGACAAAGCTCGCGTTTTCTGAAAATAATAAATCTATCTGTGATGAACCACTGGCCACTTTTTCAGTCAATATCAAAATGCGTTCTTACTTACGAGGGAGGGCATGGTTGGGGATTACAAACTTTTCTATGATCACTGGGTCGTGGTTGAGGACGGCAATACTTATCAGGGACTATATTAGAATTGCTTTTGTGAACACATTGTGGTTTTGATATGTGTAAACCTGAAAAGATAAGGATATTACATTTGAGTACATGGATGACTCTCTTTGTTTTCGGTCGATTAAAGGGACTGTAAAGAGGTTTTCTAAATTTTCTTTGTCGCAGACTGTTATTTGCATTGCTAGCATTTATCATGTCTGTGAGATGAATTTTGAAAGTTTACTACTTACCCTTGGCACATGTTTTGGAACATTTGGACCAAGGTGAATGATCCCAGGTATATAATGATATATCATGATTTGTGTGGGTTTTATTGAATGCTAAATTATATTCATATTTCACTCCTTTATTTTCTTCTTGAAGTAACATCTGTAAATAATAAAGGTGAGTGAGAAAACGTGATTTTCATCATAAAATACCTCGAAACAAAATTTGTATATAATTATAGCAATTTTGTTCCTCCTTTATCTAGCGAGAATAACGAATCTATATATTATCCTTGAAGTGGTAGAAGACCGAATCGGCAATTATATTAACTGTAGTCGTTCCTACGGTTTCCGAACCCCCAAATACCTGATACTGAATGTTGGTGAAAACTCATTCTTACCATTACAACTAGCGCTTCTCTTGTGGGACCAACAGCTTCTAATAACTCGGGTTGACTGTCTTGCCTTTCATAATGAAATACGGTTCCAGCTAACTGGAATTTTCGAGGCCAGTCAATAGTCCAATCTCCATTTATATAGTATCTTTCTCCTTCATTCTTCAATGCTACAATATACACATGAATAAGTGCCTGGTGTATTTGGACAATGAAAGGCTTTTTCCAAAATAAATTTCTTGCATAATAATATATTGGTCTTCATGATAACTGCTTATATCTCAAATGCAGTGAACGTTCAAAACGGACTTACCGAGGTAGTTTTGTGAGAACGTGGCTTCTTCTATTTTTACATTCATTGCACCAATTGGAATTTTCACTATTTCATGGTATGCTGAAATATAAATTATGTGATAAGTGGAATTCAAAGATGGTTTTACCAGTTTTTATTTTGAATTGGACATTGAATATGGATATCTGATAACCTTTAAGTCGTCCTTCAAAGTTCAGCAAAGCAGACAAGCATCGTAGTGGATCATGCCGAGTTTCTGTTCCTTGGAAATAAAAATGATTGTAGCCTACTTACACCCTTTTGGTAATGGTTTAGTAAATAATCCTGATATAGTTTTACATGTTGTACCATCACCACCACAAACACGACATTTATCTTCCCTTAAGGTTGATCCTAAATATCCATCACATCCCACTTTCTATTGAGATAAACATAAAATAGTATAAGCTTATAGTTTCAAAGGTTATTTTAAAAGTAGTAAAAAAAAAGTCGTGGACGAGAATTTGAAAGATGAATAAAATGGAATAAACGTATGATCACTTTCTCCAAAAAGGTATAACAAACTTACGTGGCAGTCTCCACTGATACAAACATCTAATTTATCCGGATAACATTTTGTACCATCTAAGACTTTGGGATTTCTCTCAGTGTAAAAATTGTAACCTTCGGCCATACAAATTAGGGCACAAGGCTTCACCTGTACTGCAAAAAATAAATTGGGCTTTAATAAGATTACACTGTTGTAATGCAATCATTACATTAATTGAGGGAAACATAAACATTTGTAAGTTTACATTCAATATTGACACATCATCACTACCATAATTTGCAATATGTGTACCCATAATACAATGGTGATCTAGTGTTCACAAAATATCACATTAGGTCCTAAAATATTACTTATCTGAAACTTTTATTTAATCTTGCATTTGAATCTGTAATACAATTACACTTATTTCGTTTCATCCAAACGTCAGTTGTTGTGAAATATTTTCCATATCTGACCTAAACTTTGTCTTTTGGCAACTACTTTGATGTTCGATTAACGCTGTATTTGAAGATAACGGCATAATTTTTATGATGTTATTCCGTATTATTACCTCCTGTATAGGGTTTCCATGTATAATGTCTTCCTCTAAACGTCTCATTGTCTGAATTATGACACTGCACCACTCGAAAATCAACTGAATCTTGGGGACATGGCTGAAATTGATATAAGCCTGGATAATTTACTGAAACTAACAACGCAACCAAAACATAGGCTGAAATATTACTTTTCGATTGATCTTTAATGATATTTAACCCTAATATCTTAGCTGCATTGCCCTTAAGAGTTTCAAGAAACCGGTCGGACCGTACAGACCAGATCAAGGGTGTCCTCAAGGAAAGTTCTTCTTCCATTATTGTTTCGGTATTTAAATGTCATCAAGTGACACAATTTATTATATATAATTATATAAGATATGTACCTTTATTTGACATGATCGATATCTCTTCCTCTCACCAGTACAATATTTACCACCATGACGAGCTCTGAAATATTCAGATATTTACAATTCTTTACTCCATACAATATTAACAGTAGTCTAACATTTGGCACAAAAAGCGATTTTAATGTAAGTTTAGGGTTTATACCTATATAGTGCAGTATGGAGTTGCAAAAAAAAGTTACTATACTCACGGTGGATTACTACAGTTCCTGTGACTAGCTGACACTCCACCACCACAAGTTCTAGAACAACCTCCCCATTCAGACCAACCACCCCAATTACCATCCACTGGTTTTGGTGTGAAATATTTGGATCTACATGTTCCTCGATAACACCACTAAAATATACCGAATATGGCATCAGGAAACATTACGTCAATTATATCAGTAATTTCAAAGCACAAATTTCAGACCAAAAGAAAAATATTCATGGAATAGCACAATCAAAACCTACTTCAAAATCCTTTTCAGATCAATTTGCTTGAAATCTTACACGTTTAAAATGTCGGAAGACCATTTCATTCAATTGAGAGAAACCGGTTTTAATATCAAGATCCGAAATTGTGATCTGATAATGTAAAATTTGAAGACAGGTTGTGTAGATTGATTGTCACCTGGAAATGTGGATTAATGAGTCCAAGTATAACTGATATGTAAATCTGTGTTCCTAACAAGTGAAAGCCTTGTGAAACATCACATCAATAAAAAATCTCAAACGTCTTCAACTGCTTATACATACCCCGTTCTTTCTGCTTGTAAGAGGACATTGGGTTCCTTCAGCTGCCGGTATACTGTTAGTTACACATTCTCTTTTCTTATCGATACACGACAACTCAGCGCAAACATTCTACAAATGCAAAAATTGTACAGGTATATGTATTACAGGTAAATCGTTTGCTGATGCGACTCTTATCCGTTTACTATTTCATGCTGTATGTTTATTGCCATTTTAAGTTCTTGTAGTATTTTCATCAGAGTCCTTTGAGTGACAAATGGGGTCACTTACTTTCATGTTACAAGCCCTCGAACTTTCCCCAAACTGAAGTTTACATTGTTCATTAGCACCATGTCGTTCACCAGCCAGCTGATCTGGGAAATCAAATTCTCTCTGTGGTGGAGTATTTTTAAGACAATGTCCTCTACCAGAGCTGCAAAGAGAACGATATTCCACATATAATTTCAGCTTTAGTTTTTCTCATAATAAAAACGACACTTCATTGTGTCATAATCGCACCGAAGTTCACGGGGCATAATCCAATTCCTAGTCCTGGTTTCCCGTAGACACTTTAATAGAACATCACTTTTATACTTACTCTAGGAAGCTGGTGATGTATTCCTTGCTGCAGCTTGACCATAGAAACGGCTTAGTGTCTTTAGTAAGTTGAGCAGCCATTATTCGTGCACTTTCGTGTCCAGGGGTACCACAAGGATTACCTGCTCCATCATGATGCATTCCAAAACTATGAAAATTAAATACATTATTAGCATTATCAACTCTGTGGTAAATACAGCATTGAATGCCAAAGATTAGTCAGTTTCAAAATATTTTGCGAACTTGACGACAGACAATAACATTGAATTCAAAAATTTAAAAACGTACTTGTGACCAATTTCATGAGCTATTGTAAAGGCCGAGGCCAATCCAATATCTTCATTGATGCTACAACTTCTATCTTCTTCACACATTCCTGCTACTGGTGCTAATCCTAGAAATACATAAACAATTTGTTAAACTTTATGTTTGGAAAGCGACTTCAAAATGTTCTGTTTTTGGGCCATTGGGTAGTCTTTATGAAGTTATCAATAGGAACTGTTATCGAAAAAATAATGTTAAAATATAATTCTTACCAAGTGTTCCACATGGTTTATTTTTATAAGTACATATATCAAATCTACAAAAAATGGAAATAATTCAATAAAACAGGAACAAAATATACAAATATAAATAGAAGTCTTTTGCTTTGTGTTATGAATAGTTTACGCTCAATTTTTTTCAACATTATACCATTATAAAATGACTATTTAATTGTGAATTAGCATGTTTACCTGGTTATTAATATAGCATTATCATGGTGTGCTATTCCATTACTATCAACACCGTCTTTATCATCTGGTCCATTGATAGTCTGCTGCCATTTACAAAAACTATCTAACGATCTATCAGCATGATGACTTATTTCTAATCCAGACTTAAAGAAAACATAAATGAAGTACAATTTTTTTTATGCATTCTTTTGATTATTAGAAAGCACGATCATTATCATTAGAAAGGGGTGCAAATCATCAAAACAATTCACCTCAGCTTAGTTGTTCCAGTGCCCTTCATCCTTGTATAGCTTCAATTTTTGGTGAGGATCTCAAATTTAAAGACGATATGGTTCAGGCTGAATAGTGATTCCATTACGTCAGTGCTTCAAATGCACGTGAATCCTTGCTATCGATAAACATTAAAGGGAATATACCGTACCTGATCTTCTGAGAGTAAAACTAGTCTTGTTATTATGATATTGATGGAATTTCCTATACTTGGATCGTGGAATAATTTAGCAACCTGACCTCAAAATATACAGAATATATTTCTATAATGATTATTTTGTGGTATAAATTTTCATAATCTAACAAACGTTGCCATACATCTTTAAGTAAAATATATACCACGGTTCTTTACGAGTTAACACATTTAAACGAACAAATCCGAGGAAGAGCTTCAGCCATGCAATAAAAAATGAACTGGTTGTAGCATACCTAAGCTCCACCTACTCCTATAAGATTCTATTTGGCTTTCATGTTAAGTTATCCAAGTATTGTACAACAACAAATTGCTGATAAACGGCCATGCTTTTCCTCGAACACACATTTTAAGCAAATTATGTCTTTAAAAACATCAAAGGAAAAAGCAATTTATGTTACAAGCGATGATAATGAACTGGTTAAGATGTTATAAAAAGGAAAGGATATTAGAAGTTAAAGATAATTTGGTTTATATAAATAAACTATCGTTGTGAATAATGGGTGAATGGTAAATTGTTCTTACAATGTTCATTACTGTTAAAACATATGGTGCTATTTCTTTCTTTTTATGATAATCAACCATTCTTTTATCTGCTACAACCAACATTTCCACATTCCTGTTTCTACTCACAGACCTTGGTTTTCTTCTTTTCTTTTTACTCTTATCTTTATAGGTATAGTGATAACGTTTATTGTTTCTTGGTTTCAATACTTCATTAAATATACGAGGTCCTTTATTTTTGAGACGTTGCCATTTTTTAAACTTGTAATCTGAAATTAGATTCATTCAATTGTTATTTTATTCTTATCGTCATAAGATTTGTGAGCTCGCCATGAAAAGCCCATCAGTGCTATGCAACAATTTCAGCTTTAAGGAAACGGCAGAGAGCTGTCAAATGCATCGAATAACTGGATCTGAAAAAATTGACTTTAAAAGGACTCTCTAAATTTACTTTTTGAGTTGGTTAGTTGTAATTTTTCTCCCCAAAACGTCAAAATAGTGCGTACCTTTAACACCACAGTGAAGGAATCTATCTTTAAGTTTTAAAGACGATCTAGAATAGACGATGTGAGGGTAACCTTCATCTTCTACTTTATTAGTAGTATTCCATAGTGGTTCAACAAAATAATCTTCTTCTTCAGTACTAAAAACACCATGCTGTAAATAGAGGTCCCCCTTTAACTGACTGAGAATTATTCTAATCTTTAATTTTCATTGAGAACATTTCGTTTCATCCAGATAAAACTTCATATACTTTCGTGGAAGCCATAGTACGGGTTTCGGGCTATAAGTGATAATTATTTATGTTATATAACTTATCATCTACGTAAATGGTTTATGAAATATAGTACCACAGGCATTAGACTGTAACGAATTGGATTTCTGAATTAAATCTGGTGTTTACTTATCACGTCTGATTGAAATTAGCAGAAATCAGATGTTGGTGAGCAGACAAACTTAAACAGCTGATAGATTTATAACTTTCATCTCGAAATGGTCCGAATCGTTCACCTGGCATTTGATGTCGATATAATCATATATACACTTGAGAGAGAAATTAGACGATTTGTTCGGACTATATTCGTTACATGATTTATCGATAAGAACAAGTGTTAACTGCGAACTCATATTCCAATATTGATATTCATACTCTATTTTATCTTTTGTAATTTTCATTTTGGCACATATCACACTCTGAGAACTTTGCATTCGTCATATATTGAATATTTGCTTTCTAAACGTTTCCAATGAAAAATAAAATCGTAGAGATATTGTCCTATTTGGGTTTTCTTAATAGGGTTTTACATTTTACCAAAAATACTTATGGAAACGGTCAAAGCGACACAAATATTTTAGATTATGAAACGTTAGTTAAAGTGAATACGTACCAAACCCATACAATTACTAATAGCAGCTCTAGATTTATAAGGACCGGAACTATATCCAACATAATAACAATCGTGGATGTTGGGCATTTTTTCTACGCCCTTTTTACTCCAATTTTCTACCACAAAATTCTTAGATAACAACTGAGTATTCAAAGTCAGGTTAAAATTGAATTCTTTTCCATATGCCGATAATTTGTAAAAAACCCTCGATTTGCTTGAATTACCATCGACATTGTTGGAATACACTGCGCTTCTCCGACTTCTCGATCGTATAACATTGTCCTGTCCCACATTATAGCTGACAAAGTGACCCTCTTCATCAACTAAGGTTGGTATAACAGTCTGATAATCAGTAAGCTGATTCAATAGATCATCTGAAAACAGTAAAGACTGAAAACCATAATCTATACACGAGAAAATGCACAAAGTTTTGGTAAAAGTACAAATCGTGCTGAAACTTTTGATGTTTCATAGACTGGTCGGAGAATAGAGTCCAAAAACAACCAAAAAAACAGCCAACCAACTTAGAATAAATTTATGTAGATTTATAGAAATCTCGGGATTATGCAAATTGATTTATGAAAGATCAAGAAATCGCTTGAGATAGAGAGACCCAGTCCAAAATCGATATAACAGTAATGGTGCTTGAAAGGCACCAGTATCTGTAACAAATTAAACTGGTTTCTTACCTGTAAGTTTTTGGTGAAAGTTTTCTTCATGTTGTCCTTGAACTAATGGTGATATTCCCATTAATTTTATCATTAAAAATAGAAGAAAGTAAATAGAGGTCATAATATCCTTTAAGATAAAAATGAAGAATTTCTGGAAGCGTAGTTTTTTTTTTCAAATCAGTCTATTGTCCTGTAACGATAACCACATACCATAATGTTCCTTGTCTTCAACCATTCCAAATTACAGACACAGCTCTCAATATCTCTCTACTCTTCCCAGTCTTATCAACGTTAACGTCATACTGCCAATACTAGGTTCCAACAGGTTGTTACCTACCACGTGTTTTGGTCGTCTTCAGGCACCTGTCTAGCTTTCTCTCTGATCTATATCGGTGAAGTCCTATATACTCTTGTATTCCAATTTCTCCGTTATGAAAGGTGATGAGAAGATAGCAATATGGTAATCAAATTCATTAATTATCTAATTTAATTATCTTAAACACATGTAGCAGAGCGTAAGTCTTGAGAACCAAATATTGGCCCAATATCTAGACGTTTCTACTAATTGTCTGTCTTCCTGCAGATAAAACTCGAAGAGTGCACTAACTCAGCAAATAAACAGAAGATAGACATATTAGAATATCGACACGTCTGCCCTCCAGCAATTTTTCTTGTTAAAACACAACAGGTATTGCACCTAATAACATTTAGCCAAGATATCTGATATTTAACTTTAACCAATTTACAATCAGATGTTATTCAATTTTTCATGTTATCTACCTGTTTCAAGTACAATACATCAAGGTGTTTTATTAACAGTTCCCAGACATTGTTTGTTTGACTGATATCTATATACCTGAAACTTGAAATATGCCTTCGTTCTCGCTTTTATAAACCCGTTTCACTATTTCATAAAGTTTTTTTGGTCAATCATTAAAATTGTAGTAAGCCGGTGATTCTAGATCAGAATAAGCGCTTAGAGTAATTGTTTTTATATAACGCGCTTTATAAATATTATATTTATTGTATTTATTATAATAAAAACGTGTGGTTTTCTTGTATAGAATTTGTCGAGCGAGCGATTTACGGAGTTGTAGGTTTGTAGTAATACATTTGGAACTATTCCAGCTTATGTGGTCATATTAAACGCAAGTTTGCTTTATCAAGATATCTTTCTTTAAACGAATTTCTTTACGATTGAGAATAATTTTAACCCCTTAAAGTCATAGCGATCCGAATGCGAAAGCTTGTGCTAGTCGGATTTTGAATCCAGAAAGTTATCCCGTGAAAGCTTCTATAAGCTATTTGAGTGAATGAAGAACCGGTTTCCATCAGCGCCAATGTACTACTGTAAAATTATTTCTCTCGGAAGAGCTTTGCAAATCCAAAGTACTTTGATACGATATATATCCTTTTCTACGATCCCAATATCAGGTGTTTTATGGCTGGAGGCACTCTATCTGATGCCAATCTGACTAGACGGTTTACTATTAAAAGCTTGTGGTCAAATGATAACCTAGTGAAACTACTATAGTAATAATAAACAATAGTGGTACTGGGTGAAACAATAATTCGTTTCAGCTTGATGGGGCTTATCTAGTGTGAAATTGGAGCTACATCAACCAATTTACAAATCTTACGGGTTAAAAAACGAAACCAAAATACTCTGAAAATTTGTTCAACCTTGCAAAAATCAGTTTTATTTGTATCATCACTGGTAATAGTACAAATGATGCCCTCTCACTTATAGTGGTTTAAATCGCTATGGTTGTGAGGGCTTAATTAGTTTCTATGGACACTGTAGAAGTGAAAACATGCTTACCATACCAGATGAAGTTGCACAGATATCAAGTTCTATGGAATGTTCACGCAAATATTACTTTGAAATAAAAATTCCTCTTTTCAATTTTTAAAGAAATAGTCTCATCGTTGGGTAATTGGATCCTTTCATTAATTATGTGACGATTAAGAGAAAGGAAATTGATAAAACTGTCGAATAAAAATGTTGTCATAAGTGGAATTTTATCAGGAAGACTATAGGGGTGAGACAAGGTTAGGTTTTATCTTCTTTCTTATTTCTAAACTGTACACTTTACATGACGTATATTTCTCATCAGATCGACCTAAGTTTGTTAATATCAAGCAGACACGTTCAGTAAAGCTTAATGTAGGCTGCAGATTACACCTGAATGGAGCCAACTTAGCCGATGTAATTCCACAATTACATACAATACCTTACTATATGACAGAACTTAAGTGTGTCTTGTGATCTAAAATCAACAATGAAAAAGTAGCACTAAAAACCCTTCAATTGAAAGAGTTAATAAATTATTTAATCGTATCCATCACATCTTGCATATTTAGACTATGAAGGTGTATTAACGGTTTTACCTTTATCATCACATTTGTTTCTCATTTTCCTCTGACGAGAAACGTTTCAATAATTTCCCATTTCTAACGATGATTAACTTTTCTCATGTATTGCAAGGACGAATATGTTCAGATTATGTTGGATAGTCCGAAATACGGTTGCATCTTTAGATTTGTTAACAGAATCGAAACAGGTTCTACGGGAGAGTCGGGACCAGAGAAAGAATTCTACTGGCACTGTCATTACAATTGTAATAAAATTACAGGGTAATTTTAAATTTGATTCTGTTGGTGGTAATTCTAAACAAGTTGATAATAGTGGTAATTCTGAACAAGTTGGTATTAAATGTTATTTTTATCCTTGTTTGATCCGGTTCAGCTTTCGTTTAGCATTCTACGACCCTCGGGATTTCGATAGTCTTTCCATCAGCTGTCCTCCTCTCCCAACTCTAAGTAAGTTTACCGCCTATTTGTATCCCTATAGTTCCAAAAGGCGGTCGCCGCTTCTGGATCACGGTGGTAATAGAAGTGATTTTGATCAGTGTGGACGTATTGTTCAGATGGTGTCAGATATTTCTCTTTTATTGCTTTACCTTCAATTGCCTAGTACTGTTCTTCTGTCTAAATTTGTGTAAATAGCTAAACCTTCAGTACACTCACTATATTTTAGATAAACGTTTTGCAATTTAAACAGGGAAAGATTCGGATTAAAGGTAGACACAGGTAGGTATGATGAAACAGATATACGATGAAGGTTAGATATTGGAAGTGTCGAGGGGTTTAATAACTATTTGATGTATGCGAAATAAAATATGCACCATATGTTGCTGGGGGTAAAAAATAGATACGTGTATTGCGGTTTAATTTATTTATATGCTCCACTTTATTTATATTTCCTACCAATTTGTCTAGATATCGTCTAGACTTGATGAAATTGCCAGGCTTTTACAACGTTCGTGACGAACTTGTAACTCTCAGGCCTAAATAAAAATCTTTGATGCAGTTTCAGAACATAAGCCGTGTTTATTTAAGTGTTCGTTGCAGTTCTAGGTTAAGGTTATTTTTCCAGACATTATAGAGGTCATTAAGTTCATATCATCTGCTCTATCGTGGTTTTAGTCTAGAATTTTCATATACAGAGAATTCATATTCTTTGCTGAAACATTGTCCGTTTATAGAGATAGGTTTACCGCTAATTTCAGTCTTAAACATGATCAGTAGGCCTATACACATGCAATCCTAGTTTCAGATAAAAAAAAAAAATAGTTGCCTCTCTAACGTAGCCTACGGGCCAATTTGAATAATCGAAAAAACAGGCAATAACCACAAAAACCGCTCTTAGAATAATAGAGCGACTTTCCTCTGGCTACATAATAATTTTAAGGAGATTTTAAGCGAAATTTTGAGCATTGGTTGTCATCGAGCCAGTGTACGCTGCTCAAGAGATCAAGAAATTAATTCGTTTTCTCAGTTTAATTACTCGTTCACAAATTTTTAGGGTATCAAGTTAAGCTTCCGGTTGAAAAATGTAGTTATATTTTTCCAGACTTTTTCGGCCGCTCTCTTTCAATGTCTAAAGAATACCAAAAGATCAAGACTATCAAAATGGCTTCTCTTGGACGACAGAAATCAAATAATTTAGATAAAGGTCTTGGGAAGGGTAAACCCGAGGTAGTATTTTCATAAATATAGCACATTACATGAATTCAAAGCTTTTAAAATACTACCCTACCCAATATATCGACAGACATTTGTTTTACCGCTAAATAACAGATCGATTGCAAAAGCCCTACTACTCTACATAATAATAGTTTATATTTTATATTACTGTTTTTATTGTGTGAATTAAAATATAAGCATCAAAACATTTCTTATATGTTACGGAAAATAGTTTATGTGTATATTTTTATCAATGCCAAATTAGAAACTAGTTGTGTATTATACATTGTAGTTTGAACAGAATACTTTATTCTGTCTATGCATATAAAGCAACCGAGTTGCCATGACATAGTGTTCTCACTTGTTGTTTTAAACAACTTCATTATCTCTTCCAAGTGAAACCAGCTTAAAATAGTTGATCTCATTTTGGTATATATTTCTTTCAGGTGAATATTGCAACATTTGCATTGCTATTTTCTGAGATTGTTCAGTATTGTCAAAATCGTGTATCTACTGTCCCAGAACTTCAGAACAGGTAAATATAATATAGGCAAGAAAGTAATATGGTTGTTTTATTGTTTTTGAAACATGGTTACAAATAAGCTTTATGAACAGATATATTTTGCAAATTTGTTTACTGAAAAGAATTTAAAGATGATTTCCCTTATTTTCATTTATAAAAATTGCTAATTCTTATAGGAATAGAAATTAGAGGTGTTCTGATGACTTGGAAAAATACCAGTTTGTTTCACATGTCCATAATTAATTCATAATTAGCTAAATTAGAAGAGAATTACTATCAGAATTCCAATGATTTTTTTTCGTTTATCCAGACTGTACATACATTAACATTTATGATTGGTTAAAACTCTTAATATATGCAATAAGAACATAATGATATAAGAAAGAATACATGGTATTTCATTAGAAACACCAATTAATCAAATAGTTTGCTTAATTTGACACTGAAAAAAAAGGAAATTCATCTTAAAGTATACTTATTTATATTCTCTGACCACAATAAAACTGTGGAACAATCATAAGGAGAATTGAAAATTAGATTCTGTATTTTGACTTCATTCCATGTATGTATTTGTTTATTTTAGATTAGCTGAGTTGGGACAACACGTTGGTTCTCATCTATTAGATGTTTTATTATTGAGAGAAAAAGGGTACAAAAGAGAATTAAAATTATTAAATTTGTTATTATTCATTAAATCTAATTTCTGGAAGGTATGTCAAAATCTATTTCAGTGTATACCAACAAAATTAAGCCAAAACATAATTGAAAAGACCAGCCCCCTTTCCTATCCGCGGCCCCCTTAAAAAAGAATGATAATAACTCAATGTTATTCTTCATGCCTGACCAAGTATTAACAAAAAGGTTTGAAGAGCAGAGGTGGAATAATCATTTATCTCTCTATATTTTTCAGACATTATTTGGAAGAGAAGCTGATAAACTGGAATTGGCTAACGATGATGAAAGAACATGTATCCTTTATAATTAAACTTTGTTGTATTTTTTGATAGAATTTGCAATAAGGAAAATCCTTCGATCAGTAACAGTAAGATTGCTGTATAATGTCCATTGGTTAGTGTGGTCACTGTATATGAGATCAACCAAACACATGACAATGAAGTTTGTCACTAGAATGATAAGGAGTGAACTGTTAGTCAAGGTTTCTGTCCTTAACTCTCCTAGATTATTTAATAGAAAAGGAACCAATAGTAAATAAGTTTATATCAGTGCCAAAAGATAAAGGTAAAATTCCATTTTTGAAGCATACCACATTGAATTTAAAATTTAGGAAAGAAAATAACTGCATTGTACAGTTGCAAATATTTAACTATTATATGTAAGATCAGTCATAATGGTTTTGCAGTGAATAAATGATAATTCAAGCTGTATATTCAATTATTTTAGTGTTCACATTATGTTTTTGTAGGTAGTTTAAATTGTGCTGCTTTTACAGCTGGTATATTAGAATCAGTATTGAATGGAGCCAACTTTGTAAGTATTAAGTATTCTGTAGTTTCCAAACTGATATATTATTGTGTTATGTACATCATATATGTGAGTGATGGGTATAGTTTCAAATAAACAATTTTCTATTGGGAACCTCAAGAATGCTCATGTAGTTTTTGACTTTACAGAATATGAAAAATCTGATCTGATTTCGTCCATATTTTATAGGTCTATTTGAGTTATACATGTATCACTATTTCTTTGTTTCAGCCTGCTAAAGTGACAGTACATTGGCATAAAGGAACAACATTTATGATAAAATTTGATGAATCTGTGATAGCTAGAGATAAACTGATAGAGGGGAGATAAGACTGTAAATATATTAACAATCCCAGACTTATGTGAGCCACTGTGTGTGATTTTAGAGTTTTTGGTATACAATATGTGCATTGTGAAGTCTACTCAGTACATGTTACAAAATACCAAACAATCAGCTTTATATTTTTGTGGTTATGTTGGTAGCTCTAATTATTTTGTTGAACCCGATAATTTGCTCGATTTTTGTTTGTCTTTATTTCATTTCGTTGCACAATGTGTATATAGGGTAATCATCAGTCAATTTTGATGAAAGAGTTTGAGCATGTTTTAAAGAAACATCAAATAAGCTTATGTATCCAATTCGGGTTTATTATTAATTATTTGTATGCTATTATCCCTGTTGGTTGATTTGTTTGTTATATGCATGATAAGAGAGAGACTAAGTAATGTGAAATGTTTTATTTTAACATAATAATAGGCACTATAATTTATAAAGCACTTATTTTATAAAATTCAAAGAAAACAATTTGTCCATTATCAGATAAAAAATAAATGTCATGTTTTTTTTATTGTTTCCCTACGATGATTTTAGTTAAAATTAACAATTTGTTATTAGACAGAAACAATGACATTTTTGGTTCTTTTGAAACATGTGAATATTCCACAACATAACTAGTGATATCATCTATAAACTACACTACCCCTAATATATCTAAACTAAACAATAACGATACTTGATAAACAAAAACATAACAGAATTGTAACACATAATTTATACAATTAAGTAAACATTCCCTCAATTCGTAAATGTCTGTTACAGTCTAAAAAAGTCAAAGTAATAAAATTCCACGAATTACATATTTTGGGCACAATCTTTCAATAATTCTGAAAGGGAAAAGCACCATTGCACAAACTGACATGTCCATTCACTCATCGTATCATAGATTTACGGAATGTTGTTGAAGTGTCTTTAGAAGTTGATTTTGTGGCTTTCTTCTTCTGATCATCATGTTCGAAGCATTTCCATAACCGTAAAGTCTCATCTGCTCCAGCTGATACTACTGTTGAACCATCAGGTGATAAAGCCATATGTAAAACTCTAGCTGTATGCCCTGAAAATGATATCAAATATTGGTTATAGGAATTTACAAAAGGATTCGTGTATACTTTTGAGAGAATACAACTGATGTTACCCACTAACCTGATGGTAATAAACTATTGTGTAAAAAATGAGACCCATACTGGTTACAGTGGAGTTGACAAAAAACACTTTTCTATTCATGCTATCATTTCAAATATCTATCTCCATTTTGCTTTTGGAAATTGATTAGAGAGGTTTGTGTATAATCTTATAACAGTATATTTACCTGTGAGATCTGCAACTTTTGTCATAGCTGGATATTTCCATATTGTTAACTGATTCTGTGCAAAACCATGACTAGATATTAACTCTCTGTGTTCTTTAGACCATAATATTGAACACACCTGAAATTTTGAATAATAGTTAAATGTAGTTACTTTGGTAGAAAAATGTCAGTGAAAGTAATTTTGTCATAAGTCTTTATTTCCAACTCATCAATATGATGATGATGATACACAGAAAGAAATTATATGAAAACTCTACTAATTATAAATAAATGTAATTCAATTACCTGTGATTTTGAATCTACACTATTAAGGAAGGTGCCAGTATTACAGTTCCAGAAACAGATTTGTCTATCTGCAGTACCTCCACCACTAGCTAATAAACCTGGTTGCCATGGACACCAAGAAAGGGCCTGAAAAATAAATTTTATTCATATATAAAATCATATTTTGCTTTTGATATCACAAGGTATTCCTCAGCCAAAGATGCATGTTACCAAGCGAATGTCATATAACATGATATGCTTTCTTTCATAGCTTAGAGTAGAGGGCGTTTTACCATCTGAAATCAGTATTCAGATGGTAGGAATACATAAATTATCTGTAAATTCTGTTAGCCAAATTGAAACAAGCTATTAAAGAATATCTAGGGTTGTACTTTTCAATGTATGAAATATAGTAAATTTACCTTAACTGCTGCTTGATGTTGAGAGAAGACATGTAATGGCTGATTATCTTGTGGTAAATTATTAAATTGTGAGGACCAGATATTGAGTATATTATCATTGCCTCCACTAGCTAGATATCTACCATCTGGTGACCAACGAACACCACAAACTTCTTGACTGTGACCAGCTAATGTGGCTACATGATGTTGTGGTATTCTGACATCGTGATGGTGAATATTACCACTTCGTGAACCACTGAAATCAAACAAAATAATTTTAATTTAATAACTTTTCTTTAAAACATTACTTTGATATGATTAATGATTTTTCTACATGATAGTTGAGCCATACATTAATATGAGAGTTGTTAATGACTATGTTACTTCAAAGAAGTTTAAAATAGTTAATTACCTGCTCAATATATGCGAGTTCCAAGATAAAGAACTAACTCTAGCTGAATGACCTGCCATATTTCTTAGTCTTTTCTGTTCTACCACGTCCCACAACTAAAAGATATATTATAAAAATTGACACGAGACATAGGCATTGATGAACACATGGCGATTATGTATTGCTGAATTTTTACCCCTGGTATTATATCAGATAGAAAGCACTAAATCTATGACGTATAGAGAATGGCTTGCGAAATATTGATTTGGAAAAAGGCAAATTGTATTAAGCGGTATTTTCATCAACAAAACTGTTAAATATTTGTATTTGGACAATTACAATAAAAAAAAGACTTTATCTATTAAATGATAATGGCTTACCTGAACTTCACCAGTGCTAGTTCCAATAGCTAAATAATTTCCTTCTTTAACCCAGGATACAGACCCAATATATTCTTCACTGTTCTCAACTTCCATTAACTGAGTTATGGTTCCTGATGTAGCATTCCATATGTAAACAGCACCACCCAAACACACAGCTAAATTATTGGTAGATGACCAGTCAACTAAATTTAGATCTGGAATTAAAAGTGAATTAAATGCACTGAGACATTTAGTAATGAATAATTTACATATACACAGAATTCCTACTTGGGTACAATTCAACGGAAATGCTAAGCTTATCTGAAAAAGGTTAAATTTTTGCAATGTTTTACATACGATTTATATTTGAAAGTAACTGATCAACTCATCAAATGTACTGCTTCATTCCTCAATGCTCTTTAAAAGTGAATATAAATCAATTGTTCGATAACACTATTTCTTATTTTAATTTTTCATTTCACTTCTTGTGATATACACTCAAAAATATTACAAATTAGTTTCAAACTTACAATAATCATCCATAATATCTGGAGCATCTAATATTCTTTCTGGAACTTGTGGTATCTGTCGTAAAGTTTTTTTAGCACTAGAAGGTGTTTTCGATGAACTATACAATACCTTCATATTATTGGTGAAGCCTAACAAAATAAACCATTCATAGTATCAAAATATCAAGACAAGAGTTGATAAAATTTGTACATTTTGAATGTCAACAGTTGTATGTTAATTCTGATTACTTATTTGTAACGTACTTAGAACTTCATGTCAGATGTCACTATCATACTCGAGAAAGAGATGAAGGAGAGGTCTTGACAACTTTCATGTAAAATATTCAAATAAAAATCTTACTTTCTGGAGCAGATGGTGCTTTAGCTTTGAAAGACAGGATTTTACTATTCAAAGCATCTCCATTTAAATTTTCACTCATAACTCTTTTATATTCTTTCTCTGATGGACTCAATAAGTTTTCATTTTCATCAGGCCCCTTTTCTTCTTTCATTATTTTATAATATCCAACAGAAAACTGTGTTGTACTTCTGTTAGGTATAAATCTGTCACCACCAGGTGTGCGGCTGTTTTTATTTCCAGGTGTTCCATATTTACCTGCATGAAAGATAACATTTGATATCTAGGAGACTTATCTAAGCTGGGGCCTCTGAAAGTCATCTTGGCAAGACAAATATAAAACAGGCTGCTCTCTCATTTTGCAGGATTTTGTCTTTTACTTAACGGTACAGTTGTAACAACTTTAAAGGGTGTTTTTGAAAATATCAATCTATTAAGTATGTCAACAATATCAAATTTCCTGTACAAAGTAAACTACACTTTCAACAATAACTGCTATCTGTCAGAGTCAGCTATTAAATCAATAGGCTTTAATAAATTAAATATACTATTTTCATCACTAACCAAACTTGACAAATGTGACTTACCTGAAGATTTGGGTGTCTTTTTTAAGGATTCATTTGATTTTGATGGCGTTTTTGAACCACTGAATGACTTGTTTCCCTTTTTAGGAGTCTTCATACTCATATTCAAAGAAGCATTGCATTCTGAATCATTTAAGCCTTTTCTAGAAGCAGGCATTGCTCTTGCTAACGGTGCATCCATCCTCAAAGCATTATTCAACTCATTTTCTAAATTAAAATGGGACATGACCTGAAATATAAAAAATGAATTTTATGTTTATGAATTTTAATCACAGGTTGCTAATTATTATAGCCTGTTGTAGAATCAGAAACATTACCATACCTTGGATTTGGACCAAAGCCCTAGTCTGTCAATTCAGATATATTAAGCTTATACCTATTAATCAAAATAAAATGTTCAAATAGACATTACATTGCCTACAATATAAAGTCAGAAAAATGTCTTGTCACTCTTGTCCAGATAATTATTTATTGTATAGGTGAGGGTTTAACTATCTGGTTTGAAACTTATTAGGCCAAGAATGTGGCTATGTCGATACCGGTATTTCAAAATATTATACATTCAGTTTACCATCGAGAATGCAGGAAGTGTAGAGAATATTTCATTGTAAAAACCATAATGTTTTTTTTTTACTTGTATCTATCTACAGCTGGTGAGCTGGTCACTTTGAAAAAGCAAATAGATCTTGATCTAGATCTGAAGATAATCCCTTCACTATCAGCTAAATCATGTAAACTGTATTTAATTGGAAAGTAAAAGAATAGTACTCACGGTTTATCACAATTTAAAACAATAACTTTAGAGTTAAATGCAGCGTTTTTGTTTTCATTGACAAGTTCGTGCAGGTTATGATTTTCAGATCTCGTCACCATTTAATTTACTGTCTCTTGATTGGCTGTCTTGATTAAAGTTAGCAATTTGATTGGTCAATTGGTAAATCTCGTTAAACAAACTAATGCGTGAAAACACGGTATTTCACGTGAAGTGTTCTTACAATTATTTACAGTATGGTGCCCTCTGATTGAATAATCAGTGATTACTGTTACAAAACAACCTTAATTATACATAGTGTTTTGATAGCCATTTAAATGGAGATTAAAACATTAATTAATTGCCAATTGATTGCTTCTGTATATTTAATCCTACTCCACGGTGTCCTGGCATCAGAGACGCCGCTATCAGATCAAAATGATCCCTATCATGAATTAGACATTGATGAGAATATCAAAAATTTTCATGCAGCAAATATTCCAGAACATGATGATTTCTATGACTTTGAAGTCGTTGACATCCATGGTAACAAAGTATCACTGGACGAATATAGGGGCATGGTACGACCAATTGTTTCTTTTCAAATAATTCTAATCATATAACTGATTGGGCCAGTTAATCAGAGGACCTTTGGAATAAGCTTTTGTCAAAGTTTGTATGAACTGTGCCTGTGGCTTGCTGCCTGTTTCTGAATTGGTTCATTAGACTACAGAATTGTAGATCTTGAGTTGTTTCCAAAAGAATGCTATTAGTTATTTGTTATTAGTCTATAATATGTAGTTATATATAAGCTTATATCTAAAATAATCCACTTACATACCGGTACATTATTTAGGTGACATTGGTGGTAAATGTAGCTAGTGAATGTGGTTATACAGACAGTCATTATAAGGCTTTAATAAGACTACAGAATGTCCTTGGTAAACAGAATAAATTTACAGTTTTAGCCTTTCCATGTAATCAATTTGGTAGTCAAGAACCAGGTGTATGTATACTTATAATTTACCTGTTAAACATACCAAGATTGTAGTGTTTATCACATTTATGTTGTGAAAATATTTACTGTATTAATTGATTGAAGAGTAAAATTTCAACTATCTAAAACACTGAAAACACAAATGGTTACCCTACAATGAAACATAAATGTACTATGCCGATTAAGATTTTTGTCACTTACAGGTCATTATTAAGCTTCTAACATGCTATTAGTTGTGATGCTGTGTTATTGGTAATGCTATGTCATTTGTGATATTATGTCAATAGTGATAACTGCGTGTGGATAGTGATATGAATAGCTAAAACTGAGTTCTGTAAATGAAAAGTTAGATGACTGTATTCTCCTCCAGTTTCTGATTGTGTTCTATTATTCATTGGTTAATTATTTATTTTGACAGTCAAGAGAAGATATAATCACATTTACTAGAGAGAAATATCATGTCAATTTCCCTGTATTTGATAAAGTGAATGTTCTGCCTCCACATGTATCAGAACCATGGGACTATCTCATACGTAAGTATTGTTGGACTAATATTGATTAGCTCAAGTGTCTATGAATTGTCTTAAAATCATCAGTTTTCTTGGACTTAAAGCTTACGAAAGCATGTTTGAGTTAACCAATACATTTTTTAAAGAAATGAAAGAAGCTAGTGGCAGATATATCAAAACATAATGTAATTAATATTTAGCTCAATGGTATTACAATAAATTGCAATAAATGTCAGAATGGGACACAAAAACTATGTCCAATGTTCTACAGATTGTACATGAAGACATTCCTTGACATTTACAAATCAGAGAATCATAGCCTATCTGGAGCAAAAAAAAGAACAGTACAGTTTTACCATTGCACTTTGATGATATCCATTTTGCTTATCATTACTTTGACCAGTGACATTTCACCTAAGCAGTTTAATTTGGGTTGCTTCCCTTTCAGGAAGGTCTGGGGCAGCTCCGAATTGGAATTTTTGGAAATACCTACTTGATGAAAATGGTCAAGTATTATACTCTTGGGGACCATGGGCATCAGTTGAAGATATTTATAAACCAATAAAAGAAGCAGTTGATAAAATTAGCTCACATGCTTATTATGATGAGTTATGAGAGGAGTGTGATTATTGATTGAGCCGTCATGATTAATGGATCAAGAGTTACAAAAATTCCGAAAATCTTAAGTTCAAATGCAATCCATTCTTAGTGCCAAAGTTATTTTATATTTTATGGTATTTTCAATGCAAAAATTGAATAATACTGACATGGAAAAGTGAAGGTAGTTACACAAAATTTGTAGTTCTACACTTAAGCTTTGTAACATGTATCCAGGAGAATACCATATCAAATCTTATCTATGCATAATAATCGCTTGATATTCATATTTGATCATTAGTTTGTGCCTTAATTGTTCATCATGTAATAGTGTTAAAGTGTAAAAAAAAGTTCATTTAGTCATTTTAAACTTTACTGAGATAATGCTTTATCTTTTGTTTTATATGAGGTCAATAGATTTCAAAAATCAATGGTGACTTTAAGGTAATGTTACAAATATATTATTATGAATATTCTAACATTAGAAATTACTTGTTATGATGAGAAACGAGGCAAATGTATTTAATAGTAACTAATGAAAATCTACGCCAGGATCAAGTTTTGCCATGAATGGGACAAGTATACTTGAGTTTACTTTCAGTATTAATGTTTAAAGTTTGTTGTTTGTTTTTATGTCTTTATTTCATTGAATAAAATGTATTTCATACTGATTTTAATCAACAACTATTTTAAATATACTAAAAGTTCATCAATACTAAAACATCAAACACTAAAAAAACTAAAAAAATCTTAACATTTCATTTGTGAGTTTAAATAAAGCTAAACATATCAATGTACAATGGTTATTCTTGAGAAACCCAGATACTGGCATCAAGTTTGCAGAATATCGCTCTGTTTATCTGTTTACTATCATTACAATAGCTGGTATTTCTTAAGACTTCAAATATTTCTGAGCATTTCTTAATGAAAATCAGACTTTTAAAACAAGAGGAGATTATATGAGAAGACGTACAAATTCTATACTACATTTAGCACTAATCGATGCTGACCCTTAAACTACAACAATGACTGTCTAATTTTATGATGTTTTCTCTATGCATAAAAAATGCTCAGAAAATTTGGATTGGTTGAAAAATGATAACGTTTTAAATGATGTTCTTAAGACTCCAGAGATGGATTACGGAGTCTAAGCTGTTGGTCATCTGCACATCCCCACATGAAATCTGCAGTGGCATTCACTTGAACTTATTGGACATTGACAGTATCTGTGACGATGTGCCACAGGACACTGTCAGGTTTTCCTTGGTTGTGAGGATGAAGTGAATGCTGTTCGCCTTCGTCATTGTCAGGATGTGGTTTGTCGTCAGGCTTTTATTCTGCTAGGTCTTCTAGCGATCTTGTTGGAACAGGATTGACATTGACATGTTTCTTGGACAGTTGGTGGCGGTTTCCTACACGTGCAGCGAATTAGTCGCGCGGGATTACCGGAAACCTCTTCATTTTGTCAAGAACATCGCCTGTGGTGGATCTCGTAAGGACAGATGCAATTGTGTGTTGGCCTGTGGATGACTCCAGATTCAGAGCTTTGTCAGGTTCACATATCTCTGTCTTGGTGACGTCCATGTCTCTGTCGTCTCCGATGCCGGTATGTATCGGACTGGCCAACTATATCAACATGTTCATCAACATCTGTGGAAGCTGGTTGATCTCCCATCATTCTGTCCATGTAGTTTGATGATGAATCACATTCGCCACAGACTCTTCTGTTATAAACCACATCTATTGCATACCTGGTGTAATTTAACCTTAGGTCGCTGTATGGTAAGGGAATATGATACACCCTTCGACCACACCTACAAAATATATAGTGAACAAAATGACATCCTTATGTCGTAATCGAAACTGGGGCCCGAAACATGCTTATTCATATCTTATGAACAAATAGAGATAATACGGATTACTGGAATTCATGTTGATCAGACTATGTATTATATACATTTACATGATATAGTTTCTTAATATATAGTTTCTTATGCTAGTTGGTATGCCAAACCATTACAGAAGACAGATTTTTGAGGAATACTGCCTCTTAGAATGGTTATAACAATTAAACTCTCAAATTTGGTCAACAAGTGTTTATATTCAGCAGTTTTACTTACCAAGTGCCATGACTGTAGAATAGAATCTCTATGTAAGACGATATATCCATTGAACTGAGTTAGTATTGGATCGGGCTGCTAAGCATGTTTCATAATTACGTAGTTTAATGAATAATTACTTAGTTTTATGGAATTATAGAGGGCTTTTGTGGTATAGTTTTGACACCAGGTAAGTCCACTGATGAACAAAGACTATTTTAGCCAAGTTTTAAAAGAGGATACCTTAAAAGTTATAAGTTACCTGTCAAAGATGATGAAATCGTCCTTGTTACCAGCAAACACAGTCCTCCACAACCCAAGTTGTTCAGTATCTTGGTAAATTGGGATCTCGATGGATGGAAAACGACCTATCAATTCTTGGGAATGTTCGCCATTGATGATGAAAAAGTTGACGTCCGGTTTATTTTCAAGTGCCAAATCATTTTTCAACGTTTGTAATCTGAAATTATGCAAATAATTTGATGTTGCTATACTTTCTGTTTTTAGCCATGTTAGAAATAATCGGATACGTGCGATATTTTGCAAATCCAGCTTATTGATTCTGCTGCATCAGTCTCGTGAGTGCTGGTTATAGGCCTACTAGTCAAAACAATGGAAAATCTACCAAAAAGAGACAAGACTCTGTCGTTCTTCTGTACAGGGATTGTAAAGAGGTTTTTTGTTTTTCTTGTGTATCGAGGACACTATCGCAATAGCTGCCAATGATATAAGGTTTTAGTGTAATTGCAACAAACACAGACCTCTGTCTGAACATTAGAATGGTTCAAATTGATGTTATCTTTGTCCAAAAAAAAAAACAAATAAGTACCGTAAAGAAAACCTCTTTACAATCTCCTTAAATCTGGAATGATCGCTTAGATGGTTCACTGAATTTGAACTTTGTTATTCTATCAAATTTAAAGATAAATGGAAACAATATTGACTACATATCTACGATGGTACAAAGAGTACTTACAATGAGGCTTGGTGAATACAAAACCCTCAACTGGCCTGTAAAAGAGCTACCAAAGTTACTCGACCATGTCCATTTTGCATTGGACTAACTCCATTGATTGTAAATGGAGCAGGTCTTTCACAAAACCCTAGTGGAAGAGCTGCATCTGTCTTCAAGATGCAAGTAAGCACTATACAGGCCAGGAGAGCCCGTAGGCTAGGTAAAGCGTTCAGTTTCCTGAAATATAATTTTCATTATTTTTCAATAAAAAGACGTAATTTAACTCCGTATACAGTGTACATAAAATGCACAATTAATCATAGAAACAATCCATCTTGTGAATATATTTGAATATAGTAGCATTTTGTTCTTAAAATGATAAATTTTCTTGGATTTTTAAGTTCAGGTTAACTAAATTCGGGCTCACCTTTTGTAGCTATTCAGACTTGTTCTTTGTTTAACTATGTTTATGAAAATAAGATACTTGCCCCGGTTAAGCTCTTATATAGACAACCCTATACACTATTGACCCCTGACCGACAACAGCTCAACAAAATAAGATAAAGGGATATTTATTCATATTATGTAAACAATATGGACTATATCCTATAGATTATACAAAAATTACGTGATGATAAAAATGCAAGGTTATTAGTCAAACAAGACTATGAATATTCCCTAAAAGATAAAGTTTGCTGTTTCTTATAACTGGTGCCTATCTCCTACAATGAGTGCAATAAAAAACTAAAAAGTTCAATAAAAGCTTTACAAATGAAATGCATATTTATACGCCCACGTGGAAATGTGGACGTATATATTGCTGTCACTCATGTCAGTCCGTCCGACCGCATGTCCCATAGCCTCGACAGTTTTTACCAGATCTGATTGAAACTTGGTATGCATCTATATATTGATGAGATATCTAAGTACAGTTTTAGGGACAGGAAAATATTTTTATCGTCAGCAACTTTATTATCAGTAGGTCATTTATGTATTTTGTAAAGAATAGAACAGGTCTTAAGACACTTCCTTGTGATATGCCACTGATAACTGGTTCCAAACTGCTCTCTTCTCCGTTAACTTTTACATAGCTGTTGCCTCCAGCCTCTCAGAATTTGTCCATTCTAGGATGTCACCCTTTATTCCGTAACTGTCTAACTTCCTTTACAGACTTGCGTGTTGAATTGAGTCGAATGCTTTAGCGAAGTCCAGGTAATTGCGCCCAATAGTGTGATCCAGCACAGTTAGAGGGTTAATGGAACTTGATCGTCCGGATAGAAAGCCATTGTTTGTGCTGAGAGTCTGAATTTTGGTCATATGGTCAATGACTTTATTTAAGATGATAGATTCAATCTTTTTGTTAGGATTACAGTAGTTCATTTCCTTAAAGATTGGTGTTACTGTAGAGTCCTTCCATACTTGGGGTAACCTTCCTGACTTCAATAATTGCCCTTAATGGGCATAGAAACATCCAGGACCTAACGATTTGTCGATTTTGAGTGGCTTGACCTTTTTCAGCATTTGATTTTCTTCAAACTGGGTGTCAGAAATGCACTACGAGTTTTCCCTCATATATGACGATGTATAAGTAGCATAAAGTCTACAGAGGATGAATATCGGTGTGTTGAATATTTTAGAAGTCTAGTGGGTACGTAATTCGACCGAGAAAATCTCTTTTTATCACATTTTAATTATTTACTTTTTGTTGCCAATTTTCAGGTAATATATTTCATCAAGTACTTACACTACTTCAATTAACGCTATATAGGTAGCTATAGAAATATGGCATGGTGCCAGGAATTTCAAACACGATACTGCGTCTTCCTTTTATTTACAAAATTGGCAGAGGTAAGAAATTGAGATTTTTTAAGCCAATACGTCATATTATTTAAAGAAATCTTTAAAATAATCGTCTGTTTCACTACTTTTGTAGCTGCACTTTCCACAAATAGAAAGTATCTTACAAGTAATATTTTGTTTCTAATTGACCTTGATTTCAACAACATGTGGATGCAGGTAAATCAAATGTTGACATAAGAAAGAAGAGAGAAAAAATAAAAGATGGTGAATCCTGTTTCGACTGACTGAAGTTCTCAGCTGATCGATGTAAACAAAAGCACGTGGTCTCGTTATAATCTATAAATAATCAACCAATCAGAATACAAATAATTCTACACTCAGCCAATCAAATTTCTAGAAATAATTTAACCCGAACACATAAACATTATTTACATATGTTTATAAACAGTACGCAATATTTTCAGACAAAGAGCTGAAATTTGATAATTAGAAGTAAAAAATGCCGTTTCTGGGTCGGGATTGGCGTTCACCAGGTGATCAATGGGTTCGAACAACAGAAGGTTGGGAAAAACTGAAGTTATGGCGTGTCAAAGTATTTGAGAATTTGAACCAAAATGTGATAGCAAGGTAATGTCTCATACTATTTTGCTAGGTCAATTTATGACAAAATCTTTATTTCTAGGAAAATGTGTAAGATTTTGATGAAAGATTTATTTATAGTCAAATATTTTTCAGTTGGTAAGTGCAAATTGGACATTCAACTTTTGATAGCAAATATAATGGCCCTGAAATATAATAACACCATTAGCTTCTCTAGTCTTAGTTCCACTTAAAACAATCAATACCCATTCACAGATTGTCTGACACTGTCAGTTACATATACAGTTTGTCATGGCTGCTTTATTGACAGATTGTGAAGGCCATATTTTAACAGCTGTCATTTATAATGTCAATATGATATGTAAGATAACTGCAGTTCCTTTTTTGATCATGAATAACTTCTCACTTAAAAGTAGTCAATTTGTTCACATATTGCCAGATTTATAAAGTGATTTAACACAATTCATTGCATTAGATTGCTAAGAGAGATAGATCATACTGCTGATATCCCTCAAAGTTGTTTTGAAAAGGTTGAATTTTACTGTAAATCAGTTATTCAAAGATTATCCTAATCCAATTTCAGATTAATACGTTTAGCTTTATTAGATATAAAGTCAGATCAAGATAATATTTATGGTAGAAGGCAGCCATATATTTTATATAATAGAGCCATGACAAGAGAGGTATACTTATTTCATTTGATACATTTCTAATATATGTAATCTAGCAAAATCTTAACATAACATATTTTTCTTATGACACATGTACAAATGTATCCAACAATGTTCCATAAATAATTTTGGCATCATTTCAGAAGACTTTGACTTTCATTGAAATAAAATAAAATAGTCTATTCTCTGAATACTCACCTGCCTCACCAATAGAAAGTCGTATTCTGCCAGGTTGTGTACATTGAGAAAAACTTTACTAGTACAAGCAACACAGCCAATTCATTTCCAAATTGAATCAACTATTCAAAATCAACTGCATATTCCAAATCTATTGTAAGCCCATATTTTAAAATCAACTGCATATTCCAAATCTATTGTAAGCCCATATTTCAAAATCAACTACATATTCCAAATCAATTGTATATATTCCAAATCAACTGCAAATTTGACTGTATATTTAAATGAAGTGTTATTATATTTCAGAAAAAAGAGTTAACATGTTTAAGTGAAGCATTAATTAGACTGGATGTGGCTGGAGCAGTAAAAGACATCCAGAGAATTAATTTTGTAGCAAAGGTCATTTCCTTTCTTTAATCTTTAGTTCAAGAATTATCATCACAAGAATTGTTGAATTTCATGCGTCATTTTGGTTCTCTATTTTACCTGATGGACCTGTTGGATGCTTGTTACCAGAACGCAATGTTTTCAAAGGTTGTTATTGTTTATGGGCTCCATATACCAAATAATACAGTAACGGTACTTATAGTGAGGTTATTTCTTTCCACACTTATTGAAATATATTAAATTTTACTTTCAGTTACTTGAGCTTATTTTCAATAAGAAATTTACTGGTTTAAGCGGAACTGCACAGAAACATGTGATATCAATATTAGAAGCTTTCTCCAATGAAGGTATGTGTTTACTAATTTATACATACTAAGATTCTTAGTTGTATTGTGAAGCAATAAATAGTATATTGATCTTTGTGTGAAACTTGTACAAATGCTTATTACTATATTGTACTATATATGTTGATATTTCAGTGTTAAAAACAGAATATAATACTGGTTGTATCAGAGACCTCTTGAAATCAGCTAATAGTGCCCTTAATCAAGGTGAAAACTCACACATCGGCAGTGCTTGTTTATGGACAAGGCATAAGAAAGCAGTTGCACAGATGCAAGATAAAATATCTGAATTTCAAGTCAAACAGGTTTGTATGACAGTTCACAATTGTTAAATACAATTTCAAGCATTTTACATTCTGTATGATGTCATATTTTTCTACATCTTATGACAGTCATGGATGATTTCCTAAATGATGTCTGAATTTAACTGTATGAACAAAAGATGTGAATTCAAGATGATCTAGTCTCCAGCAATCTAAGAGTGAAGACACTTTTGTTTGTAGTGGATAACGTTTGCCATCAATCCATACTTTTTGATGTAGGACTTCATTGAAAATAAATGCAGCATTTGAAGTCCTTTATTTTGTGTATTTCAGAGGAATGATGATGGTAAAACAAAGTTTACAGATCTACCAGAAGATTGTGTGCGATGTATTTTGTCACGTATAGTTGACCATAAAGATATTATGAGAGCTGGAATGTCTTCTACATCTTTACATTTGATATCACAAGAACACTGGCTGTGGCAACAACTATGTTTCTTCCATTTTGATGATAATCAAATATTGGTCTTTCTACCTGAACATTTAGAAGAAAAAGATATTGATTGGCAGTATATTTATAAACGTTGCTATAAGTAAGATATTTTGTATATAAAATTTTTGAGGAAAGTGTAGTAGGGTAGGCATGGCTAGCCTGGAATTGGCTTACCCACTCTGGCATTTCATTTTATGTTATATATGGGTAGAATTGCCCGTTAGACTCCCTAAGACAATTCTGTGGCCTCTCCTTGATTCATAGAAATGTCACTAGCTGTTCCCTAACTAAGCTGATGAGGGACAGGTAAGATAATGGCTGTAACTTTCTTAATCAAACTTAATACAGAACTATGTCTCTGAACCACAATTTCATAGCTTTGGGTGTCGTCTGAACTCTGAATAATATTTCATTTAAATTTCTATTTTTTTTTAATTTCTAGGCGATTTGGGAAAAAAGATCTGTATGCTGATTATTTAGCCCTTTGTTCATGTTGTGGCAGTATTTATTGGCAGGTAATTATCTATATATATATATATATTTATCTCAATCATCAAATCAGTCACATTATTAACACTGGACACAGTAAATGTTTTAACTGTAGAGTTTTATTCCAGTACGAGCTATATTAAACTCTTGTTACAGGGCTGGGGTGAATTCTTAAATATATTTTACATCTGGTGGTATCTTTTCTTTCCAGTCTCTTGGTCATCCATGTGTACATGAGGAAAGTATCTCAAGAAACCTGTCTCCACAGGATTTTATCAATTTATTTAGTTTATAAATCGTTACTTATCTGTGCAAAAACAATGCAAAAACTATAGTCTGTCATTCAACAAATAAAACTTGAATGAATAGGAATGCAAGAAAATGTAAGCATCAGAATGATTAAAATGGTTACATATGTATTTGTGATGTAATCAAAATGAATGTGATGTAGAGATAGTAAAAGAAGTTTAATCTCATAGAATGTTATAGTCATTTGCTTTAGAATCTGTACTTACTAATCTTTTTCCTGCCGAAAACTCATGTTGTTAAACTGATGTCTATATTTTCTATCTATAGTGATATATGATTACAAAGTAATATAGTATTTTCTCTGTTATATATGATTACATTAACAAGTATCACTAGAGGCTATAACATTACCTGATTTAAGTATTCATTTTCAATGTTGTTTGTGATATCATTGGTTGTAAAAATTGATTCCTCAAAAGGATGATTATTGTAAATATTGATGGTTATATCTGCAGAAATGTGATATGTTATGATTATGGAAGAAAATTGACTAAATGTGTTGAAATGAGTTATATATTGTCTATTGTATTAAGTTTTATGAACAGTGCAATGATCAGCTTAGCTCCTAGTTAGTTGTAAAGAGTTGATAATCAAATTACTGGAAGAGGAGGAATTCAAAGTCATTATATATAAAGTTATTCATTCAGAATTTGCATTTTTCACTGGAGTGTTGCTCATATTATATTTGTGATATGTATATATGTTAAAGTATTTATCAGTTAGTGCCATCGTTTGAATGTTAATTAAGCCTTTTCAATTTAACCAAATGTTATTTATATTGTTATAAGAAGGGTGATGTGAGAATTATTATGAAGAGTGATTTTTCGAAATTTGTAGTAAAGGTCTTGTGCATGAAATATTCATAAAAGTAAATATTTAAGTTTAACCATGACATCCCCTTTAAGAATATTAGTCTGATTGAACTCATATTGAAGTGGAATACAGAAAATATAAAACAAAATTATGAATAGATTATTTAAACATAAATTTCAGTGAATATGAAGGAGCTAAAATAAAAGATTAGATATTGTATAAGGCAATATAACTTTAGTAAAATTATGTTTAAATAACTGTTTGACCTCATCAAGTTAAGATAAGAATGGGTTGTGTTCTATCTTTGTTATCTCATATTGTTAATATATTCACCCCAATGTATAGAATGATATCAGCCCTAATTTCATGTCACAGTACTCCTTAAATCCAAATTTACAGTTTAGTACATGATGTTGATACTTTTAAAACTAAGAAATATCAACCATACTACTCAAGAAAAAATGTACCCTGTAGCTTTCAATAATGACATCGAGAAATTTTCAACATATTGTATGTTGCATTAGTTCCCATATACAGTATAAGTGACACAGTTGCCTAAATATTTGCTAAGTTTTCAGAATTAAGAGTCAAAGTTCAATTATACCACTAAAATTGATACCCATATTGTCATGTCACGGATCATATCTGTGGAAGAAATTAATGATCTTGAGGTCACAACAGTCTAAATTTCATAAAATATTTGTTTTATTTAAAAGTATCACAAGAAGCTAATATCAAACAATTCCTTTGGTAAGGCTCATATATGCCTATATATCTCTAGAAGAGTTGTACTATTGTATTTATTATAGTGCTAGTTCTCAAGTAACTTACACTATATTATTGCTTGTTGAATCTCTATAGTTGTGTTCAATAAATTATGTTAAATAAATATCTGGTTAGTTGTTGAGAATTCAGCAGCCTTTTGAACTAAAAATTGTGATTTTCATATCATGTTTATTTATTGGTTAACAGCTGATAGAACTCAATTTCGTTGTGAAAACTCAAGTGCAGTGATCTGATTATGGTACTTTTACATTTATTGGATAGGAATCTTTTTCTAAAATCTATATCCCTTTTTTAATGTACATGTATCTTTTTTATTGATGCAGTGTGCAATGAAGGAAATTTTGCCAGGACAGCAGCATCATCCTGCTCTTTTCCATTTCCAACTGTCGAGAGATCTTTAGCCCGTAGCATAAAATGTTTCATTTTATTGTCCCATCTGAATGACACGACGCTTTTCTCACCATCAGCCAGCAAGCATCTAGCTCAAAGAATCATCACGGCTCCTATCGAATGGTTAAGCAAATGCTTCCCAACTGTATAACTTTGTTACAATGCTTTTAACGACTAGAATTGACCCACAATATTCAGATCTAGTAAATTAATTGACAATATCATAGTGGACAATGCTATTTACAAAATATATTTTATTTATGACATAAAAAATACAAACTATTTTACTGTCAACTCATTTCTTCTATTGTTTCTTTTGATTGGTCTTCTTCTAACTTCTGTCTGAAATACAATGTACAGTAAATTTATACATTTGCATATTACAATTACTACAAAACTACTTACAAAATATCTTTATCATCAAGCATATAGTTTTAATAACATTCTTGTACAGAAACTTGATTTCTTGTGCCATGTATAGAAATAATATCTATTGAAAAAGATAGATAATTCCTAGTTTGAGGCATCTGTCGCCAGAAATAAATTGGTGCTGGGGCTCAGATTTTGTACTAATTTGAAGAATTAAAGGCCCAGAGAACTCATTTCTGACAATTTTGAGCTGTCAAAAACGTATCAAAATCGATATCATTTTGTACAAATTGAATCAATCTCTGCTGAACTGAAGAGGGTTTTCCTGGGGCTTAATTCTCACTCTAACGACTGGGCTGGTTTGAGGTAATTTTGAAGGAATTATACAATTTTTCAAGCAGTTCTGAAAACCATTTACACAAAGACATTAAAGACAAAAATCAACCCTCGAGAATGGCTAATCTGTCCCTCTAAGGAATACACCACCATATTTTATCCTTACCTCTTAATATCAGATTTTCCCTCTCTTTTTCTTTTTCTGACCAATGATTTATTATGTTTCTTACAACTGATATGGTCTGTAATTAAATCATTGTGGAGACTCAAATATTCCAATAAAAACTTGTTTTCGCAGGCTTTAGATTAATGACAATGAAAACTCTTGGTGATTTAAATTACACTAATAGAGTTCAAAAATTAGATATTAAAATAAAATATTACATTAAACTTTCTTTTATCTTTAGGTATATTTGTTAGAAATAATGCGAAATTTCCATTCAAAAAATATGCACCTTAACCTTTTATTGGTCAGCTCTTTCTGAACCCTGTGCCAGTACCTTTTGTTGAATAGTTACATGTTACCTTTCAACCACCCTAACCACTCATATGAAAATAATTATTAAATATTAAATCAGGCTACACTTACTTTCCCATTCAAATTTAGTGATGAAAACTTTACCATTACAAACATCACATATATTATATTCATATTCAGTCTTGAATTCTGTGAAGGGTTCAGGGACAATATCTGGTTTTATACCCTGGAAATTATATACAAACATTATATAAACATAGCTCAAATGGAGGTCTATTAACCTGTTGCTTGATGAATACATCCCTTTAAAACTACAACTGATCTTCGTGCATTAGCATTATCATTTACATGTTTATGGAGTTCTGAAGCACATTCTGTTAGAGCTTTGGTTCTTTATATCACAACATTTTCTTGGTTATATCAAACATATGGTTGTCATTGATAAGTCAAGTCGACCATGCTGTAAATCGAAACGGACAATCCGGAAAAAGATCTATGCCAAGATGTTCGGCCACAGACCAGATGGTAATAAGGATTCTTTGTAAACCTTATAAAATATTGTCATTATAGAATATCATATCTAAATGATTCTCAAGGATGAGGATATGATGACTTTTTGGTTTGTTTTCACACAAATATTACTGTATTTTGGTAAGAATTGGACTTGCATATTTGAGAATATTTATTTACCTTCATGAATGCTTCGACTGTTTTCATGGCTGGTTTAGAAACAAGTTCATCCCATTGGTCAACATGTGTAGAATTAACACTATATACTGGTGGTACATTTGTAGATTGTGCTAATAACATACAATAATAAATATCATTGAAAATATTTAAAAATAAGATTGACATGACAGCCAGAAATAAAAAGTGGTGGCCAAATTTAATATGTTGCTATAACAATGCATTGTTCCTGATTGATAGACAACATGAAAAGGAGTAAAACTTATCATTTGACTTATTCGTGATTTAGAACCAAATATCAACATTAATGCAGACACTTACATTTCAAAAATCTGTTTTTAATCCAGCGTATTTGTTTCTTAGCATATTGCCTTGTAGCTATTTTTAACAGTTCAATTCCTGAAAATCCAAGAGAAAGTTTCCTGAACATCCTCTTTTAAAATCTTAAAACTTCTAAAACAAGATTAAGGTTCAGCAAGTGGAATGGGTTCAATATATGAATAGCATGAGTATGGTAACAACAGTCAGGCAGTGAACTCAGTCTCTGTAAGCAAATTTTGGTAAATTGCATGAGAACTAGATGTCTGATCATTCACCTGAATAGTGCTACTCAATTCAACAATGGACTGCATACACCCTCTAGTGAGAGAAAGAGGCAACATATACAGATCAAAATGAATCACCAATCATGAGAAAGGATTGTGGTATTCCTTACCTTCTTCCAGTAGTTCTCTCCCTTTATCTGAATTTTTCTCTTCCTCAGTCAACCTTAAATATTTCCTAAATTCTTTTAAACCAATCAATTGAAACAAACCAGATTCATAATCTAAGTTCCTAAAAATCAAAAATTCTGTCATAGAGTTTATTTTGCATATAGAAACACAAAGTATATTAGAATATTGATAAAGATTACAGAAAGAAAGTTCTAAATGTTTAAAAGTATAAACTATGGTCGAGCTTTATTCATAAACCTGTTGAAAATTTCAATGATAAGTAAACATATAAATGTCTACCTTTTATTATCTAAGGTTTGCTGAAAATTTTCATCATAAAAATCTTTCAATTCTTTTAATAAACCCTTTTCTATCATAGCATCAACTCTATCATTCAATCTCTTTATCAAAACTGAAATATAGTTCATCTGTTTATCAATACTGAAACATAGTTCAAACTTAAATATTGTTCATTAATACTGAATTATAGTTCAAACTGAAATATAGTTTATTTGACTTAATACTGAAATATAGTTCATTTAATTTTTAATACTGAAATATAGTTCATTTAATTAATAATACTGAAATATAGTTTATTTGACTTGATACTGAAATATAGTTCATTTAATTAATAATACTGAAATATAGTTCATTTGTTTTGATACTGAAATATAGTTCATTTGACTTGATACTGAAATATAGTTCATTTGTCTTGATACTGAAATATAGTTCATTTAATTAATAATACTGAAATATAGTTTATTTGATTATTAATACTGAAATATAGTTCAACTATGATAACAAAACAATATTTACCATCATGATCAGTTTGTATCCAGATTAAGCAAGGATCAGTGTAGCGTAAAACACCACGTTGGTTACTGCCACTATCTTCTTGTTGTATTTTATATATATCACTAGCTTTTACACCATGAACATCATATACTTCTAAAGCTCTAGAATACATTGTATATCAATATAGATCTTCTTATCAAAAGTGTTTTTAAATCTATTGCTTGCTAAATCATAAAGTCAAGAATAGGATGGAACCAGGTAAAACCTCACACAGGATTTTCTCCATTGATTGTGTTTCATTGCTTTGATGAAAATTACTCATAAGCCCAAAAATGTAACTTACTGAGACAAGGAGCATTAGGACAGGCTTGAAAACATTTCATAACATCAATACCTGACTATTTTTCTACGATTATGGGGATGAATTTTCTTGGCTAATTCAGGATCTTTTTCTTGTAATCTCTTATGAAGTTGAATCGTGTCTACACCAGCCACAGATGGATCTTCTTCTTTCTTTAATTCAGAATCATCTGTTGAACTTGCCTCTTTTTGTTCTGACTTTTCCAAGGATGATGACTCTGCCTCATCACCAGATCCTGTATTCTTGGCTTTCTCAACATCCTGAAATTAATTATAGATATTCTAATTAAAATAATTTCCTAAAACATTTGCAACAATTTAGCATTTTGAAACAATGACATAATTTTTCTTATGATGTTAAATTCTTTGTGCCAAATATTAATCAATTTAACTGTTATAGGCTGATTTGGAGACATTTATCTTTTTGAAAAGCATCTTTCACCCATTCAAGTTTTACAATACAAAAGTGAATAACCAATCCAACTCCTACATAGAGGATCTTAAACAAGTTCTATGCAATATGAACTTTATGAAATGAGTTGCACAATTTCATGCCCTTTAGCTCCAATTTTCATCTTTCAAAGAATACCATGTTGTTCTGTTACATGATGCATGACCTAATTTTCATAGTTATCAAGTAGGGATGGTAAAATCGTTTAATTTATAAAGTCAATTAATATTGTATGATGGACTATTGAATTCAAAATAACTACAGAATATTGATGTTAATTAATCTAGCCACAAATCAGATAGTACCAGACACAAAAAGTGTCAAATATCAATAACGGTCTTCCTGCTACAATCTATATTGACAGGTGACAGGATGTTACTGACACTAATCATGTTGATTTTATATCTTCAGCTTCTCTACTATTGTTTTAATATATCAAATAATGAATCTTCTTGATACTTCACATATTAATAACCATCACTAATATATATCATGTGTTAAATCAAATCAACCACAAGTCACTAGACTTAGTCATTTTAATGATCATAATCTTACATAAATATAAGCTAATAAAACACAACATTTGAAGAGTGTAAAGGGGTGAAGTGTGAAATAAGTTTATATCAAGTGGAGTTATCTCCCTTAGACCATAAACCAAATTACCAAGAGAACAGACACCTTTACTCTATAACAATAGTTCAATAAATGTTTAAAGATCAACCAACAACAACACATTGTTTTGATTTCTTGGGATCAACCTTTTCCACACATGGCTTTCATTTCTAGAGAATTCTTGCACTTTGACCTACTGTTTCACACAAGACAAAAGGATTCATGAGATTTTTCTTCATCATTTAATATCCATCATTTACCTTTCTACCTAACACATGGTACCTATATCAAATAGCCCAGAAAAAAGACAGAAAAACCTGAGAAGTCAGACTCAATACCCAATACCTGTGGCCTTGCGTAGATGTGCTGGAAAAATTAGCAAAGCTATGCACTTTGACAGCACATGCATGTGATAATTATGACAAGTAAAAGATATTTACAAAATAATTTGATAAATAGGTATTACTGTTAAAATTATCAGATCTGCATATGCTATCTTGGCTACTCTAAATGCTTTTTGAATCTGATGAAGAGCATAATGCATAATTTTGAACAGATAAGTTACTAAAAGTAAATATAATGTAAATAAAGATTATCTGATATAGGTAGGGGTCAATAACCTATTGTCTCGATTGTCTAAGGTCTAGTGAGTAAACATACAAAGTTGGAAATTAAACATGTTCAAAGATGAATGATCTACATCTTATCTATTTACCATATTTCATTCAATAACTGTTGATACTTTGTCGTTTTATGTATCAATCTTTATAAAGGGATTCAGGAGGGTAAATTTCATCAATAAGACAAACAGCCTGCAGTACTTTCAGTTTGATCTCCTTATTGTACTTCCTATCAACTACTGGTATGTCAATTTGATAGTAAAATGGTGCCTATCAAGTGGTTAGATATCATGAACAAGTTTTAAAAAACAGTAAAACATAAAATTTGGCCATAAAAATCATATCTTACTGACCGTTTAATGATATTACGTATCAAATAGAAGTAAAAATAAATGATTATAAATGTATATCTGAGCTGTTCAAGAAAATTCGATGGAAGTAGAAAATGTCCTGAGCAGACACAGAATTGCATCATTTGATACCAAAATATTGGAAGGACAAGAAATGGCCTATTTTAGGGGAAAGTAGGTAGTTTTATTGAGGGTATGGGAGACAAAATTATGTTGAAAGATAGTGTATAGATACTAAATACAAGATAACATATATATAACATTATAAATACTCTAGCAAGTCAATATTTACTTAAACAGGTGAATTTAAGGACACGTCTATGATCCCTTTATATTCTACTTTGTCTTTTAATGCCCTCATTAAATGGACATCATTTAGAGTGATATAGGTAAGCTGGAGCCAGTGATAATTGATAGGGGCTCTCATCTAACACAATTCAATCATAGCAGCAATGAATGTTACTCATAGACAGGTTTTAGAGGTCCTAACTTTTGGTATCTATACAAAATCCATTAAGACATTACCGGATTTTCTACAATGTCCCTGTGCCTCATGCAAATCAGAATACAGTTGATATGTCATTAACTAGCAATCCAACTTTAATGTCAAGCCTTAAATATGGCAATATTATTATCATCTGTGGAATTGGTAAGGCCAGATTTGTCAAGCTTTTGGAAACAAAGCTGATGATTTTTAAAATCACTCTTGTAAATCTTAATATAACCAATGATAATTTATGACATTGACCATTGTCAAGAACTGTGGGAGACAGGACAAGGAGAGTACAGTGATGTTTACCTGTCTCTACCCTATCTATAAACAATAAATATAGGTACATAGTACTGTAGGTAGACATCCATAGTGTCAATATTATTAATAATAATCATGAACACTTTTATTAGTCACTACCTCTTAGTTTTACAACACTTTATAGACTTATTTTATACAGTAATTTATGAGCATTTCATCTCTAGATAAATCATTTTAACACTCAACTAGGCTTTCATGTCAAATAATCTAGAGCATTTCTGCTTCAGGGCAATATCTTCTTCTTTATTTGCATGTTTCTTAAGGCAAAGATATACAATTTTTTTAACCCTGTATTTCTATTTGGGATCCTACCAGAAGTTAGTTAGCTTAGCTTAAAAAATATTACTATCTAAAACACTCATTGCAGAACCAAGTTCAGTATAAGAAGAGTTCAAGGCCACTTTTGAACGTTCAATCAATTGTTGATTTTTAGGCAATACAACTTTAAGGAATATGCTCAAGAGGCTTGGAAAAAGGGGTTGTGGGTAGTAGAATCTTTACAAACAGCCGACTCGAATCTTGAGTAAAATCTAACATGTGCCTGTTGCCGAAACCAGTTTGATATTTGTCACCAATTGATATATCGTCTGCAAGACAGCGCGTCATCATCCAACATCCAATCAGATTAATTTCCCTTCATTTGCACGATATGCACATGGTTATTATTGCCATTAGTGGAAAACGACCGACTGGAGATTTTTCTGTCTCCTCGTGTGTCCGCACCCAGTTAGTGAAATTCATGACAAGACTTTAGTAGTCGACAAAAATCACCAACCAAGACCATTTGTGTGTCTGCACTATTAGTTACAAACCACTGCTCTATATATATATATATATTGTTTTATCAAGATATTCGTTACTGGAATTAAAAATATCTAGGAACCAAACAGAAAATGAATAATCATCATAAATAGCTTAAAACAACAGGAAATATATTATTATTTATGTCTTAAAAATATAACTCCCACTATTTGCCTCAGGTGACCATCAAATACAAACTATGTCAATAATTTAACTTTATAGAGAACAATTCACACCTTGATCTGTCTTAATGATTAAACACATTGATTCTTGTTGATTCATACTTCAATAATTGATGAACATTGACAATAATCTCAAGACAAACTCAACAGTCAGCTATTCTTTTATTTCAAATTCTTTGTGAGCAAATTCATTAATCTTTCATTTATGATAGGGATTTGGAATTTTAGTAATTTTTCATTAAATGTGACACTTGTGATCTTTGTCTGAATATATTAATACATTGATCAACTGCACAAATTGTATATCTCTATAACACATGTTGACCATTGTAAAATTTAGTAGTGAAACTACACATAAAAATGCTTCCTATTTCAAATATTAATTTTGACAATATTTGAATGAATTGCAGATTTAAGCAGTTGAACATAGCTTCCCAAGAGTTTTCAGAAACCTCAGCTAAACCAAGAACAGAAGTGGTAAGATTTTTCAGTATACCTGTACTCAATGTACCAATTTTAAAATACCATGAGAACCTCACACATGTTTTGTCCTCATCGACCATCAAAGAGATTCTACATTTTTTCTCATCGAACTTTTAAAAATATTTTTGTTTGTCAAGACTGTTGTTCCCATGTGGACAGACATGATTGTTATTGTTATTTTATAACTGTTCAAAGTCTGACAATAATATTATCACAAAATAACAACTGTTATACTAAGATTGACAATATTGTTAATATTTTAACATTAAACAAGATCAATTTGATATAAAACATTAAAAGGTACATTAAGTTGTTAGTACCGTTAAAATAGTAACATGAGAGGTAAGTAATAAATAAAGTCTAACTGTTGTATATAGGATTAGTACCAACTACTAAATTTAGTAAGTACATTACAAATTTAATCAAAGTGTATTATTAGAAGATTAAGGATCAGATCTAGTAACCTGATAAAGTATACCCAAGCTTAATTTTATTTTGATCAAGATAACATTGCTTCTAAACCTTCTATATTGTTCCTTAAACCTGAGTATTGTTCTCTGTAATCTGGACATTGTCTCTAGTAGTACTTAGGTGTGAAATATGATAAATGTTGACACTGACCGCCAAGTGACTGATGGATGGACCAGAACAATAAAAAAAACAAATAAGAAGAACACCCTATCAATTGATAGTAAAATAGCCAAAGAATGATAACACGGTAAAACACGATTAAAGAATGGACTTTAATCTATTCTATACAAAGTACACAATATACTGATACCCCCATATTAATCCAATTTATACCCATCTTGAACTGTGTACCCTGATCATAAGGAGGCAAGCATTAGAATATGAAACTTATCTGAGTATCATAA